CTCCTCCTCTCTCTCTCTCTCTCTCTCTCTCTCTTTCTTATCAATATCAACAGCAACTAGGAGAGTTTGTGGGTGATGTGATGTGAATCTTGATGTGAATTTTGATAGGATGGGGGTTGAAAGAGGGAGGAGAGAGGTAAAGATGGGATGGGATAGGGGGTTGAGAGAGAGAGTGGCGGGGTTACTGGGAAAATACTGCAAAATAAAGTGTGAGAATTGCTATTTGGGAGTGCTGATAATATTGATATATTTTCCGGTGAAGAGGGTAAATAAAATGTTTATAATACTATCTGAGAAAAGGACTTGTGTATGTTTTAGAAGTTGGGACATGATATGCTTAACACATTTGAGCCATACATATATATATATATATATCCTCAGCAGTGTCTCAGATCAAACCAAAGTTCCCACCAGATATCACCTGAGCCGCAGTACAGTATATCACAACCACATAACCACACAAGTCCACACTAAGGCAACCCCAAATAATACTCCAACATCTTTGGATAATTTGGAGTACCAAGACCCGTAACCGGATCCCAACTATTCAACCGAGTTATTAGCACTTCAATTCTCAAACCACAACAAGACAAGACAAAATAGAAATAAAACTCACCCAGGTACCGCCTCAAATCCCACTGTGCTACATCCCGGATTCGTTCCATTGACAATATCATTCAACATGCTCGGATTTGCATACAATGACGGATTCAAAAAACCAATTGGTCCCTTTCCTTTATGGATTCTCTCTTCGTTGATACGATTTATGACTGCGGAGAAGATCGGTGTACTGGCTGATGTACCACCGCTGAGGGTAAAGTCGTTGCCGCTGTATACCTATGATTACGTTAGTAAGATCACGATATATCAAATGTGATAAAGAGCTTACAGCAATGTTATCACCATTAGCAGCCACATCCGGAATACCCCTTCCAATCCTATTATATATCCCCCCCGTACTTCCCGCCAACGCCCCAATATCAGGTAATGTCTGAATATCATCTGTATCATTACTCAACGCGCTATAATACGGATAAGGCGGATTATGTTCATCGAAAAACTTTGCAACAAAAGCAGCTTGATAACCGGGGATCGGATAGATGTTACTGAAACCACCTCCGGAAGAGTAATTTACGGAGTATGGATGACCGGCGGGATCGAAGACGGCAGATTCGGGGTCGAAGACGGTATAGCCTGGGTAGACTTTTGTGGCGCCGACGGATGTTACGTATGGGCAGGTACCCGGCCAGGTCGGGTTGAAAATGTTGAGGTCTGGGCCGAGACAACCGGTTGGACCGTCAATATCACCGGGGTAGTCTGAGAAGTTGATGTTAGTTTTTCCGAGCGAGGAAAAGAAAGCATAGGTCCGAAGGGCCGAATTTTATACTTACTTGAAACGCCAGAATCGCCCGACGCAAAAAGGAATGATACTCCTTGAAGTCCTAGTTTCATGTACTCAAGACATTGTCGTTTTTGATATGAGATGGGAAGGTCCGATTCTTGTCCACCATATGATAGAGAAATTACGTTAGTGGGGGTGAAGGTACCACACATGAGGGGTCCTCCCCAGCCTCCAGTGAGATGATCGGGATAGGCTTGATCTAAGTATGGATCATTGCCAGTCTCATTGTAGGCGGTGAAGTTGCAGTATGACTAGAAGGTGTTAATGGTTATTCTCGACAATCATGGTTGAACTTACTCCGTCTAATGCGTCCAAGAATGTGTTAAATCCAAATGTGTAAGTATCATTTTGATTTGCTTGTACAACGTAATCATCGACTTGGTAGAGAGTGATTTGTTGTGGGTAAAGGATTGGATAAGCAAGTTGAATATCGAGATTTACCTCACCACCAGCATAATAAGGATCAGTTGTTGATTGCATTCCACCATCTATATTTGCTGGAATTGGATGTGTACCATTTGGAATATGCTTTGTGAAGTTTGTAAAGAATAAATCTAGATCGTTTTGTGTGTAGAATTGTAGCTCGGACTCGAAGATACCCAAGGAATTATTTGGATGAGATAAAGTCGCAGGTGGAATTTGGTAAAGCGCTGCGACACAAGCTGGAGTGATAGCAATATCGCAAGTACTCAAATCTGTGGCATTGGTATTATTATAGCTATGATTAGCATCTCGTAGTAGCCCATGCGTATTTCTTTTCTGGAGTTCATGCTCTACCATTTCAGCGTTTCGCTTCAACTTGTTGTTTGGATGTTCAATTGGAGCAAGAAGTTTGATGCCAGGACTGATGTAATCAATGTGCTTTCGAATATCCTTGGGAACATGATACGCCTCGCATGAGGGTATAGTACCACCAGTGACCGAGTCTTCATATTCATGGTACTCGGTATACAGCAGACTTTCTGCCTCTTCAGCAGTCGCATAGAATGCGAACCAGCCTTTGTTGTCCGAGTGAGTGATTCGACCGGCTGGAATACCGGAGTCAACCAGCCACTTCCGAACCTCATCTTCTGTTTGTTGACTAGGACGAAAAGCATTGATGACTTCTTCCGAGGTCCAATGTTGTCCAAAATGCGGTGACGCAGGGTCAGATCTATGTGGAACATATTAAATATCCGCTCTGCCCTCAGTGAACTCAGGCTCAGATACTTACATTCTCATCAAATGATCATAACCGTCGTCGAGATTGCTCTGTGCCAAGCCAATCCGCATTGGCAAGAACTTGTGCGACTCAACACGTTCTCTTTTCGTCCATCTCGGATGTAAAATCTCTCGCTTCTCATGGACCTCCAAATGGCGTGGTACAACAATCGCACTCACTTGAAGTGTCAGAGCCACGAGGGCAACAAGGCCCGATATCTTCATTCTTGCCATGATTATGAAAGAGATCAGTTAAGACGGTGGGTGAATTCATTTCAAAGGGCGGAAGAACTTTCTTCATGATTTATACCTTGGCAGGCACAGCTGCAATTGCCCCTTCCAGGATCTGCAGACCCTAGCTCTTTGACCTGCTGGCAACTGAATGAGGCAGGTCGGAAATGCATCCGCGAAGTAATGGACGATAACATCCGTGTTAACCACTTGATAAGCCGGAACATGATGAATTGAAAATGTAAGCTGACGTAGAATAAATTGATAGCTCCTACATAGGAAAGAGCTCAATGAATGAATCTAAATTTTAAGCATAGATTTAGTCACAGCTATGAGCTGGACTAGCTGAAGCGGGGCATCCAACCAAACGACGTGCTTGATATATATATCTCGACATATCGTGGAAGATCGTTTCCAGTAGATTCGTAGATATTCCGTTACTCGTGTGACAAGGTCTAGTTGTGACGAGAGTTTACTTGACAGGGCGTAAATCCATCTACCCCACTCCTTATGCATTGCAACGATAAGTAAACCTTAATGCCGTGAGAATGTGGCCGTGAGAATGTGCTACAATTGCTTGATAACAAAGCATTCTAGAAGATTGTATTGCAATGACTCTTGTCTTGTACTAGATAGAAAGGGGCCAAAGAGTTTCCTTCACGATGATCGATGCCGGTAATGCGAGTAGGCGGTGAGGACGTCTTGGGCGTGAACAAGTACACGTGATTTACCTCGAAAATCATCTTATCTTTCTCGTCTTCGAAATGTCGATCATGTACTCGTAAAGCCAGAATCATAAACTTATATTTGCTAAATTCAAGAACCCATTTGTAAGGCAGTAAGTGTTGCCGAGATTCCATGTATATACGGAATCTCAAGACAACATTACCCATTCATTATCTTACCGAAGAAGAGTATTAGGATATGTTCTCACATTGGAAGTGATTTCGAATGTTCCAAATCCATTGCTATGATGTGGAGCGAAGTTCTCAGTCACAAGTGTAAATCATTTGTAAACTCGATATAGATTTAACAAGCTTTCGTCTCATGCCTATATGCCCGTGAGCTTCATTCTTTCATTTTCATATAAACATTGTGAGTTCTCACTCACTCTATAGCATCTACTCCATGAGTTTTATCCTTCTCCCTCAATTCAAACATTGATGTCGTTAACAAGGTTCTCTTCCATTTGGATAGTCTCAATCCTTCATTGTCTCACTCCAATTCAGAACAGACTCTTAACACGATTGGATGTGCTCTCGCTTTTCAAATGTATACACGAGCTTAAACATCCTAAACTTCAATGCATAAGACCATATTGATATTCGGGAAACTCAGAGTATATCATGTTCATTGTACAATACGATATATACTATCTAACCAAGATAAGCATCACTGCTCAAGAACTCCTTGATATTTGGTCTGCTCTCCACAGCATCAACCAATTGCACCAATCTCGGATATTCTTTCAATTCCTTTCGCCCATCTTGTGTAAGACTCTCATCGTGAAGCTGTTGATATAACACCATATCTGCATATGTGATCTCTTTGCCAATGATGAAAGCGCCTTGTTTAGACAGCTCCGAGCTCTTCAAATGTGTTTCGATCGCAGCAAGGTATCTATTTCGATCGCCTTGCTGATGAATTGGATAATCTTCCTTTTGATTTTTAGAAAAAAAGGCGGAAATGAACAGTGTTCGCCCTGTAAGTATTTCGTAAGCATTTTTCAACGAGGTATTGGATGAAAGGGGTTCGCCTACAATCAACAACGATATCGCAGATGGCATCAGCCCAGTATTTCTCGTCCTCAGTCTTCCCATCATAAGCACCAAGCATTCTTGACCAATGCCTAATAATGGCATAACTCTGCTGCAAGACCTTCCCATCTGGCATCACAACCACAGGTATATTTCCGGTAGGATTCAACTTTGCAAGCGTCCCCTTGCTTTTATGTTCTGGCCATTCTTGAAACGTATATCGGGTATCCTTAAACGCAGCTCCCGCGTCGATGAGCAACAATCGAACTACTTGGCCTCGACCTCGGGATTGGTAATCGAAATAGTGAATCGTAGGAATGCCACCGATGGCTTTGTTGGCTGCACTTTCTGTGCCGAATGTCGAAGTTTGAGGCATTTCGTAGATATCTAAGTAAATTTTATGGAATCTGTGAAATGGAGGATGTCTTTGGCAATGATATACTCGTATATTGTGGGGTACTGAGAGTAAATATACGAACGGTAGGATGGGGATAGCTAAAGCTTTAGCTTAACATAAGTGGTTAATGACGGCTCACTCGGGTCAGAGCAATTGCCCTTCGTGACAAACCTAAAATATTTGTAATTCCAAATGCAATATCCTCTGGGAACAGCTGCAGCCTGGACTACGCCTTTCTTACAAAGCTTACTTGCAATTCCAAATATAGCATCGTGTGAACTCTATGCAGCAGCTCCCAGCTCTGGACAAATGAATACCCACCCCATCAGAGCAAGAGAAGTGGGATGTGGGCAAAATCCCCATTCCTAGCCTCAATAGCAATGACATCCAGAGGACCAGCGAAGCATCCTTTACCGTAATCCTACCCCGTCCGCGAATAGCCTCGATGGTATCTTCTTGATAATCGGACAAGTTATGCTATTTCCAGATCCATCGAAAGCAGAGTGATGCCTTCAAAGAATCAAAGCAAGTTCATAAAGTTGTTTGAAATGGCATCGGAGGAAGTTCGGGTAATAGAAGTGGGGTGCAACGTTAATTAACCAATCACATTCATATATATGTTCTTGTAAAATATCAATTCTAATATATTCTCAACAACGAGCTCGCCGACATGCAAACATAGCAAGATTTCCCTGCTGGCGCAATGGTAGCGCGCAAGACTTCTAATCTTGAGGCTATTGGTTCGAGTCCAATGTAGGGAGTTACCCTGAGTATAATGGTTTGAATCCATCTAAGAAATCAATTATTTTTGAAGATTTGTTTTTGCCCGTCACACAGGGTGTCGGTTCGAATCCTGAGTGGAGTTTCACTCCACCCATTCACCAAGCGAAGTTCTCGCGAGCAGAGATTGTTGATCGAATTCACCCCTCGATGTTTGTGATACTCATCTCTTCTTTTGCTCATAGATTTCAGGATTTGTATCTATCATTTTAGTTCTGCCAATACACAATGTCTTGCCCCAAACTGCGGGGTAATTTCCTTATTTGAAATTTATCCAATGTCTTTGAAACATCTCTAACTCGAATTTCATCTTGTCATATATATCTGATACCAATATCTTCAAAGAAAGCCCAATCACCCCTCGCTGATTGATATCATTTGATAGATCAAATTCAAAGCGTCCAATCACCGCTTTTCCATCTCAATAGATCTCCGGAGTAGAGATACTGTTACATTCATCAGTTGGTGTAAGCCACCAGAAAAGGCTATTGGGATAGATCCCTTGATTTATTTGGTAGCCGCGACATCTGCACCATGAGATTGGTTGAGCCGTTTGAAGTCAAATATCTCCCTCCTGTTGTGGTAAATTTGTGCGAAAGTTGAAATTTTCCAACCCTTGCCCTAGTGATGATGGCTTTTGTTGCTGGTAAAGTTGTCAGACAATCTTGGCCAATTATTGACCGATTACAATCTGATTCCAACATCCGAGCGCCATAAGACAACCCAAGCCAGGGTCCTGGGCTCCTGGCCCCTGGGACTGTCAATCAGCCCCCAGACTGGAAAATCTTTTCATGTTTTGGTACAGGCTGGAAGCCATGGCTTGGTTCAACACGGTATTCGCTGCATACACGAAGCAGTGGAGATTCGGGAGAGGCTAGATAATAAGAAATACCGGTAGTCAAAAGGGTTTCTTAGATACATACACCGGCTCTTGCATCTAATTATGGGTGGTGCGCCGAAGTATATTGCCGAAGGGTGCCTCACTGCCATGTTCCAGCCTGCTACCTTGTTTCCTGTAAGGAATTTCTTATACATGGTGATCCATGATCCATGATGCACTTCTCTCCACAAACCGGGTCAGACATTCTCTCACCCCAGCTTCCGGTGAAGTAACACAAATGTTATATATAAGTCATCTTGTCATTGTCATTGTCATTGTCATTGATATGCTGGGCACATTGGATATTGTATATTAACCGTTTACATACAATCATCCATTCTCTTATTGTACTGGCATACCCTATATTTTTTTCAAAATCATCAAGACGTAAGCTTGAAGCTGCTCCATACATCATGGCGGCGATTAGGCTGATCAAAACCTCTAGAAATGTCTTCACTAACCAACGTTATGCGTCTATTGAATGCTGTCATGTCGAGTTATCCAAAGGATCTTCCGCGTTCCAAGCCAGAAATCATTTGAATACTCGGAGAGTTGAGGCCCAAGGAGGAAGTGCTCCGCGTGCATTTGAAAAAAATGCATATGGTCGAAGACGAAGAGTTGGTAGAAATGTGTAATGTTATCGCAGCTCTCTTGATACTTGCCACAGCTCTCGCCGAAGATCTCATCCAATGGGCTTCCGAAAAACTCACCTTACCCTCAGGCCCTAGCGAGACGGTGCTTCGTGCTTTAAGAGCTATCTATTATGCCTTTGCCCAATTCCAGAGATTGGCCGACCAACCCAATTTTGATATTGAAGCGAGACCCAAGCTATTCAGAGATTATTGTTTCGCGTACCTCAAAGGATGCTTTAAGTACTCGATCTTATTCCAAAGACTCCTCTCTCCCGAAGACCAATGTGATCATCTCGACTTCTACACCGAGGCCCTCGAGTGCGGTTTCGAATCGTGTTTCAAATTCGATACACCTACGGATTATCAATACCCAAACTCGAACCATAGTTACGAGACATGCAAACAAACACTCAGTGATTGCCTATACACCCTCGATCAAATACCTCTTAATTGTCATTTGAGAGCACAGCCTGGAAAGCCGGTCCGTCCACAATACTATCGAAATCCAGGTTCTTACGGGCCCAGAGTCTTACGAAATGAGTATCATCCATCGAATAAAGCCTATTTCTTGAAGAAGAGAAAAGCTGAACTCCTGAGGCAAGAAGAAGAAGAAAGTATGATGAGCACCTACAGCCCGGTAGAGATGATGTCTGATGGACCTCAAAATTATAATAACATGGATATCAGCGGCATGGATGAGCATCTCGATTTTCGGAACCCGATGGCGTATGATTATGCGGGGAGTTGGGATAGCGTTACAGAGCACCAGACAAATGTATATGCAAGTGGGGAGAATCCTGGATCCATGCCGTATAATACGGAGGATGCGGCGGTGAGGGCTTATGAGGAGAGGGGGCGAGTAGACAGGTATGTGTAGAATATCCATTCCCAATTTTAATGCACAACAAACGTCAAATTGATGCCACACAACGTTTGTTACATGGCTGATTTTGTTATACAGTAACACCACATCCTCTTCACTATCATTACCATCACCAGGTATGCCAGCATCGGGGCTATCGGAGTCGTGGAGTGGAAACACAGATACCTACCTACGAACGATATCATGAGGCAAAACAAAAGTCTGGGCGTTCTGATTCTTTGGAGATTTTTCATTTGGGGTTGGGGTCAAGGTTTCGAATTACGAATTCCAAAATATATCTTATGAATATGGTGATATTTAAAGACAGAATTTACGGTATGAAGGGATGGATGTTCGAGGTTTATGAATAATGACACAATATCTATAACCTTATCTCCAGCTTACGCAACTTTCTGTATGGGTTGTAAATTCTGTTCATCTGTCTATCCAGATGAATGGCATTCTACCTGATATCTAATCTAATATTCAGCCTGGGTATATCACCCTTGCTAGGCTATAACTTCATGAGAGAATATTCTGGTGGGGACTGGACCCTGATCAGTGCAGAGGCCAGGAGCTAAGAATCAGAAGCTAGGAACTGGGAACTAGGCTAGGGGCTAAGGAGCTAGGAGAGGAGCATTAATTGCGAATTGACAAGCACCCATTCACTTAGTCTGGTCTCACCCATCTCATCTTCAAAGACTCATCCTAAAAACAGGACGGGTCCGGTCCGGACCGACTCTTTAATCTTCCCTACTCTCAAGAAAAGTGCAGCTCTAACATCCTTTGCTTTGCATTTTCTCTTTTTAGCTCTTGCCAATCTTGACTCCTATCAATTCTTAGCAACTCCAAGGAGATACAAATCCACATACAATAGATCCACATCCCTCTCTTGCATGTCCACAGACAGCGCATCCTCAATGCTCATCCTTCAATAAAATCCACAACACATACATATACTCACTCACTAATCCAATCCATTCCCTCATTCCCCTATTCCCCCAATTCCACCAATCCAATCCAAATCCAATCCTAATCCAACCGAATTTAACCATACAATTCCCTCCCCTCCCCCATATAATCCATAATCCTCCCTCATTCTCCTCCTCCACATCCCTCCTCCACATCCCTCCTCCACATCCCACCAGCAAATCTTCAACCCCTCTTTTTTTCCTTTTTCCTTTTCCCCCCAAAACCTCATCAAAAACCTCCCAAAACCCCTCATATATCATATTTTCACTCTGCATATACAATAATACATACGCAAGTCAGCGTAGCAAGTGTGACAAGCATGGCAAGAAGATCATTTCCCGAAATGTAATTTGTGATATTTTCCAGCTGGTGGGGAGACGGGATGGAAGTAGGTCTTGGGAGGATCGAGATTTCATCGAGATTTGTTGCTTATGAGATGTGATGATGTGATGTTGTGATGATATGAATTGTGAGTTGGGGATTAGTAATTAGTGATTATGAGTGAGTTGTGAACTTGTGAGTGAGTTATGAGTTGTGAGTTGCATGAAGTAGATGCATATAATTAGATACTTACTATAATGAATTATACGATATGATAGGATAGGCAAATTTGGATTCGGAAGTCTCTCTCTCTCTCAAAAAAACCCCTTCTTGATAAACACTGAGCACTAGATTTTTGTACAATAATGAGGTATCTCTACCATATTTCTATTAATATCTGCATATATATAAAACCTCTGATATCTATCAACATCCATCCCCATAACCAAAACACCAGTGGTCCCCGTACTCTCCACAACATTGCGGCTCTAAGAGTAGTAGATCAACATCTCCCATTTCTCAACACCTAGAAACTTCTCCCAAAGTATTTCCCTAGCAAAATTCGTCCTTTATAAACTCCTGCGTGCCAATGGGACACCAATCTTCTTCCTTGACATTTCTACTCTCGTCAAAAATAGGTGCGTCCCATTTTTTCGCTTCCGCTATCTTTACCATGTCGAATTCCTTCTTAACATGCGCTGACCAATCATTCGTGTCCTCGCTTTTCCAAAGACAACAGTGATGCTCGCGTGGACCCTCCATGAGAAGACAGGGTCCAGCTGCACCGGGATATGCTCGTTTGGCTGATATGCAATGTTCATGATCTGACATAGACTTCGTGGTATGACATTTCCTAGGGTCGGGATGGTAGTGTTTTGAAATGAATTGGAGTGACCATTCGCAATCATCTTTTCCACGATCGCACAGTTCTGCGTTGTGATTTCTTTCAGATGTGAGAAATTCAATAGTTGGCATGTTCTTGTTGATTTGATGTCCTTCTGACAATATTGTAGGGTCATTTCTAAGGAGCGGATGTGCCGCAGAAAGTACCGGCCGTTCTATATTCCGATTTTGGTCCAAAACTTTGGCGACTTGTCGTCGATATATGTCAAGGTGGCATACCGCGGCCTCTATACCTTCCCCATCTTGATTCGAGATTAACTCACTTAGGTCATTACTATATGAACGGGTATCATCATTCCCCATTGTGGGAGAAAACGATATGGTGGAGGATGTAGCTGTTTTGTCGGAAGAACCCGAATCACCCCGAGCATCAACATCAACTTCAGTTCGTCGATATTTCCTACGATCAGGAGAGGATAGAGTTCGCTGTGAGTGTATGAGACTACTCCGGAGAAGCGTTGGTGTTTCTTTCGACGCAGGATCCATGATAGATATCCAGAAAGCCTTATCCAGTATTTTAAATATCGGTGCCGGCGCAGGACTGCCTTCATTCAACAATTTCACGTCGTCCGTGCGTGAGTATGTGGGTGGCGTTTACAATAATGATTTGAAGCATTCTGAAAATGATTGAGGTGAAAGTGACAATGGGGAATGGATTTGATGATGATCTTGGGTCTTAATTTTGAGGATTTGGAAAAACAGTGGCCGAGAGTCGGCAGATGATAGCCATCGTTGTGCATCGGTACTGATATTTCTTTCGGGTACTTGAATCTCTTTAGTCGTCACTGGCTTTCCGTCCAAATATTGGCATATGCCCCAAGTCCAGAATGTGAATTGGTTTTTCCCAGCGTGCTTGAGCTTGAGCTTCCGGATGCTGCTGCCAAAAGTCCATACTTCATTGCCCGGTCCATGCATCCTCGGAAACCAACATACATGGGTGATCGGCACCCGTCCCGTTGCCATCGTTCGTAGGTTAATAACAGGAACCTCATTTTCATAGCCAGTTCTATCAGCAGCAATAAATAGCCAAAACTGATCACCAGGTCGATACTCGAAGTCAGAATCGGTTTCGGATAATGCCACACCGTGAGCATCGATTCGGGTGGCCGTGCTACTGACCATCGCATTAATTTGAGCAATGCTGCCATCCTTTTCGATGTCCTGTGTGGGCATAAAACAAACCGAATTTTCGTCGTCGCCATTGAATCGTCTCACAGGTATAACGGACTCATTTGTGATATCTTGCACCGGAGAATGAACGACAACTCGATCACCTTGCTGTGCCCATTTTGGTGGACGTGATACAAGAACATACTTCCGTAGTGTAACTTTGCAATCCATAGACACTACCACTAGTAGCAATGCTGTAACTCAAGCTTTGAAAAGCCGAGTATTTAGAGAACATTGGAGCAACACAATCTCTTGACAGAAGTTTAGGGATCATTGAGTCTTGATTTCTTGCCATATTCCATTACCGTATGCTAAAATGCAACCTCAAAACCCATTTCACGGGTGGCCCTTGCATGTGGCTGAAATATTCATTCGCCCATCTTCCTTTGCGTCCAATAAAACGCAGTCTTGAGTGAAGAACACGCCGGCAAAAGAAATTTCGAAGGAATGTGCATCAAAGTAAGCTCTAAGAAGCAAAGGTTGATCGGCGTGATGATTGAAACGAGACTCTTATGCATTTCGCGTCAATTACCACAATGGGATCTCAGCCCCGACATACAAAGTGCACCTATTAGCAATCAAATAAATCTGATGAGCCATATTCTTGATTTTGAGGACCTGGGTCGTCTTGTCTCTAGTTCTGTCGATTGTGAAGGTTATTATCCCTGCCATCACTTCTCACTATCTCTATCAGTCGCCGGAAAATCCTACAAATCGAACCCCGTTCCGATTCTATGGTTTCTTCGTCTGGCCCGTACCATCATCCGCTTGCTCTTCGGTTTCTCCGAGAGCATTCTCGTCCTTCTTATCCATATACTCCTTAGGATCGATATTCAATCTAACCATCATCGAAGTTACCCACTCTTCCATTTGTTTCTCATCTTCTGGGTTTGTTTCTTGAACGAGTAGTCCCATCTTCGCCCGATACCGTTGTTGCATGTCGTCGAAGGTGGAAATATCGAAAGCCCACAGTAGCCCACCACTGAACATTACAGTGCCGCTAGCCACATTTACAGTCGCGACACTCAATGCTTCCAATGCCTCCATGGATCCCTCGAATTCTGGAACATGGTTGCTGGGCGTATAGAATTTCGGGAGTAAGGACTTATACTTTCTTACAAGTGATCTGCGAGTAATGGCAGCCGAGAGGGCAAAGAATGCAGCACCGCCCATGAACAGTCCAAATTGACGCCGAGATCGTTGTGAGAAAAGTGAAGAATCTGGTGGTGTCGTGGGTGCCGCGGTTGGGGGGATTATGGAGGAGGATATGGGTTTATATTCGGCCATGGTTGACGGAATTTGTACAATTGACATCAATTGATCTGACTGGGCACCTTCTTTGCACTCCGAAAGTATGGTTGGGTTGTCAGAATTCGAAACCCGTGGGTTGTAATGTTCTCAGATCCACAGAAGCTTCTCCAGATTTTGAAAAATTATAGCTACGCGAATAAGGTTTAGCGTGATTTTGCAGCACAGCGTCATTATAGTGACCAATTGTTTTAGAGTATTTTACTCCATTTTACCTCGACTACACTTAAAAGATACATTTGTTCGAATTCCCAACTTCCATAGGTACCATAGTATATAGCCATTGAGCATATGCATATATGTACTCATATAAACCAAGGGCATCAAAAAAATTATCTATTAACTACTGTGAAGACCATGGCTACGGCATACATTTGAAAAGCTTCATAGTTTTCTGCGGCCAGTGTCTAGCTGGATCAATGTAGACGGTAAAGTTTATGTATCGGGAGCTCCTGTGTAAGTTTACCAGTTCTGTGAGGAGCATAGTCTAAATTCCTGTCATTTTTGCATGATTAGATGTGCAATTTCATCTATGAATTCAACCCTTATGATGATTTAATCGCGGTCTTCATTGGTATTCGTATTGTTATACCGGTACCGGTATATCATCGCTGATTCTATAGACGGTCTTCTCCAGTCCCCGAAACTAATTAGTTGAGGCCCTTCTCCTTTCCCTTTTCCGCAGCGACTTTTGGAGATTTCAATTCCTCAAGTTCTTTGGTCAATTTCTCTGTTTCTCTAGCCAAGTCCATATCCAGGACGATTTTAATCTCAGGACAATATTGCAAAATGTGCTTTCTGCGCTCCTTATTGTTCCAAATGTCCGCCACCAGATTTTTACCACTCCCTATCAAATGATAGCCAAATGGCTTTTCGTACCATTGACTTTCGACGCTGAATGTCACTTCTATCTCCGGTCCTGGCATTTTTGTTGCATCCAACTCTGTAAGGCGATCACATATCCAGCGATCCTCCCATGGAGCGCCTGGTTTACGAGCTTCCTTTTCTAGCACTTTGATGATGGGAGGGATATGTCTGAGACTTAAACCTCCATTTCCACCTTTTACGGCCATATTCCATGGAGCACCTACCCAGGAATAGTTTGCGGAAATCCATTCTTCTATACTACGCTCAGAAGCTGAGCATATAATCGAATCGCTTTGAAACATAAGGAGCCATTCCGCAGGGTCAAGAAAGTCTTTGTAGAAGGTGGGATCAGTAAGAGTCACACTTATAGTTTCTTGATCTGCAATGGCGTATTTTGTGGGGAGCTCGGTGATGACCAATTTTCCAGTCTTGACGTGCGCGGAAAGAGATGAGGAGGAGGAAATCAGAGAGTTGGCTTCGGGTGAACCAACGAAGCGGAAAACCCATGGCGCTGGTAAAACAGATATGAAATGTGCGAGAAGTGCGGGGAGATGGGGCAAAGGGCGGGTCTCAAGGAGGAGCGCAACCCGGGTCGGGTCCAATTCGGTATTCGTGATAGCCAAACCCTCTTTTGAGCCCGTAGAAGCCGCGCTAGTCTTTGGATTACCTGTGGCCAAACTAACTTCCAAGCTCGTCGAGGAGGCGCTAGTCTTTGGGTAGTCCGTAATCAAGGTCGCCGCATCAATTTTCGATTTTCCATTATCATATCCATTATCAATTGTTGCAACCGGAGGCTTTGAATCTTTCGTCACGGAATCGCCGACTACACCCGACCCTCCTGATGCCAGTTTGTCTAAATGAAAGTTTGATATCGAAGACCAGTCGTATTGATGGTAAACGACTAACATAAGCAAACATCTGCGTATTGTTAGAACTGATGTCTAAACTGTGTAGCACTACAACCATTGACAGCAAAGACCCAGATTTCTGGGGTCAAAATACTAGGTATAATACAGGGTCAAACCCCCCAAACAGGGTTGACACTTATCTCGCTGAAAGCACAATCTTTCAGGGTGCAAAGAAAACAACAGACATACAATATACAAATCGCGAAAATGAAACTCCTGTGCATTCTCCGATTATACCATAGAAAGGATGGCGAATCGTGCGATGGTGCCATGGTCAAATTATTGAAAACGTGTTTGCAATCTCTTATACAGACGATATATACAGCGCGGCAAAACCTATACAATGGTTTATGAACTCGCAACTCGTAGGAGAAGGAAAAACTTGCTTCGTGATGTATATAAAGGACATCGCGAAAGAAAGGAAAGGAGAGACATGTCAATACGAGGATCTAGAAGGAAGGAGATTTGTACCTTGGCTGAGTAGACGTATAGTGATATATCAATGTGTAAAGTAAGCCAATCTGATGTAATGATAATGCTGGTATCCTGCGCCGTACAGCCTTCGTATCTTGGCGCTATGTGATAGGTTAAATTTAAAGGATTTTACAGATAAAACGCCGATGTCTATAATTCAAAATTATGATTGTAATCCTGAGAGCGGCACGCTATTTCCGTTCCAAGACTCGTATTTGGGCTTATGGGTGACCCTCTAAGAGTTTATCTAAATTATCGATAAATGCGTACAGGGTGAACATTCATCGATATCTAAAATACCCGGTTCAAACTGGATGGCGGGGATGGTATGGTACAACATCGAGTATCTAGAGCTTGACCTCTAGCCGGAAACTCTATGACGTTTTCTTTCGGTAGATGAGATATCGTGGTGATAAGGATATCTCCACGGCAGCCGATACGTGTGTCTGCAGTTGCGTATAAGTCTAGATGAGTCCGCCTTCTACGAGATACGAATAGATGTACGCGGTAGAGCAGTTCGAAGTTATTGCGATAATGGCGTAAACAACTCCTCAGATTAAGCACCCCATGATCCCCTCTCATACTTTTCTCTGGAGTTTGTTTGCCGTGACAGTGGCAGGGACTTTCTCTTCTATGAAGTTCGAAGGTCTTTGATTTTTGTTGACCATGAAAGCTTGCCTTGCCCGTAACCATATAGGCTACAGTCTGGCGATAGGAACCTACTGATTTCGATTTCTGAATTGCGAAACTCCTCGAAATGGCATGTAGGTATGGAACGAAAATCTAGGGCATCATATTCTGCAAATCCTTGAGTAACTCGCAGACTTCTGGCTGTATTGTAGTATTGTAGTATGCTTATCTGCGATATACTCACTTGCCGCCTTTTGCAAGCTCTCCCAAGGGAGAATCAGAACAGCAATATAGCAACCCTATGATGGCTAATACCTAGTCTCAAACAACCGTTCGTTTCAACTCAAGATCTCATCTCTCTGCATTGGACACAGCTAAAATTACCGATTGCTTTTGTCGGTCCTGCATATCATAGATCGTGGCTTTCCACCCCTTTCAACCTTCTCGGCAATGGCTAGAAACTACATGAGACTACTGGTGTCCAGTACACAAATTGATGATCGGAATAGGAATCTCCACTTGGAATGTCCATTCGACTTTGGAATCAAAGCGTATACACTCTCCACTCCAGCCGTTCGAGGATATCTCGACGATGTAAATAAATCTAGAGTAGAACGTGTTTTGTTGCTGTTCGATTTTAGCGGCTTAGACCCTGAATTTTAAGCTAAGGTGGGGTTGAAGGCGCTATGTTTGTCATCACTCAATGGCCTAAAGACGTCATTCCTAGCCTCCCGCCAACGGCACGATACCAGTCTCAAGATACTCAACAACAATCTCTTTACATCATCTCAAACGCATTCAAGCATTCAATATGGCCAATATTCTAATCGTAGGCGCCACTCGCGGTCTAGGTGCATCTCTGGCAAACAACTACGCTTCACAGGAATCAACAACCGTCTATGGAACTACTCGTGCTATGGCCGGCCCGTCCAATTTGAACGAGAAGATTGTATGGATACCTACTATCGATGTTGCAGAAGAAGGTGTAGGCAGAAAGCTGGTCAATCAGCTGGGTGTGCTCGGGGGTGGAGGTGGTATGGTCGAGAGTGGACGAGTAACATTTGATGTTGTTGTATGTCCGCCCACCTTACCTTGATTGCTTGAGAGGGGGGCTGCAATTAAGGAGGGGTCATGTCATCAAACAGTGACTGATTGAACCTCAGATCATCACAGCGGGATACTTTGCTACAGAAGATTTTGTCAATGGTCCAAAATGGGATGAACAAGTGAAGATGTACAGTAAGTACATTTCAGCATTTCAAAACCGCCAAATCGCGCCTGCTAACATCTTCCTCAGCAACATCAGCTATTTCCCCTCCGTTTATAGTCCATTCGTTGTTTCGCGCCAAAAACATAACCAACGGTTCCAAAATCCTTCTCATTTCTTCCGAATCCGGCTCAATTACATTGCGACACGAAAAAGAAGGTGGCGGCAACTATGGACATCATGCCTCAAAATCAGCACTTAATATGGTTGGAAAGTTACTTTCGCTGGATTTGAAGGAACATGGAATAATTGTGTCGATTCTACACCCTGGATTCATGCGGACAGAAATGACCAAGGGAGTGGGATTCGATAAATATTGGGATGATGGAGGAGCAGTGACACCCAATGAAGCTGCAAAGAGCTTGGTGGAATGGGCAGAGAAGTTAGATATCAGTAAGTCGGGTCAATACTGGGCACCTAGAGGTCCTAGAGATATTGGAACAGCGGATGTAATGATCGGAACTGATCTGCCTACACCATTGCAACTACCATGGTGATGATGACAATAACGGAGATGGCACACGATACTTTACGACAATAATGATAGTAATTAGCGTTGGCTCGTTTAGCTTCATTCTTCTGTTATTTGCTTACACGTCACAGTTCGAAACTTGACAAGGCGAGCGTATATCAATGTGAAGAGCAGTATTGACCTTAACAAGTCTCCATGTGAGTTGATAGGAAGAGGGGCCAGAAAAGGATTAGCTGTTAGATCTTGCTAGCTTAGACACTACTCTCCCCTAGAGAAGAAATTTGACATGGCTGCAAAATTACGACTGTGCTACTGCCAGACGCTTTGCTTTGTGTTGTGCTCTAAGTGGAGATTTCGTGCTTCCAATTCTGTTATGAAGTATTCTCAAAAGTTTAGACTACTTTCCCCAACTTTGTCTTGCAAGTCGTGTCTAGTCCTATCAGCTTGACATATCAACACAGGTACGTCACGGTTCTCCATACGTTTTGTTCAGACTGCTCCATTTAGAGATATTATGGCTGGGAGTCTTGCCGACGTTATATAGACTGACACAGCACCTTCGGATCAGCTTAAATCTATAATCATTGATGAAACTGGTAAGAGAGCCTCCGTTGATTGATCTTGGAGTCGTGATCATGGCTGGTGGTCAATTATTTCTATTACAGACATGAAGTGGCGATTTACCGAGCTCTATAAACTGTAGGTATGTGACAAAGATCTCACACTTGTGAATCTTGCGAGTATCAGTCTTGCTCGAACTTTCTGTTGAGGGATAATGGACTTGTTAATCAATATAATGAGTACATATATTCACAGGTTCGTTATGCACGCCATCCGGGTATCGTCAACAAACTTCTCCTGTCGTATGAAACTCGGGTACATATTCTTCTATCTCACTTACAAGTTACCACTCCACGGAAGACCAAATTTGCAATCTTATTTTCAATACAAAACACGATATAAATTAAATCGTTCTTTAACTTGATCTCAGTTACAATCTCGAGAAGCTTTAGATTCAACAAATTACACCTTCAGAATACAACACAATCACAATTGCAGCCATCTTTCATTTCAACGATTCACCTAGTCGCGATATTATTGGTTGAACAAAAGGTCATTCACACATCAATGGAAATTAATAGAGGCAGTGTATTTGCAATCACAGGCGTATGTTTTATATTTGTAACTGATGTTGTACTTTACTGCACTTTCCGTAAACCTTTTAGTAACAGAAGCAAATCTATCGAAAACCTCGAACAATCAGAGCGACTTCCAAGACGTCCACGACCAGCACACACTCAGCCAAGACGTTCTCACTCAACACACACTGGGCATCCAAAACGGCCACATTCGGCACAAACTCGACAACTAAGACAACAATCAGGAAGTCCTGAAGAAAGAAACAAATAATCACATCAAACCTCTCCATCTAACCTCGAATATGCATCGAAATACCAAGTATTGCCTGATATTCCTTGCCCTTTTATCGGTCTTCGGAGGCGTCGCAGTCTTTTCCGTTATCTGGCTCAACTACCATAAACAGCATCAACCCCCTGTGAAGCGCGGGATAAGGGGCATGCATCAACGGGATTTTTTGGGCTGGAAATCTTCTGCAGACGTTGCGGATATCCCGTATTTTGGTATTGAGGACAGCGAGTTCTCACACGTTTACAAATCTCGGTATCGAAATAGACATCGTTCGTCTGATGCGGAAGAAGATCTTGGTAGTCCAGACAGTTACTTTACCTCCAGTTCGGTTACCGCAACCACTTCATCGAGCGTGCAGCCATTGGCTACCTCTCATGGTAACATTAATCCATCTGTCGACAGTCAAGTTCCCGCAACACCTCATACGAGTGCGTAATTATTTGCCATTCCTGGTGGTACATGTAAACATGTTTGCAAATTTCGGGGTTGAGGTTATGGGGTGTGGGGTGTGGGGATAGGAAGCCGAATTATTTACGGTCACACTTTAGTGTGAGAGACCTTGTTGGAACACTCATCCAGTGATACACTTCCTAGGAGTTTTTGATACGTGGATTTGGAGGACACTGGAACTGGGGTGAATGGTTTCTAGAGTTTCAATGTTTCATAGAGCATTAGGCTTAGATAATCTATATGCATCTCTACTAGCAACTGTTGTATTTCTTTTTTTTTCTGATAGATACTAGGTATCTTGATGACTAGAAACAATCTTGACTTGCATCATAACTATGAACGCCTTTGGGATGTATATAAAGGGGTAGAGAATTCGAGATGGTAGAAAACGAGAGGAACTCGTAAGCTTGATTGTGCTGAGTAGAAAACAATCTTCAATAGACGCCTTGGCTTCCTCATGGTGAACTGCACTCCCATACCATAACTCACGCATACTAGTATGAGTTTGAAAGTCCTAGAAATTATTCCAGAATCGTTTGAGATTCCAGTATCATTCTTAAATTAGAATATTACGTAGCTTTGTAGGACATCTATTGCAGAGAAATTCTTACTTGATTCGGAATGATAGTATTTCTGTGAATCATAAGTCAGCTCGAGCGATGCCAGCCATTCCTAGTCGAGTCAAAGTCTAGGGAGTCATGTTCATTATGAGGTATGTCGGTCGACTTGGGACTGCTCTCGAGTTTCCAATTTTTGCAATTCTCCAGATTTGCTCCGATATTACAGTTACGATATTTGATGTCCAAAACTCCAATGTTGCTTCACATCAAAATACTATATATAACCCTTTGGGTGTCTTTATTTGTCTTCAGACATCAGTTTATTTAACCTGTTAACACTTACTACATACTCGTATCTTTACATCCTCACATCTTCGCCTCCTTATCATTCTCAAGTCTCTCTCTTCCCACAAAATCCCAAATACGACAGGATATCAACTACACTTCACCACGCCGCAATTACATCGAAACCCCGAGTCAACATTTCACAACCTTAATCCAAATACAGTACTCACTACCCTGCACCATGCCTATCCACAAGAAGCAATTCAACTCCACAAATCCCTACACAAACGCAAAAGAATTTGAAGAGAACCTCTCACTAGATCTTTTTTTGGCAGTTAGTGTCGTGGTCGTTGGAGGTATCGTCGTCATACCTATCGTATACGGGATTGAGCGATTCAGAGAATGAAAGAGGGAGAGAAAGGTTTCTCAGATGGTGAATGTTAGCGGTGACTTGGTATCATAGTACTCCTATGATTCATAGTTCGAAGCAATACCAGTCATTTGTAGCCGAGCTAGGGTGTTAGGAGTCATTGGGTTATGAATGGCTATTTAAGTTGTCAAGATCCCCTCGAGTTGTCATACTTTACCATTGTCTCAAAAACTCTGTCAAGATACAAGATTACGACTTTCAGAATCCAAAAACTTTCGGCATTTAGCATATCGCACTGCTTCGATCGATATACGTTTTCACAAACGGTTCCATAAGCCTGGTGTTAGTACATTCACACGTCCTCATATCCTCATATCCTCGCGCCCTCACATCCTCAAAATCTGAAGTATCTACCCCTTCACACAATCTTTACACCGGTATCCCAACCACACATCGCTACATCTCACCACGCCATATCTATATCAACCACTCGATTCAACATTCCACAACACAGCATCCGAATACAGTGCTTAGTTAAACTACCACGCCATCTTTTCCACAACAAGCAACCCGAGATCAAAGTTCACTATACAAGCACAATGAGTTACCTCGGCCAACAATATCTTCTCATAGGGGTTTTCATAGGTGGAGTGGTTTTTACTGCACTCTGTGCAGCAGGAATCTATAAATGGAAAACCAGAAAGATGAGACGGAGAAAGGGTCTTGCAGCAACAAGTGGGAGCGTTTAGTCGGTACTAAATGCCTCGTTCTGGTCCATTAACCCAACTCCTGCATTTGTTACGAGCTTTCATGGGCGAGGAGGATTTTGATACGTTTTGGTTGGCAGATTTTTGAGTTGGGTATTTGGTGGAGATAATTTTTTCTCTCTTTCTTTATGTTGGTTGTATCTTTGCGTGATGTTATAAGGATGGTTTTGCATCAGGGTGTGTTTTTGGGAAAGGCATCATGGTGGATATATCAAGAGGAGCGTTGCGACGCAGTGCTATGAAAGCATAGTCTTCTAGAAATACATCTTGACTTCTCATCCGTTATTTGATCTCTGAAAGCCCTACTTGACTTTTTTTGAAAATGATTCTCTGGTGGAGTTATTCTGGAGTGATGTTCATTAATGTCCGGTATCTGAAATTCAAATTGAAGAAGTTGCTTTGCTCTACACTTCCTCGTTGCGGTGAGGTGAATGTATCGATAGTTGTGAGTAGTGATACCTTTATGAATCATAAGTATGAGTCGTGCTGTCCAAAAGGTTGCTCAATAGCTGTGAGTAACAGTACGTTTATGAATCATAAGTATGAGTCGTGCTGCCCAAACAGTTGCTCAAATCATCATATATTCCATGGACTTGTGAATTTACTCAACTTTCTCGTAGATATTCTACAAGCTCTATCCACCGTCAATCTCAACCTCCAGAATCACAAAACTGTAATCAAACCATACAATACTACTTTGGTCGATATCTATCTCGACCCTCGAAGCCTTTTCACTTGGATCAAGATCACGCTGCCAACTCATATCTCAAGCAGCTTCCTATCATTCTCGAGCCTTCACACTCTTTCAACGCCTCAGCATCTTAACCTCCCTCGCGACACTTCGCTCAGTCAGTCTCGATCACATCAAGCTCCCGAGCCAGTATAGCACATCTTCAACATACAAGAACTTGTGCAAGTAATCATGAGTCACTTTTTGATAACAATGGCATCAAGTTATTGTTCGTCCTATGGCCTAGGGATAACTTGTGGGAGTGCTGTTGTCATCTGCAGTGCACTTGTTCCCCTATATTTCCTCTTCGACATCTTCTCGTTCTTCTATCAATTTTATCTCTACGTAAACCGATATTCTGAAGACTCTAGAAAGTCCGAAGGACATAGCTCTCAAGGGTGGAAGGGAAGAGCGATCGGAGACAACTGAATGTATTAATGAAACGGCTCATTGACTCTCGATTTCGTTATGATCTGGGAGATTCTTATGCGTTAGGATCTGGGAGTAGCAACATCGTCTCTTCACTGTAGTCCTTATATGTTCCAAGTGTTGGAATTTTTGATTAGGGGACTTTGGCATTTCCATGACGATTTGCTTGTACTCGTGTTTCATGTTTCTTTCTCGTTTCGTTGCGTGGCTTTGGAATGTATGTTTGGACGATGAGGAATGAGGAATGTGGCAGGAAGGGAATACATGTAAAGGATTTGGCTGTCAAGAGCGAATTCAAAGATCCAACTTCACTTCCTTATGATTAACGATTAACTCAAAATATACATTTATCATCTACTATTAGACCTTCAAAGTTCCATGAAACTCTATGAAATTTATTGAAAAATCGAGGTTCCTTGCACGCTCCATCCACATATCCCATTTAGAAGGTACGTCTTCATTCCTGCCCTTTTCGCTCACCGTATCCTCCACCTCTCCTTCTTTGTTATATACCCGCACATCCTATTGAGTATCACAAATAAAGCAAACAGCTTTCGTGGTCCAGTAAGTTGATCTCCTGTCAAATTCACCAGTATTTGTCACCTAACAAGCTGCAGAGGGTTAGGATTCCACCCTTCCAAGGTGGAGGTCGGTGTTCGAGTCACCGCGATTGCATATTATTTTTTTATTTTTGTTGCTCTGTTGCTCTGTTGCTCTGTTGCTCTGTTTTGTTTTGTTGATGATATTCTTCAGTTGTTGAGGTAATATTTGTCCAATTTTCTACTTACGTTTTTGTACTCGTATGTTTTGCACTTCTGCTTTTTCGTTAGGCCCACGCTTGCGGAACGAAAAGAGTTCGCCAGAGCAACCGATCATGGGTGGGAATTAGTCGGAGATTCAGAGGAAACTGCATATTTCTCGTATCAAAGTCCTCTTACCTCGTTGCTAATGATCTTCGGCAGGGTTAGAGGCTCTGAGCATCCATTGTTCATCAATTTCTCCTTGCAAACAAGCCCGACTCCCAATAACGAGCCATCATCTTAACATTTCAAACTTCCCACGGTCTGTCTCGGCACACCTAACTATTCTACAGCCTTTAGTCAATTTCAATTTCCATTCCGAAGATACCCATCCGAGACATGGCCAACACTGCATCCCTCCGGTATCCAGACTCTAGTAAAAGCGCAATATCCGGGCCCGTTTTCTGCATATCCGGAGCAGTGTTAGTTGTGATTTTGATATTCGTATGCTGCGGATATGGGTGCCTGAAGAAAAGGAAATTGGAGGCTCAAATCAGGAATGAAGCTAGAATGAAAGCTAAAGTACTTCGGAACGAGGAAATCTCCATGATTAACTTTCCATCGAAGGTTTACTCGGCTAGATCTTGAGGCCTTCGTGGAGATAGGGGGATTGGTGGCACAGATCTTTCCATGGAAGACATGCATGGCGGCCACACACTCTCTCTCTGGCCATACGGGGTATTGAATCTCTGATATCGTGCGACACAAGCAATTGTGTCAGTAAATTGTCACTACCATGACTGCTATGTTTGATGAAGATCAGCTCACCACTATGGGCGTTTTACCAAATTACACTTAACCTCTTTCCAAGACTTCTCTACTTTCTAAATCCAACAATAACACAAAGTGCGAAGGATCTCAAACTTTCATACTCACACCAATATCAATCGACATCGATTAAAATCTCCATACCAAACCTCAACCTCAAAACCTCCCAATCAACTCTATACAAACTTCTACGCCCTTCCACTCACACCCTGCGACCACATCACCATCAGACATGGCCGGATTCTGGAAACGCGAGACATGGAGTCAGGCAGCGAAGCGCATCAAACAGTTCTTACGATCCACACTTATTTTTTCCGCATTGCCCTTCATGATAATCTTCCTTGGCATTTTTAAATGTGTATTCAAATTCGTCGACCTCGCGATTGAAAGTTACGATATTCTCGATAGTGGCATTCCGAAAGTTTGTCGTGGGCAGTCGGTCGAGGATCAACTGCCTACTCCCAAGTTTATTAACCATCTCGTTAATTTTCAGATACCTGCTCAGACACCTGCCCAGAATACCTTTGTAGTCATTGACTCGGTGAGCCTTGACGACAAGAATTTATCTCATGACTCTCCTCTCGCACCAATCATCGATAAACCTATCGATTTCACTCCGACTTTACCTTCACCATGCGCTCAAAACAACGGTGGTTCCAGGGACACTGACTCCCGCTCTACATCCGAATTTCCTCCTCCTCCATATCAGTAAACCTATGCTTTAGTCTTCTCCGACGATTGCAACTACTATTTGAGTTTTTTGGGCCAGATTCAAAAAAGGGTGAATTGGTTTGAGCATGGTATTTAGATGAGGAACTTTGCTTTATCTTGCATTGATTTTTGTGGAGAGGTGGAGAGGAGAGGGACGCTTTTGTAAAAGAAGGATTGGTGGATGAAATCATATCATAGGTCTTGATACATGGAAATCTAGATATGGGAAGTCTCGCGTCACTTCTCGTTACATCCAAGTTAGCATTTATGTGCATGTGAAAGTTATGCGTGCTGTAATTCTCCCAATTCAATATCGACACAATGAAAAAAAAAATAGATTTCCTGCCTTCCTCTCGAAATTTCCCTTTTCCTTTCCAAACCCAGGTATCAAATCTGTCTTTTCATATCCCTATCCATATCCCTATCCCTATCCCTATCCCTATCCCTATCCGTTCAAATCGCCACTCCCAAATTTCCCATCTCATGACATACAAATACATCAATACCTCCCATGCATAATCCATATCCTGATTTCTTTTGTTTTCTTTTCTTTTCGAGTCTTAACTTACACGACATGTGACTATTGAGTAGCAAAGAGACGAATAATGAGAAACGAGAGATGAGAGATAAAGGATGAAGAAATATTTCAAACAATAATCCCCCTCTCACTATCCCTCTTCTGCCCTGGACTCCTGATCGAATCCCTCACAATCTCCACCTTCTTTCCCAGAGCCTGGGGCCCTTCCCTCAATGCCGGTATAGCCGCAACAGCAACAGCAACCGGCAGAGGACATTCAATCGTCACCCCCAACCCACTGCTTCTCTGTATCCAAGGCATATTACTCGCATCCAGATACCTCTCAAATTCCCACGTTCCCCCTGTGTTCACGCCATCAGTAGGAGTATCCATTCCCATCGTCGTATTTGTGAAATGTGATTCTCTGCCACAACTGTTATTCGTGGTGACTGTGTCGTTTCCACCGCCTGGATTGTTATCACCACCGCTTCTTTTCCGATAAGCTTCTGCCTCTTGGTCCATTCGATTCATACGTTCTATGCCACTATCTCTATTCATACCCATATTTAAGATACTTTTACTCCCGCGAATTTCGCGCTCGCTATCCATCCATGGTCTTGATTTTTCGGGATGAGAAGTAATCAAAGCGGCATCGCTTGCAAAGCTTAATGCGCTTAATGCGCTTAATGCGGGACTATTGGGACGGCTATCCATATCCATTTCCTCCAATTCCTCATCCATCTCATCCAGTTCTGCCCAGCATAATACATCATTGCCACCACTCAATTCATAAACTTCTTGTGCTTTTTCTTTTCGCTTTTTCTTGCGCTCTTTACGGCGTGTTGAGAGACTTGCGAGATGGAATGTAGGTTTGGGCTCGGTAGGACCTACGCTGAGGTTTTTGTTGAGGATGATGTCGGTTGCGTTGTTGTGGTTTCGGTTGATGGAGGCACCAGAGGTATTGTATTGAGAGTTGAGGGTGAGATTAGGGCTTCCCATGGCTTTGCCAATATTTAGAGAGAGGAGGGAGCGATTAGAAGGGGTTAGGAGGACAGAATTAGTACCCTTGTCGAAGAAACTTAGTTCTGAGGGGGCGTTAGAGACATGTTTGGATTTTTTGTCCGCTTTGTCTTTGTTGAAGAGGAAAGGAAGAGGTAAGGGAGATGAGGGGGCGGAGCGGAATGGCTCTTTTTTCGAGAGACTCCGGGAAGTAGATGCGGATGTGGAAACAATATTTGACCGCCCAGAGGCTTGTTTGCGATGGCGCGCGCGATGGAGAAGGAAGATTGTGAGGCAGAGAGTTAAAGCTATGGAAGCAAGGATCGCAAGAACGATGCCTGCTATGACTGGGACTGAGATTTTGGGTTTTGAAGAGGCAGATGTTGGTGCGAGGATTTTGAGAGGAAGGATGGTAGTTGGATTTGAGACGGGATAGAATGTGCTCCAGTTGCGTTGATGAATGGAGAATTTGGAACGTTCATAGTCAGCGATCAGGTAAGCCTCTTGAAGAAATGCTCGTCCAAGTGTGATCTGAGAGCTGTCGGCTGCTCGTTTAAGAGGGAAGTAGCGAGTATTGTTTTGAACAAGAGGGTAATTGGCCCACCAATCGAAAGCAGCGTAGGGGAGAGTAACATTTACCATGGCACTAGAGGTTGAATTTGTCAAAGTGAAAATCACAGAAGCGTTTTTGGCGACAAGCGTGGTGTACTGGGCGTCGTTAAGTAAGTACAACTCCGATTCTGAATCGTACGTAAGACCGAGAGCTTCTTCAAACTTTTGGCATATGTTGATTGGTAGATATAGGTATGGTATTGATGAGTCAATGAAACCTGAAAAGGAGGATGACGGCGATGAGACGACCTGAGATTTTCCGCCGGATGAGGTGATTGTGATTGTGTTGACATCAATCGTTAGGTCGTCACCATTGGTGGCAAAGTCGACAGTAAGATTATTTGGTACGAGAAGAGATTCTTCATATCCCCCCAAGGTAAGATTACCAAGGACTCCTCCCCCATTTGCTCCCCCACCATTGCGGTAATAAGCTCCTGCAGTGTAGCCATATGACAATGATGGAATGTGACCTTGAGACTTGAGATTAGACATATAACTTGGGGCCGGCTCGGTTTCGCTGGAAAAGTTTGTAGGTGCCGGATTTAGACCAAAGAGACCCAGCCAAAAGTCATGAGTGGTGATAGTTGCGAGGACCTGTGAGCTCAAGGAGGGATATCGACTACCCGGGGATCCCAGCATGATAGTATCGTTGCCATAATTTCCATTGCCAGCAAGACCAAGATTAGACTCGATTTCCAAAGCAAACTCGCCGCCTGGATTTATGGTGTTCGGTACCCTAAAGTTTTGTTAATGTCATGATGATACAACATATTTCATACAGTCCACGTACCATGTGGCTGACATGTTCGAATTAAATTCCAAACCTCGTGAACCAAGACAAGTTCCTAGATCCGATGGAGTACACCCATCTGGTGATACGACCCAAGGTTGATTGCTTGCTGTTGATATGAAAACCAAGACGGGTTGAGAAGGTGTTCCCACTGTGAGCCAGAAGCTTGACCAATTTCCGTCAATACCATTCCTAATGATATTGTTAACAAGTGACATGTTGATATGGAACGTTGAGAGTCGACAATAACTCACCAATTACCACTTGGAAGGACTGTGAGGGGAACAGGGGCTGATGAAGCTGTTGAGGCCAAAGTCTGATTAAGAAGGCCGAGGATAGGCAATAGGACGGAGACCAGATACCTCCAAGAAGACATTGGCATTGGAAAATATCATTAAGGAGAGTTTCATGAATTAATAATCGTTGAAAAGACAGAACATGCTGGCTATGATACAGTAGCTAGCAAGGAAAGGGAAGAAAGAGGAAAGATGGAGACGGATTCAAACGGCACAAAAATCGTGTAACTGGAACACACAAGTTTCCGACAAGATCTGCACCAAGACGGAAATTTCTAAAGAAATGTGATGTACGTAGAGAAGGTCAAGAATTTGGAGGATCAAAGAACGTGCTGTGCATGCCGGGCACCTATATGATACTACTTATCTCCTGTGTCAGGTAATTTCAAGTGCCAGGATCTGCGGAGACGTGAAAGTACAAGAATACCATTTCTATCAAGTTTGCCTAGAGCTTAGAATGGCTACACCCAAAGAGGGGCGAGATTTGATAGTTGGGATAATTAGTGAGAAGGATTCATGTTTGGCTTTGTCATGGCCTATATGTGGCATAGGCTAGCCTATCTTTAACTGCGATTTTGTAGAAGCGGGAGGCTCATAAAACAGTTGGTCCGTAGAACTAGGGGCCGAAATCTATCTCGCTTGGTAGATGGATGACAAGAAAAAGGTACAGTGGTAGTAAGACCTTTATGAAGCCTTGTGTAGCTTCGACTAGCTTGAATGAACTTTCGAGGTCCGCATGCTGCACAGAAATCCAAAGAGATGTAGCAGAACAATTTGCAACCGAATAGTTGAAACGCAAACCTGGGGTAGAACGAGGCTCTCTTCATCACACTGCCACCAAGTTAAGGCTGTTTAATCCATTGAGTCTGGATTTGAAATCCTGACTGAAGCTCTTTAACATTAAACTGAGAAGAATACAGTAATGTACGAACCTCCAGGGTAGTATTTTCACATTGACTTTCTTCTTCAAAATCAGGGGGTTGAATCTTCAAATCCGCGACGATGTAACGATATCTTCGTGTCATTTAAATTTCACCTAAAGGCATACTCCCCTGTTACCAAAGGATTGGATTAATCGAGGTCTAATCCTTACGAAAACTTGGGAAAGGGATGATGATGAGTGATTTTTGGTGGTAATTGAGGATTGAGGATTGAGATTGAGAAAAAAAAAACATGGGGGATGGATGATTTGCTAATATTCGGCCGCTTTTAAAGATAATAACTGCCGCTTTAATAGTATCAATCATAGCCCCCTCCTTTACCAAAACAATGAGGTCTCACTGTCTCAGCAAAAACCCCCCTTCTCACAAACAGCACACCACCATATCACCCATCACCATATCACCATATCACCACCATACCATACACATTATCTTTGAACCCACCATCACCACAATATCTATGAAAGAGAGCCCCCAAAAAACCCAGCTATGAATCGTTCGAGTTCAAGTATTCTATGCGACTACCGACTACTCACAACATGCAGCTGTCCTCAATCCAGTTGTGATACGAGTACGGCAGATATCATTGTTGGAAAAGAACGTTCCTCACGTCATTGTCACTGTGAAAGCATCAACACTTTTAATGTCAGGAAATGATGGGTTTGTTATACATCTACAGATTTGCCACCTAGGTCTTACAATACTGATCCTGTCATCGTACTGATTTTGTAATTAATTCCGTTATCGTACAAAGGTACCTATTTAGGTGTATCGATAGAATTCCGTCTTATTCCAAGGTTTCTAGCGACATCAAGCGATGTTACCTTAACCATCTCCGCCTCCAAAAATATACTTGGAAGAAAAGAAGAAAGAAAGAATGCGCACAGTGAGCATACTGCATGCACTGCATTCACACCCACACCCACACCAGAATGATCGAAAATGGTCTCTATCGTTATATGTAGGTAGGTGCTTCGTTGATTTTTTATGCCGTGTACATTTTTCTGCAGGGGACCACACCTATTGAGTTGAACATTCTCCAGTGTCCACTAGGATTACTCTTATTCATCCATCACAAACTGGCACAGCCGCTTCTGCAACCTCTTTTGATCTTTCTTTGATCCTTCAACCTTCCACTCATTTGTTTACGAGGTATGAGGCTCTATATTTGGCCGACGGATGCATTGCTTACGATGGATTCAGTTACCGAATTGAGCAAGTAGCTCTCTATTTATGCTGCGAACTCATTAGTGTCAGGCACAGCATCGGCTCTTGCATGAGCAATAATTTAATGAAGACCTATTTGAGCAGCCTTCCATTTTTTTGGCGAGGGGGACAAGATCCTGGTGATATGGAATGGGGATCTGACTCGTTACTTCACAACGATTAAACTGAAAGTCGATCTCCGTTAAAAACCTGGTTGAGTGTTCGCCCAATTATCAAGTGACTTGACTTACAAACCCAATTGTTTAATACATTCTTAAATTTCATCATGAGATTATTTCTCATGGTGCAGGTTTGTGTGTGAGCAATATCTAACTCAGCCCCGGAGGTTCATTTCTTTCAAGAATAATATAGGAACTCTTCTCCTCTTGCAACTTGGTTCTTTTCCTCCTTTTCTCGTCGTTTGTATTTTTTAATCTATGTTCTCATAAGACTCTATCAATGGGTTGATGCCCCGATTATTGTCCCATTTTCAACATGAAAGTTCTACCAGGTCTTCCAGGGACCCTGTCTCTTCTACATTCGGTAACTTCACTACCCAATTTTAACCAAGGTAAGACTAATCAAAATTGATTCGTGGTTTTAGTTCATCTTGTGGCGTTGAGTATTACATCTGCTGATACATCCCGTCCCCATAGATGGTGTATTAGTTCATAGGTATACTAATGAAACCTCATCATCGCATACAGCTTCTTCAGCCATATTATCAAAAGGTTCTCCGACCAGCACACTCATTTCATTCAGCACATTTCCTATCTTTTGTACGGCAACAATCACCTCGACAAGTGGTCAGCCTATCATAGCTGCAAAAGGAGCTTGTCCTACCACTGTCACTATCATTCACACACCCGCACCAGTTGCATATAATAAAGAAGCTGTCGTTAAGCTATCTACCGCTGAAAACGTCACCAGTTCCACCTTGGCCGAAGCATCGACTTTGAAAACCTCGGCACATACTACTGCAGTCACTACAGAGTTCGAGTCGAGCTCTGCCAGTTCTCACTTGGTTCCCATATCACCTGAGACTTCAAAAAATTTGGTTGAAGTTTCGAGCAAAGCCTCAAGCTCTATCGCTGTTTCCATTTATATTACCTCGAAGTCAAGTGAGTCAACAAGTTCGGTGACTTCGAAACCACTAAGTAATTGCACTCCACCCACGAGCGTCTTTGCGACATCCATTGCTTCACATACCAGTACATCAAGTGATTTTTCATCAAAGACATCTGAACTATCTTCGAAATTTCTTTCTTCGACGACTTTACCTAGCGGCACCACCACAACACAAGCTTTTACATTCACGGCATCACTGGCGGTATCAACAACACTTCTTGCTTCCTCAAAGAGTATCGAGGTATCTGTCTCATTAGGACATACTGATATCTCAAGATCTGAGTCTTCAGTTAGTTCGAATTCATCCAAGATTGCCGGTTTTGCCCCGACAACTCTTAGGACCACCTCGAGGAACGAATCGAATACGTTGAAGAATTCCAACCCTGCTTCATCAACGGCGGCACTCTCCTCATCTTCTTCAGGAGTAAAAATATCTGAACCGATTGCCCCAGTTGCTCTTGCCTCAATTCCAAAGTCCAGCTTCAAGTTTCATTTGATATCTTCAAACCAGTCATCATCTACTATCTTAACATCAAAAACATCTGAATCTTCTATTCAATCAACACACGAGTCTAAATCTGAGTTTAGCTCAAGTGCAAGAGCATCTGAGACTTCCATTCAATCGACACGTGATTCCAAATCGCAGACCAGTCCGGAATCCTCGAAAATATCATCAATAATCTTAACTTCTAAGCCATCTGAGTCTGCGCAGACTACTCGTGAAATTAAATCCGAATCCAGCTTAACAGCTTCTCCGCAAGTGTCTATACCTGCCGTCTCGACCTCCCAGACATCCGAGTCTTTTTCTACTCAAACAACACAAGAAAGTAAATCAGACTCAAGCAAATCGGCTTCATCGGCGGTATCGTCGGCTTTCTCGTCTTCTTCCCCTCAAACAATACGAGAAAGTATATCAGACTCGAGCAGATCAGCTTCGACGGCGCTAGGTCTCTCGACATCTAGACCGTCCGAGCCATCAAGTCAAACTCAACCGAGTCAAAGTCAATCAAGTCACGAGTCAAAACCAAGTCAAAGTCAATCGAGTCAAACTGAATCAAGTCACGAGTCAAAATCTAGTCTTTCCACTAGTGGATTTCAACCAACTTCAGTAACTTCAAAGAGCCAAAGTCAAACTCAATCAGGTCACGAATCGAAATCCAGTCTTTCTACTGATATTTTTCAACTAACTTCAGTGACTTCAAAGAGTCAAAGTCAGACTACCCAAGAGTCAATTTCGGGAAAACAATCAAGCACTTTCAATAGAATCCCCGAAGCATCCATTACTTCCCCAGAACACACATCAACTGCAATCAAGTCATCAGAGACTATATCTCAAAGCTCCAGCACACAAGGACAAAGCACATCAGAGTCAGAAGTCACGAGCAAAACCTCTAAGGCTCCTGTTCCAGGCAAATCCTCGGACATTTCCTCTCAGAGCACAAATTTTGCAAGCAGTACTCAGAAATCATCTATTCGTACCGAATTACCTGAAACCGCTTCCTCAAGTGTGAAACCTTCAGTCAGTGAGATCCCAAAGCAAAGTAGCTCGATTGAAGGAGTATCTACTTTGGTTAAGACTTCCGAACTTCATTCATCCAGCCCTTCTTCCTCCAGTCAGCCAGAAAAGACGGAGACTACAAAAGAAGCTGAAGGAGCCTCTCGTACATCCTCCTCTTTACTTAGTAAGACTACAGGTGAAGTATTTTCTACCACAGGCGAGAAATCCAAGACTTCGATCTCCTCACCTCTTACGTTGTCATCTGAGGAAGAATCAACTACCTCACATGCAACAAAGCTTCCAACTTCTGAACTTATCTCTAAAACAGGGTCATTAAAAGAGGTACCAGAACCTACTGCGTTATCTACGAGTAAGGTTCAGACCTCTACTGAAAGCTCTAAATCAGAGTTATCACAGTCACTCTCTTCAAAGGCATCTGCATCGGGTCTTGGTGAATCAAACACGAAAGGTGTTCCCACCCAAACCTCCGTTCCAAAGCCATCATCGACAGATATGAATATTAGTGTTATTGTGGGTTGTACGGCAACGCTCTCGATTGTCGGCCAAATTTTACCAGCATGCCCACATACTATCACCCTCGATTCATTTTTTTCGATCTCAAAAACACCGGTTTCGGTCTCACCTACAAGTATCATAATTTCGACAAGTAGTCCTGCTACTTCAAAAGCAGTTGATACTACCAGCTCAAAATCACCAGATACGCTTACATCTGTCTCTGCGACTAGCCATCTAACAAATACAGTATCTGTACCTAGGAGTAAACCGACTGATACCGCAACCAACGTCCCAACTCCAGGATCTACAGTTCCAGTGTCTATGGCATTACCTCCTACTTCTCATCCAGCAACTAGTGCTCCAGTAGTTTCAGCTACAAGCAAGTCACCTGACTCGCCTACTTCGAGAGCAACAACCAAATTACCTGTCATCCCAACCTCGATTCCAGAAAACAGTGCTCCAAGTATTTCAGTATCAAACAAGTCACCTGACTCATCTATTTCGAATCCTATCACAAGCAAAGCATCTGATCCTCCTACTTCAAATACAGCAACTACCAAATTGCCCACAATTTCCACCTCGGTCCTAGCAACCGGTGCTCCGATTGCTTCAGTAACGAGCAAATCACCTGACTCGCCTACTTCTGATCCAGTTATAAGCAAATCACCTGATACCTCTACTTCCGTCCCACTTACCACAAAGTCGCCAGACTCACCTGCCATTCCTGTGACTAGTCTTGTAACTTCTAAGGCTAGTAACGCTGGAGGAGATACTTCTAAAACAGCCCCAACAACAGCATCTACTAGTCAAGTCCGTACTGAAACCGCAAAAGCAACGTCAACTCCACAAACGACTTCAAATCCTGTGTCTAATCCAGAGACCAAATCTGTCGATACTACAACAAATAACATATCCCTTCCAGGATCTACGGTTTCCCCATTAGTGTCACTGCCTGTGAGCAATACGGCTGGCACAGCAACTAATATTGCCCCTCCCACATCAACTACAAAACTGGTTTCTTCAACTGGGAGCAAATTGATCGATACCGCACCCAATGGCTCACCTCAAGGATCTACAGTTTCAGCATCAGTGTCACCACCTGTGAGCAGTACAGCTGGCACAGTAACTAATGATTCCCCTCCACCATCAACTACAAATCCTGAATCTTTAACTGGGAGTAAACCGACCGTTACCGCATCCAATGGCTCAATCCCAGGATCTACAGTTCTTGTATCAACGGGAAATCCTGTGTCCACAAACCCTGTATCAGTTCCTGAAACAAAGCCAGCAGATACAGCACCTGTTAGCAATCCAACCAAGACAGCAACCGGAAATTCTCTATCTTCGCCTTCATCTACTGGAACCTCTGGGACCACTACATCAGCTCTAGGCATTCCAGTCGGTCTACCCACAAGTGATAAAAGTACTGTCCTCCCAGATTCTACAGGAACAGGTGATATCATTGGCACCCAACCCATAGCCAGCAATTCCGGCCTCCAAACAAATGCCACAGGGAAAGTACCCCTAACAACTGACACCGGTGCCGCAATCCCAAGTCTCCAAATATCTCCCACCGGCGCAAAAACCAATCCTGAGATCACCACCGCAATATCCAGCCCAACAATCACACCCACAACCATCAAATCCGCACCAGGCCAAACAACCCTCGCTCCCGTGGTCGTCAATTCCCTAACCCTCAGCCAAAAAACCTCCAACTTTGTAATCGGTACCCAAACCATCAAACCCGGATCCGAAGCCACCATCAGCGGCGAACGAATCTCCATCGCTCCATCCGGCTCTGCCATCGTCATCAACGGTGCAACAACTAGTACCATCCCTGCACCCTCTTCCCCATCCAGTGGAGCCAAAGCCGTTTTATCCACCACCACTGAACCGCTCCCTGGTGTTTTGGTGCTTGAAACTTCGAGTATCACGGCCGATTTCAGTAACTCTGCATTTGTGATTGAAAGCGCCACCTTAACACAAGGCGGCGCCATAACCAAAGACTCCACCGTCATCAACTACCCATCGCGCACCACGACCACTCTCCCCTCCAGCGTCATCGTCATCGGTTCCTCAACCTACACCAAGAATTCCGCATCAGGCGTTATAATCGGTAGTCAAACGCTCAAACCCGGATCGATTATTACGTTAGATGGCTCGACGCTATCTCTCTCTCCGACCGGCAATGCTGTGGTGGTCAATGCTAATAGTGGGTTTGTAACTAGTACGGCTAGTCTGGTGAGTGTAGTGCCGTTGAGAAGTTTGGTGATAGGGGGGCAGACACTTACGGCGGGTGGAACGGTGACGGAGGGAGGCGATATTTTGAGTTTGGCGGCGGGGGGGACGGGGATTGTGGTGGTGGGCACTATGACGGTGGGTGGTGGGGGGGCGACGGAGGCTGCGAAGAAGAAGAGTGCGGGTGTTAAAGGGATAAGGATGGGGTTTGGTGGGTGGGGGTTGTTGTATTTACAGATTTCTTGCATGTTTTTGGCGTTATGGTTGTGAAGTTGTGAATTTGGGACTCGGAGTGGGGTTGGGGTTGGGGTTGGCAGGCTTGTTTTGTATTATTATATTTGAGAAGAGAAGGGAAGGAAAGAGGGGTTTGTAAACAGACAGACAGACAGACAGACAGACAGACAGGCAGGGTAATGATATCATAAGCACCGATATATCAAGCGAAAAGTTTGGTTAGGAGGATAGGATATTCTTTACTTTTACTTCTCTTTTACTTCTCTTTTATACTGAGTATATATACATTTCTTAAATCCTATATTTTTAGGCCGTTTTTACTACAAGTACAGAACATAGTATAACATCATATATATACGTGTATATATCCGAAAAAATTTGTATCTATATACAAGACAAGTGTAATGATAATATTCCTCTCCATTGGGATGAGATGAGAGAGAAATTCCCCCTAAGGATAAGAGAAGGGAATTATTAGAGAGAAAGTATAGCAACTTGAATAGCATAAACAAATCATTATACTCGCTCGAGTAAATAGATACTAAAAGAAAATACGAGTATAATTCGCGGCAATTTTACTTGTGTATACTCGAGTATTAGAAAAGAGAAGAGGATATAATACTAGTACTAATAATGGTCTACAGTAGCAACATCTTGAACAACAATGTATACTTATATAGATATCCTATCTACTCGAGTATTGTCCAAAAGATAATTCGTAGAATCGCGAATTTAAATAGAGTAGGTGAGATGTGTTTACTCGAAGTATATACAGCACATATAATCCAATTCTATTCTGAACGAAAAAAAAACCTCTCTATCTATCTCGGTATTGTAGTAAGAGGATCAAAAAAGTACAATAGTCCAAGTCTTCTTACTCGAATATATAAGATCATATAACTTGAGTATTTACTTATCTATCTACTTGAGTACTCAAAACAGGAAACAGGAAACCACGAGTACCTCAAGAACATTTTAGGATTATATTTAAGATGTACTCTAGATAAGAAATGTAAGTCTTACTATCACATTTAAGCATGCAATAGACCGATTTGTGATTTGTGATTCGTGATTTGTGATGAACTTCATAAAGCAAAGTGATTCGAGATTCTGTGCCCCTGAGACGAGGATATTGATAAAGGGGTATCTGTACTTTTATACTAAGGAGTTATCCAAACGCGATGACAAACAATTTCGGCTTTTGTATTTATTTTTTTACTTGTAGATAACGATGAGTATTACTCTAAACCAGATTGTTATTTTGCTATTCATAACTTATTTCGGATGAATGAGAAAAACTTGTTTATATAGCAAGGTAATTACATTTGTCTCGCATATCTCTAATCAGCTCTACTCGAGTATAAGGTAGTATTTACAGATTTCAGCGAAGGATCATGATCCCTTCTATTGTCTTTTCCCTCCATATCATCAAATCTTGCTCTGTAAATAGAATTGATGGGATTAGACGAAATGAAACAAACCAAAACGAGAAAGAGGAAAATTGTTTTCGTAATAGGAGTAAATGAGCCTATTCCTGCTTCGCTCTCTTGCTTGCCAGCCCCTCACTCATGCATTGAGCCACATCTTCTACTGTCGTTCCTCTTTTTCTCTTTTCGGTTTTCTCCTCTCCGAGCACCGTTTCATTTGCTACGGTTCGGTATATGTCGGCGATTTCGCCGAAAATTCCTTTCCCCTCCTCTTCCTCTCCTTCTTTGGTTTCTCCGCCTGCGAATCCGGTTTCCCCATGACACATTCCGATTTCCTCCATTTCTCTTGCCCATCTATAGGCTTTCGGTGGCATACCTGTTATTCCCCCGCCCACTGATTTCCATAAGCCTGGTACCCTCTCACTCATCTCCTTTTCCAATTCTCCCAAAACTCCCATTCTTTGAGCCGACGTAAATGCTTGGATACATAAGGCTGTAAATCCTTTCGTCGTACTAGCAAAACAGCACTTAAGACCAGATGCCTTGCCAATTTCTTCACCTAGATAGTTAGAATTTAGAAGTTCTGCTAAATTTGCACCAGATATGGGAGCTTTGGAAAGTTGGTGAGGTCCAGAAATGGGGATTGAAGGACGGCTCCATGCATGCTCTAGATCTGGATCAATAGATGCAGTCGTATTGGGAGTTGTGGTGTCATTTTTTAGTCTGGGAGCACCGCCTAGAATTCCACCATCGATGAATCTAATGGATGGTGATGTGGTGTCGATATGAGAGGCGATTGAGCGAGCGGTGACAGGAGCTATGGCGTTGAGGTCGAGATAATAGAGGGGAGAGGATTTGGGTGGAGAGATTGAATTAAATGCAGTGGTTATCCGAGTTGCCATTGATAGTGCATCACGAGGTGGAACAATGGAGAGAATGTAGTCTGATTGTGAGACAAGAGATGTGTCCGTAGACAGAAGCTCGATTTTGGATTTCTGTGCGCGTTGTTGGGTATCTTGGCTGGGTGAAAGAAGGTGAGTTCAATGTAAAATAACGAAGAGCGGGGGTGGATTGTGATATGAACAAGAATCTGTAGTAGTGTCGAATCATCAACTTTGATGTCCTCAGAGGTGCAATAGCTCCTCATGTCACTATGGACTGCTTCTAAAATGAAAGAACGACGATAGCCCCTTTATCGTGAATGTCCTTCGGATTCCAATCCAAACACTTTAGATGACAGAACGTTAGATGTTCATATCTCCCCTCGATGAGTTTAGCTTCTCTCATTGAGAGCTAGTTTCAACACTGCACTTCTTTTGAACATTATAGCTTTGCGAATCGATAGCTGCTAGCATGAGTTATAAGAGATAATACAACCAACCTTCGACCCTCAACATTCGTCACAACCCGATAATTATGGGCAATAAGCAACTTTGCAACACCCATACCCATTTCTCCAATAGATATGATACCAACAGTGGCAAGTGGTGACATTTTGAGAGTTTTTATGTAGGATAATTTTTATGAGGAGGGCCAGAATATGATACCGCCGGTGTCTGATCTATGTAATGGTACAAGTACTCGAGTACTCGATGGATAATAAGCGTTTGCGATATCGGAGAAGGAACCGCCGTATCGTATGCATGTGAATGATCACATGACTGCAGCGCACAGACCGTATTAATCCTCGTCGCGACTCCAAAAGTTGATGTACTGAACTTCATAGCACAAATACTTACTTGCTACTTGTACTTGTTAGTTTAACTTATACCAACAATACATCAAAGAAAACACCTTTTACTCAGATCAATACTCTTTTCAATATCTCCAACATGGATAGAAGTCTTGATGATATCACTGGTGACCGTCAGGTAAGGAAGACCCTGTCAAACTCGAGGCCTCGAAAATGTTGTCTCAGCCTTGCAACACGACATAACACTGACGTCTTTCACAGCAGAGAAATGGCGGAAATCGAGGTCGAAATGGTCGCAGGAACAATCGAAATGATTACCCTCGTGACGGTGTAAGAAAGGTAAGACCTCTTCAATCTCTTCGACGAGTCTCGAGTCTCGAGTCCATTCGCTCACATTTTCACCGCTACAGGTGCATACACCTCCTCCTCAATCCTCATATACCTGATTCCTCTCCGAATGTTCTCAGATCGCATCGTTGCTCCATCAGCGCATGACGCCTCGACAGTTCATGGAATGTACGTAAATAGAATACAATGGCTAACCCATGCCTCCTCCTTTGGTAGCCAAATGGAGGAGATGAATCTAGAAACATAGACTCGTAAGTCTCGGAATTTTGAGAAGCTCTCCTGAAAGCAACTAACATTAGTAGGGAATGGGTTCATGACAAATTCGATGACCGAAGTACGCATCACTCTCATACTTTCTCGACCTTCTAGCTCACAAATATCCAGACGCCCGTCCTTCGAATCGCCCTGAAAGACGCAACTATGATGACGAAAAACCATTGTATGCAATACATACTTCCCCAGTTAGTATTACATACTAACGCAAAGTAGGAACAGTGCAAAAGTTTTGGTCGAGAATGTACACTATGATTTGACAGAACAAGAATTGGAGGTACGGAATATGAGAATGAATATCAAGATTTCACCTGCTAAGAATGGTATTAGGGTCTTTTTGAGCGCATTGGTCGTGTTGCTCATTTGAATCTCGTTTACGATAGAGCTGGACGCTCAGAGGGAATCGCGTATGTGACGTATGATGATGCAAGGGACGCCCAGAGAGCTATTGCCGAGTTTCATGGCGCAAATGCCAATGGTAAGAGTTACATACATGTTGTGTATAACACTTCTAATATTTTCTAGGTCAACCAATTCGTCTTAGATCTGTTCCAGATGGTCCATCAAAAGGTCGTGGAGGCAGAAACCAAGTCGAATCATCAGGTCGTTCCCTCGCCGATCGTATGACTCTTCCACGTTCTCGATCCTTATCTCCTCCAGTCAGACATTCTGATGTTAGCAAACCACCACCTGAAAACGTTGATCGATATGTTCCAGGAGATCGAGGAGATCGAGGAGACCGAGGAGACCGAAGAAGACGCTCGCGTAGTCCATTATCACGTCGTGGACGAGATGGTCGCAGACCAGGCGCAAGAAGAGAGAGAGGCGAGCGTACTGCTGGTCGTGGTGGAGACAAGCCTGCAAGAGATGGTAGACCAAAGAAAACACAAGAAGAACTCGATGCCGAGATGGATGACTATTTTGGGAATGGATCCAAGCAGGAGAATGTTAACGGGACTACAAATGAAGCTCCGGTTGCAACCCAAGAGCCTGTTCAAACTGGGGATGATACCGAGATGATTGAGTAGGCGTTGTATAAGTAGTAGTAGTAAATTCATAATCGATTTGATCTACATATAGCTAGTGCTACGAGGACCATGCGATAAGGCCATGATTTATGTACAATATAAGAGTTATACAGGAAAAGTTATAAAACCTGCTACCCTCCCGGGGGTTGGCAGGCGTTGTATATAGGTCGCCTATCAAGGCATAACTATTCATTGATCGATCGCACTTCTGGTTCTCATTGCATCTTTAAAATAAATAAAACAAAAAATCGTCTCGACTTGTCTTTGTTTTACCAAGTTTTCCCAACTTATCCCTGACCTGGAAATTCTCATCCGAAAATACTCAAGCACTCTTAGTATATATAAATTAGTAGGATATAACAACAACTGTAAGGTAGAAAGGCAGGCCATTTTCTTACATGTTTGTGTAAGACTATGTGTATATATGAATCCCAAGATTCACTTCTTATAGGGTAGTAATATCCAAATTGGTATCAGTACTCGAGTCTACTCGAATAGAAGATCTACCGTTGTTCAAAATTTCTCTCTCATCTGTAATTATAATAATGTACGAGTAGTATATAACTTGATGAGCATTACTTACCTACCTACGCTTCTTAGAGAAAACCGAGGGAGAAAATTGAGGATTGTGACTTTTGCATACAGTATGCTGGGTTTTCTAGGTTTTAGGCTCTAGGTTCTAGGTTCTAGGGACTTTAAATATTGTGTTATACTGTATATGTACGGGTATATCATTATTGAACATAGTACTATACTATATCTACAGTTCCGCTTCCGCAAGCTTTAAGTTTTAAGTTGCTCAAGCTTCTTTCCCTATCACTATCATATTCATCGTATACCCTGCATCCACGCTTCCGCTTTCCGCTCATCGCAACCTCTTTCTTTCTTTCTCTTCCTTTTTCTCAGTGACTTGAAGTTGGAGAAAATACTTGGTTGATTGATTGATTGATTGATAGGTGGATAGGTAGATAGAAAGCCATCAGTCAATCATCAATACCAACGCTCTCATCCCTCCTCTTCTTTTGAAGACATAAACCTCATCCCCTGCTTCTCTACCGGATACGAGAATCTCTTCTCCTTCTCCAAGGTGCCCACGTTGACTTTCCTGATAGGGGATTTCTTTTCCGACTCTGGCGAATATTTCGGCCAGCGCGTGTGTCCCACCCTCTTTTTGGTGATTAGAGAAGTGTCTTCTTGAGTGCTATTATCTTTGGAAAGGGTTTTTTTTCTTCGCTCTTCTACTTTCCGTAACCTTTCTGAGTCCGTCTTTGAACGAAGCGCCGACTTGGTTAGGTATTCCTGTGTCTCCTGGGGCAATGTTCCCGCTTGGTCGCGATATAGATATGAATATGGCATATCGATTTTGGTATTGATGTGTTCGTATGCCAAGTCATTTACTCTCTTTTGATGGGAAGAATGGAGGAAGATTCCCGACTCAGATACTGCACCAAACTCGCCTTTTCGAAAGGTGAGAAAAGGCGGTTCAAGGTCATGAGCATTTGATGAACCGTCATTGATATCGCTTTTGGGTAGTTTATCGATTGTACTTGGAACAACTCCAAACGTAGCTCTCTTCGACCAACTGAGAACAGAAGCTTCACGGAAGGATAATCCGGTCATCGCCGGTTCTTGTGTGATATATTTCTTCACCGCTAGCCTGTCGTCACTGACGCTGGAATCTACGCCGGAGATCTCAGTTGATGTTAAATCATCCATTGGAGATTCATAATCCTTTAGCTTGTTGGGATTGATGGTGAAGAATTGTATGTGATCACCACGTCGAGCGAGATTGCCTAATGTTGAATCTTGTCCTTCTTCGATTGAATGAGGAGAATGGTCAAATCTCGCCGAAGCAATGTCTTCGTGTGTCAATTGGGGATCTAGGGATAAGAGGCCTTGTTTAGAACCCCAACCACCGCCACCGCTCACTGATTAAATTTAGTCTTCTGTATGCCCGGATGGAGATGAAACGGGCTCAAATAAAAGGAAGCCACTCACCAACACGACAAAGAATTGCTCCAAGAGCCAGCTGAGTACCAACAAATCTTAGATTCTCGTCGTCATTGCCCCAAGTTGACTCGAGATGTTCTGTCATTTCAAGCGTTGTGTCTTTGAGGTTTGGATTCAGGAGCTCCTTTCGGTATATCAACGCCCACACTCCAACGGTCGTCTGCTGCTCAATAAACTTCATGTATCGTGTGACTTGAGTTTCTAGCTCAGAAGAAGCTGGTCTGTTATCTACATCTTCTGACCCGAAGGACAACTGTCGAATAATATTGCCTAGCCCACTTGCAATGGGTCGAGGCAGAGTGAGAGGAACCGCGGGTACAAATATTGGTGGAATCATGGTACTTTCATATCGAAAGGCTTTGACATGTTGAAATTGTTTCTGCTCAGATTTCAGGCTTTTGTATGCACCCTTGTACCTACGGGTCCATTGATCTATCTGGAGAGTTGAATGCTTGCCATTTACAAACAAAGTATTTGCCAAAGGTAAGCTAATGGTAGTGGCTGATGATAATTCGCCCACTTGTTGATGGGATTTTCCTGAAAAGATGAGATGTGACAATTTTTCAGGATTCGTCGTGTTATTCTTGAACGATGCGGTCTCCCACACATTTCTTGGGCTTAGTACTTGACTCCGTAGACCATGCAAGAAAGAAAATCCCTCAAGTGGCCCAGCACGCTCCGCTATTGGGATAGAATCGGGTGAAGGTGCAAGCCCATCAACCACGGCACCGATAACTACAACGTAGTTCGGCTTCTTGTCTTTGTGAAAATGTGTAAGACGTTCCAAGACATGTTTGATAAAATCATCGTCATTTTCAAGCCATTTGGCAAACGCTGGAGTGGCCAGAATAACAATTGCTTCCTCGGCCGAAGAAATAGAGAAGTCTTTCACGTATTGAGATTGCGACATGCGAGCACGCGTCGAGATGAGGTGCAGAACTTGTTCTTTAGTCTATATGATATGAGTGACGGTGCCATCTTGAGAGTGCGAATGTAACCTACGGTGCGCTTGGGATCCGGAGTGGTGATGCTAAACTGGCGGGGACACCGCAAAGCATGATTATCTTTGCTTTCATTGATAGGTTTGTCGTCTTTAGGCTTGGTAGTAGACTGATTAGAATCTCTGGTCGAACTCTTCTTTCGAGGTTTGGCTCGAGGCCCTTGCAGGTCCGATTTCATATCATTAATGAAGTTCCCAAGAACCGTGTCTCCATCAATAGTAGGATTATATTGAGGTGCAACGACCAGCCTCACGATTGCTCGTCGTGTTGATGCAACCCGAGATAGTTGAAATTCACTCCCGTGATCTTCATCTTTGACATCGCCCGCTCTGGCAGTTTTTGAAAACACGCGCCTGGCGATTATTTGTCGGCCTGAGCAGCGACTCACATTGTGAATAACTCTGCTCGAGATCATCAGTCGTCGATGCGAGAGATATAGCATCTGATACCCCATGTCTGGAAGGTCATGGAGTTTTCTCTTTTCCTCCGATTGATCAAAACGAAGTGGATGGAAACTAAAATCTTAAAATCTTAATCAGCAGATATCACGTGAGTAACAACGGGAAGATCTAGAATTAAGCCAAGCGAAATAATACTTTACTAAATATTCTTAGATTTTAGAATAAAACTATACGAGTATTATAATAAGCTTTTTTTTTAAATATAAAACAGGAATAAGAATAAAAAGAGTATTTCTATAAAATTATTAAATAATATAAATAATATAAATAATATAAATAATATAAATAATATAAATAATATAATAGTCTCGATTTATTCTAATAGTACTTCTTTATAGTAGATTATAATTATTATTTAAACTTATTTAACTAAGTTTAAAGCGAACTATATTTGAATAAAGCTAAATTATATACAATCTAGTTTAATCTCTAATATAGAATTAAATGAACTCTATTTTCTAGATTCTATTAATTATATAATCTATTTAGCTTTTTGATATGATTTGTAGCTAGACTAATGCGATTTACTCTAAACTCAGTTAGTTAGATGAGTTTAGATAATACTTGTATAAGTAGATAAGTAAAACTATATTATATTAAAAGTAAAGAAATTATAATCTGTTCCTCCGAGTCAAACTTATACTTCAAGTTCGCATCGCTTACTCATTCACTCACTTAGATACTTATATCATTCCTCTACTAGTAATATCTTCATATCTTAATTCGAATCCAGACCGCTTCTTGAATAAAACCAATCTCCAAATAATTTCTCCCGGTACTACTTAGTATATTCTATCCTATAAAAGGCACAAGCCACAAGCAAGCAAACAATATCTTCAAAGTTTAAAGTTTAAACAGGCTTGTTTATATTCATGCAGCAATACAGACTTGTACAGCTGACTGGCCGATACCAATACAGATACAGAAAGAGGCTCGACCACTGCATATAATATGAACCAATCAAAGCTCTATATATCATTTTCGACTAGGTACATAAAACGGTACTTGGCTATATGTAGTATAGTGTGTGAGATGGGTGAGATGAACTTGCAGAAGGCGATACCTCGATTCCGATGAATGCAGGATGGATGCATGTGTGCATGGCGAACGAGAGATGGAGAAGAGGTATGGTATGGATTATGGGTAGGGTAGGGTAGGGGTAGGGATGAATAGTCAATGGTCAATGGTTGATGATGATTGGTCAACACATTGAATTAGGTTGGTACGGCAATTATCTTGTTCATGTTGCATCCATCCATCCCTCCTTGATTTCCGAATTGCGAATTGAGCACAAACCAAATAGGTGTATAGGTGTATGGATGGGTGGGATAATCTGGTGACTACAGTACCTAGGTATATATAGCCGTACCTAGTATTCTTTATATACCCAGAAGAGGGGAGAGGGGTTGCGTTGCCGCGAAAAGGTACCTGGGAGCCTGGGAGTGTGGGTGGGAGGACACGGTAGAGTGAACCGACCGACCGACAAGAATGGATAGTCAAATCATATCCATATCCGAGTTCCAACGATCTCCTTTCTCTGTGTTTGCATCTCTTGTTTTTTTTTGGTTGGGTGGGTGAGTTGTGGAACTGTGGAATTAATTTAAAAAGATGATGGGAGATGAGATAAGATGAGACTTGGGCCAATTCAAAGGAATGATTGATTGATTGAATGATTGGAGAGATAGACTTGGAGGATCCATGCTTGTCTTCTTGTGATGGTTGTTCTTTCGCCTTACGCGGCTGAAGGATTAAGCCTGTTGTTGATCCTAATAAGATTTTATTCATAAGTTCTATACAGAGCCACTGGTTTTTATATTTTGAACCCAAGACAGATAGACCCTTCAGTGTTTCTGAATTCTGCTTGTACTTAAACTTATTCAAGGATAATCTATTTTTATGATCTTCTTGAAAGCTTCACTGATTAACTTCAAACTCTACTCACGGCTCATTAGAAGAACATCTTTTACAGTAATGTCTAACCACCCCCGCAAATATTTCATCTTATCTCTTTTTCATATCCATTTTTTCATCAGATGAAACTTTTAAACCTTGAAATCTTGGAGATCAGCTGCTGTTGTTTGTCAAATGCCATACTAAAGTTTATTAGTATTTCGTAAATTCGTATATTCGCCATGTCGAATTTGGTTTGGATGATACAGTACGCTGTGATTCTTATTACTCGAGTTGTGGTGTAAATTGGTGATTTGAAGATGCAAGATAGAGTGCTCACAGTGCAACCAACATATAATGTAATCCATTGTCAGGAAGTAAAAAGGATTTAAAGTGATGATACTCCAGATGTTCTTCCGATGAGTCCCTTTTTCACCTATTTTGTAGAAAAGGTACCGGTTACTTTATTGTATTGTACATCGTAATGCACACTTGTTGTAGATATAGATACGAAATCTATGAATTGGTTCCTGGATGCACGGGAAAAGGCCCACGTTGTCTCCAGTTTTTTTATGACCTATCTTAATAGATTTGACCCAAAATAGGTGTAGGAGTGGAGTTTTATCAAGGAAGTGAATACAAGATCGTGATATCTTGATATCGAATAAGAGTACCTAGGGAAATGAGCACCGGTTAAGTGTACGAGTAGATACTAGTAGATATCTCGATATCTTTTCAAGTAATTGATGGCTACGAGATATTCAATTGAATAAATATACCTAGGTAGGTAGTCTTACAAAAAGAAGAAAGGATGATGATGACAAGAAGACAATGAGTTATTATATATATATTATATATTCACTTCAAAAATCAAATTACCTCTGTTCTTTATAACCAAAAGACTGAATCCTCGGTTTGGGGCGTTCTTAATTTCTTAGGTCCACTTTTCTGACCTGTGGCTCCGAATTAGCGTCCTTTTTCTTAGCAACGCCAGCTTTGGGACGAATTTCCAAATTCACATAACCACCTCTTCGTCTTTCTACGAATCTCTCTTTTGATCCTTTGGTTTTTTTTGGACATCCCCAAAATACAACTCTCCCCCTCCCTCCTCCTCGCCCCCCCCACCCCAACAACAACCCTTTAAACCTTCTTTTTTTGGTAGTAGATTCAGTCGCATGTCCATCTCAAAGGGCTTTGCTTCTGATCTCTACCGTCCATTCCTTTAATACTAACTCAATTTTATCACTCCTTTTACATTGCCAATTTTACGAATCACTTATTCCGTCGAATTTCATCAATTTCATCAATTTCAACCTAGTATTTTCGAGACCTCATCTTTGCAGCCTTCGAATGTATGTTGAGAATCTATCTATATCTATCTACCTTTGCGATTACTTTTCATCAAATCTCATTTTGCATTATTTGGCATGGATTGAAGTTCAGGTGTACATACTAATTACCCATCGCAGATTGGATCGCTGTCGTTGTGTCGCCCGTATTACCATTTCACGAGTTGAATCGAATAATCTTCTCGACTCACCGCACATCTCAACTTACATTTTGGAACTGCGAGCGGTTTCTTCTTCGACGACATTTTACATTTCACTTTGAACCATATGGTATTCTTCTAGGGTTTTGTCCGATTGTTGGTTGTCGACCCGAGTTTAGGCAACATGGCTACCATATCAACAACTGCACAAAACGAAGTTAGCAGTCCTTCACAACTTCCCACCTTCGTTTTTCCCGCAAGAGCGTCTCCATCATCTGCCCCCGCATCATTCTCAAGAGCCTCAGGTCGACGTCCGATGTCTATACCTACAGAATTGCCAAGTTTCTCCTTCAACTCTTCGACGACGATATCTCCATCGCCCGCAAGCCCTGCGCTTTCTCCACCAATCTCTCCATGTTTCGCAAATTTTGATCTATCCAACTCTCCTAGAGCGGCTGGACATCGCAGAGGCACGAGTGAATTCATAGGTGGGGATGGCAAGGTGGGCTCGAGTGCTGGCTTGATGAGCACAAGTCCAACTCAAGGAGACAATGCTTTACCTCCGCCTACTCCGGGAAGACGTGGACATGCACATCGACGCTCCGCTGCTGTATCGGCGCATGATATCAAGATGATTTTGAACCCCACCGCCCCAAGTACACCATCAATTCCACGAGGAGGGTCTGCGCCAACTTCTCCATCCAGCAGTGAGAATCAATTAGGTGTGCATGGCCTAGCTAAATCCGCCAGCAGTGATGACGCTTCTCCCATCAAAGCCCTCAATCGTGCCCGCGTCGGCTTCTCAGATAACGTGGAATTCATTCCCAGGCCAGTGAGCGTGGTTTCTAGTGATACATCTAGCACAGTCACAATGCGGCCGTCTCACTCAGTATCAAACTCTCTGAGCTCAATTGTGTCTGGCGGAACCCTGACTCCTCCGTATAGCCTCAGCCCTTCGAATCAGGATCTTCTTGGCTTACCGTCGCCCAATCTTCGAGGAGCAGATTCAAGGCCAAGAACTGCAAGTGCGATTTTAGACCCGATTAACGACACAACTCAACCAGCAGACACCTGTCCATTCACCAAACGACGTGGATCCATGCCTTTACTTGACGACATCCAGGCTATGGCCCCTCCAAGCCCTAGGAAAAAGTGGACATTTTTCGGACATGAGCCAGTGTCTGGTAATTCTTCACCAAGCCGATCACGCCCTGTTAGTTCGACATCCATGGATAGAGCACCAGAGGCTACCTCATCCGTTTCCTCGCCTTCCAGTCCCACATTTGACATCATAGACACTCATCAAATGCCGTCCATTGAACCTTCAAGCTCACGTAGGTCTTCAATCTCAAGGAAATCTTCCAAGAAACAGAAAAAGGTCAAATCATGGGCAGGATCGATATTGTCGAGGAAATCTCGCAGTCGCGGTCAGAAAAAGAAGGGAGGCCGCCGCTCCGCGACGCCTCCTATACGTCCTTATACGGCAATGAGTGATTCTGCAGCACTTGCACTTGATATTCAAACCTCGCCTATTCACACTGAAGAATCTCCCGCCCTTGAGCAACTAGACTTTGCATCGTGGAAGCCAAGACAAACTTCTCCATCCGATGACGATGCTATGAGTCCAATCATTGACCTGGATGCCGCTCTTGGTCCTTTTAACACCCCTTCTTCCTATGGTGCCGAATGGGAGTCGTCACAAAAAACATCATCCAAGAGACGAATGCACAGTGCAGCAGGCATGGGTGGATTTATTGGACCGGGTATGCATTACCATCGACGAGCCGAGAGTGCTCCTGAGATGGTTCCATTTGAAAATCGTTTCGGCATACATCGTCTTGGTAGCAGCTCCACGATGGCCGACGTTTTTGAAGAAGACGAGGAAGATGATGAGTGGGAAGATACAAAGGCTTCGTCAGACAAAGACTCTTTGACCAGGACTGATGATGATGATGATGATGACCAAAACGCCCTTGGTATTGACATCAACGTCGTCGAGGCAGAAGCATTCAATTGCGATGAGAACATGGATTGGTCAATTGACGAAACACGAGGTGTGAAGCGGAAGGGTAGTGGACTTAGCGAAGGTGAACGCAAGGACATCAGTGCTAGTTTGAAGTCTGGCCACTCCGGTACGTCTTGGAAGGACGAGCGGATTATGGAAGAAGAATCTGTTAGTCCAATCGAGATTGCAGACGACTCCATTCCTCCTAGACCCGATTCTGGAGCACAATCCTCGGAATCTACGGCCACACCACCTTTCCGTCCATATCCCGCCAAAGATCTAGCACCCGTTGAGATCAATCCTTTCTCTCTACAGCCTGCATATCTTACACCAAACAGTCCCCATTCGACTGGTCACTCCTCATTCCCATCTCCCAGATCTCCATTTTCATATGATACACAGCGCATATCCACGGCCCCATCATCCATTGCAGATGAAAACGTCTTCCAGTCATTATTGCTTGGCGAGCCCGGACCAGAATTGAGAATGTCCGTTGATGATGTTCCATCGTTGACAAGTAGCAATTCTACCATGACAAGAGAAAGTGGCGCCAATCCGGGTTACGTCTTTCGAGATGGTCAACGTTCGGTCTCCGTTTCTTCTGCTAGTGGTCCAACTCGCAAACGCTCTAGCATGGCCAGCTTGTCTCGCTTGATCAGCAGTTCTCATGGTGAGAGAAGCAAATTATCCATCGAATCTCGTGCTCCCAGCGATTCCGAAATGGAGAGAAAAGATAAAGGAAGCAAGAGCAAACGAATCAGTCGTATGCTTCAATTTTGGAAGCCCAAGGAGATACCAGAATCTACTTGATCTTTCGTTGCTTGTACTGTACCATTTATTTTTTCGCCTGAGCCGGATCACCCCGATTACACACAATTCTACACATTGCGCAGTAGCAAACTCGGTACATACGAATGGAACGATAACCTGTCCTCATTGATGTGCACATGATTGAACATGGACGGGTTTAATGTGTATCTTTCTATATCTTAGGACCAATCAACATCAGATTGGTATCCTATTTCTTTTCGAGCTTCTTTGGTTTATGCCTTGGCAGAATACTTTGCACTTTTGAGCGAGATTTCGGCGTCCTTCAGATTTGAACAGGCGCGATACAGAAGAATAACTTTACTACTACATTCCTGCATATGCATCTAAATTTCTCTCTGGAATTTGGAAAGACTCTTGCATTTAGGACAAGATGTGCGGGTGGCTACTTTCGAAACGTTCTCTTATTTTAATGATAAAGCTGGGTATGGGGTAGCATGAAGATGATTTAGTGTTTGCTTTGGATTTTGCTTCATTTACTTTGACCCCCGGGTGTGCGGGAAAGAAGAGTAAACTTTCATTTCGATCATGGAATTTCACAAATGGGATCATAAAGGAAGGAGTGGTGGTTACATACATCTGCTTGGTGTGGGGCGCAAATATCTATCTCGGATAGGAACCGTACTTCTCATCGACATCACCATGAGAGATAGAGTGGAATGATGGAATTGAAGAAGGGCGGCATGTCTGTAGCCAGTAGACTGTAAGAAGAGCACTCATACATAAGTATGGTTGATGCGACTAACATAATGAATATACTGAAATTAGAAATATACATTCTTTTGTGCTATAAAGGTTTTTGATGTGTGATTTGTGAAGTGATTTTACTTGAGTATAATGTTTTAATATTCATTCATATGTCTATAGTAAAAGGAATATCTATCTATACGAATCTTCTACAGTGAATATATGTCAACAAGGAGCGCAGACTGCCATTTTCTTTCTGTGGAAATGCTTTCCGATTGCCTGGCACATATAAAAATGCTCTCTGATCAAATAAATCCACATAGGTATTTACAATAAAATTCAGCCTCACGTTGCCTTGTACATCTAGCCTCGGCAACCACTAAAAAATTGAGAGATGCGCTTTCAATATTAAGCCCCGAGCCCCGAGTCACTAGAACATCGATTTGCATGTCATCTAGGGGGGTTTATTTTGTTGTTGATATAAACCTTACGACAAGTCTTACGACGAATCTTTATAGAGAGAGACCTTTTGGAGTTTGTGTGCGGTGTTGAAGAGCTTATCGGTCTAGGATATCCGCCGCTGTCTTGTGACCTACCTACCTACCTACCTACCTACCTTTACTTGATCGCGACCTCGAAATTTACCTTCGAGCTTCAAAATACATATTTCATATCACATTCTATCGCACCGCATTACATCACATCACATCATAAACATCCCCAAAATGTCACGCTCCCCCACCAAAAGAATCCTCACCGAGCTATCCGCCTACAACAATTCCCCCCCTCCCCCACCCAAACCGGCATCGTCTCGCTCTCCCCCTCCCCCTCCTCCCTCTTCCTCCTCCGCGCCATCCTCCAATGTCCATCTTCCTCCCCGCCCTCCCTCGGCTATCTCGGCGGCCGCTGGCTCCTCTCTATAACCCTTCCTTCCAATTATCCAATGAGCCCCCCGAAAATCACATTCGTAACGCGTATTTGTCATCCGAATGTTAAGTGGGAGACGGGCGAGATTTGTTTGGATGTGTTGGGTGATAAGTGGACGCCGGTGTTAGGGGTGCTGGGTGCACTGGAGTGTGTGGGGTCGCTGGTGGGAGGGGGTGGCGATGAAAGTAGTCCGTTGAATGTGGAGGTGGCGAGGCTGAGGGGGCAGGGGGATGCGGTGGGGGCGAGGGCGTTGGTGGGGTGGTGGGTGGGGGAGGAGAGGTTTGAGGGGAGTTTGGAGGAGGAGTGAGGGGGGGAGGTGGAGAAGGGATGGTTGGTTGTAGTGGGAGTGGAAGGGGGAGAGGTACAAGTGCTGGACGATCGAGGGTGGAGAGCATGGGAGCATGGAATGGAGTGGTTATACATGGTACAAGAATAGCAGATTGCACACAAGGACACACACAAACATACCATTTCAGCGGATATCACATCGAGCACATCAACCACATCAACCACATCAATCACATCAAGTAACCCGAAACAACGAAACCGCACAACATAAGAATACGTCCAACCTTCACCCTCCAATCCAACCTCCAACCATGATCAAACTCCCAGAGCAAACATCGATATACTCGAGTAAAAACCTCCAGCCTTTTTCCTACGATTCACGAAATAATCTCTCCCTCGGCATCTATGGATACGGATGCGGATGCGGATACGGAAAAGCGCTGCATTGCATCGAATCGAATCGAGGGACCTCACCTCGCACTACTTTATTTTCCTTTTCTTGTCTACTATTTACTTGTTTATTTACACTCGAGAAGGGAGATTATTGTATTGAGAAATTAACAAAGTGCATTATTTGGAGTTTATATTTAATAAATAGCGCGGAGTTTTTGGTTTGGAATAGATTGGGTTCAACTTTTTTTTAAACTCGTATTGGTAGACGCAAGATTCCATTACATTATATTATGTTTATTTATTGTAGAGGAATGGAGATGTGAGAAAGATGGATATATATATGGATATAATACACATATGAGTATTCTATATTCTATACTCTATATATAGCTATATATACATATAACTTACCTAAAGAATATCTATATCTACTCGAGTATATCTATATCTACATCTACAACAAATAGTCGGCTCTTCGTGGAGGGAACGGCCGTCTAGTCACTAACAAGTCTTATATTCAAATTTCTCACCTCAAACCTCTTCCCTTTCCCTTTCCCTTTTCCCTTTTGCCTCTTTCAATCCTATCTTCAAAATAGTCATATATCAAAACCAAGATATCAAATGATTCAATAATAAAAAGATGGCCATCGTATCGTTGCTATATCGGTTATTACAGCATAGTACAGCACTGCTGGTCTTGGCTTAGGTGTCGCTTTGATGGATTGATGGGTTGATGGGTTTGTAATGAGATAAGATAAGATATGATAAGATCAGCGTACTCGAGTATTCGAACTCCTCTTCTTGCCTCTCCTTGATTAGGGTAGAGAAGGGAGGAGAAGAGAGGAAAGGTTGTAGTAGTTTCTTCTTAGGCTTAGAATAGGATGGGAGGAAGAGAGGAAGTGAGGAAGAGAGAGGGAGAGTTTGAATATATTGGATAAGATATAGATAAGCGAGTTAGATGGGGCGGAAAGGGGGTTGGGAGATTAATGGTTGCATGATGGTGTGATGGTATTTGTAAATACTTGAGTCTTCTTTTATGATTGTTGGATCTGGAGCTGGAGTTGTGGGGTGGGGGATTTGGGGGATTTGTTGTTGTTGTTGTTGTTGTTGTTTTTCTGTGCTGTTTGGAAGAAAAGGAAGTGATGGGAAGTAATGGATTGATTGATGAATGGATAAATGGATATTGATAAAGTTAGAAACCCTATATATTCTTAGCTTTGCTGGTATATAGGAGATGTCTGTTGTCTGTTTTGGTAAGTAGTCGATACTACATGTAGATGTTACTTGTATGTTAATATTGATGTTATTGTCATAGAATGAGACAGAACTACCGGTAGAGGTTTAATGTACTCGATTGAATAGAAATGGGAAAGAGGTTGAGCTTGAGCTTGGCTCTAGTTAGATTTGGATAGATTCAAGGAAATATATATATGGAAAGTAAATGAGATGGTTATTAAGAGATGATTATTTGAAGATGTTGATGATGATTATTTCGAGAGTCGTGAATGAGTACTCGAGTATATTGGATATACTTTTGTTAAATTCGAGCAGGAGTAGCATATGAAAGATTAAGGATACGATACTAGGGTTATTCTCTCTTTTTTCAGGTAATTAGATTCTTTCACGGAGGGAAAAGGGATTATAGATAGATACTTTTAGTTCGTGATAAGTTCAACTAGTGTACTTCAGTAGTTTAAATCAGTCGGGAAACTGGCAGTTTGAAAGGTTGTAGTCTAATTGGCCATAAAGTTGCATGAACTGAAATGCTGATTTAATCAATTTGATTTGTTAAATACCAATTTCGAAACTAAAGTTACTAAACTGCCAAATTAGTTTCTAAATTTCAACTAGTTGTTGAATTTATACAAATTGAACCGACTGCCAATTTGGCTTCGGTGGTCTAATTAGTGCACTGGTTCATCTGTTTAATCATTGACTACATAGTGTCACAGTCTACATTGAATCGAGCTCTTCTTTCTATGCAAGTTCCAAATCTACAGTATATATGAAAAGCGAATTTATAGCTGGTGTGATTTACACTGGTTCATAGATATACTTCCTACCAAATTCAACTTTCCAGTAAATTTACGATTACCATTCTTCACCAATACAAATATCAAGCCTTGAACAGAAGAAAGTTCAGAATACTCAGGTAAGATATGTTTTCTCAATTTTTGGATACTCAAGAGGATTTCTAACATACGATAATCATATCATAAAGATATCATATACCTCCAATATTAACGTCACATATAGATATTCTATCTTAATGTACTAGGTAAAAACTCATCACCTCGAGCTCACCTAGCATCGCCTTCCCTCCTCTCCTCTTCTCGTCACCATTCAATCTCGACCGAATACTCGCACATTTTTGCCTTCCGCCTTCCGCCTTCCGCTTTCCCTCTTCCATCTTCCTCGCTACCATCACTATCACCATCCCTATCTCAACCTCACTAGATCTCTGCATCGCTAAGAATCCCGTTAAGCTTTTATTCGCCGTCGGTTTATACATACGAATCGTCTATCTCTGGAGATACGCATCCGCAGATACTCTCAAAAGAATATGGAGGTTACAGGCGTTATAATTATTTTGGTGGCTGCTTTGGGTGTGGTGGTGGTTGGTATTGTGGTTGCGGGGATTTATAGAAATAAATGAGGTTGGAATATAGAGGGAGGGAGGGGTGTGTGTTGATGGTGTTTGGTGTTTGGTGTTTGGTGTTTTTTGGTTGATTATGATGGATTTGTGTAGGGGTAGGTGGTTTATTGGATGGTGGGGACGGAGAAAGGGGAAGGAGAGGAAGGGTGATATGGGTCTACAGGGTATGGTCTGTGTATTAGGGTTAGGGGAGAGTGGTCATGCAGATAGGGATTTCTATACCCTTACCATTACCAGCGAGAGGACTTTAGATATGGTGATGATATTTCGTGGATTCAAGTTGAGCTATATTCGGAATTAATGGAGTCTACGAGAGATTTAATGAATGAAGGAATGCACAAGCAGTTTTAAAAAACTAAGTATAATCACTACTACTCGTAGACTTTTCAACATAACCACTGTATATTCCTTCACAAAATCTGCAAATGCAATGAATAAAATATTCACAAAGCCCAATCAGTATGAAGAGATTGTTATTACTATGTTTACTTACGAGTAATCAACCTTTATACTAATACAGTGCGGTAGAATAGGAGGAATCAAAATGACCCCCATTTCAATAATACTCAAACGGGGAAGATAAACAGATCAAGCGGCTTCATTATGTATTCTGTAGTTTCCATTCTACGTTATCTATTTCATCCCTGTGTATGCACGAAGATTGCTTCATCGAAGACCAATCTTATTTTCCAACATTCTATGAGGTTCAATACTTTAATACTTCAACATTTCCTACTTCCACAACAGAAATATACATATTCAACCTTATACTCCCAGTCCTCCCATACGAAAGACATATCCATCTTTCGATCTACTGTGGCTAAAGTTAATCCCCATCTTCGATAACACCAAGTATCCATACTAGTATCATAATGCGATACTAAATACTCGTATAGGCTTGAACACCTGCTAGATACAACCTTATACTAAACACTTCACAGTATCAATTACTTTAGCTAATATATACAACTCCAAGTTCATTCCCCAAATAATATAGATTTTATACAATACTGTTACACTATATCCCTAGATTTAAATGTGCACCCAGAATTACACACTATTTTAGATCTCTCTATCCTGTTCACGAATTATTTTCTCGCTTAATGAATGTTGCGATGTTTTGAGGAATTAATGATTGCGCAACAATATAATGCCTAATTTCAAGATACTGAAACAGTTATTCTTGAGAGTAAGCCAGGAGGAAAAAGAATGGAAATTATGGTATATGAGGTACTTACAGTTTAGGCCATGCCAGTAAATCTTCTCGAAGCTCAGGATCAAAGGTTTAGCTTACGATAGACTGCCCTCCCTACATCGATACGGATCTGTGCCTTTGAATATACATACAGTAATGAGTCTATAGTTATCCTCAACCACTGTTACATGACTTCATCATTATATGTCTTTCCTTCCCATCGCATGATTATAGACAGTGTAGAGTATGAGATGTACCAATATCTCGAACAAACGTGGCGATGAGGACGGTATAGTCCGATGGGTACTCGTTTGAGATAGGAGAATTTTCCGAGACTGACTGGATGTTTGTGATACTTTATCTCTATGATACAGCATCAAGAAACAAGCGTCTGCTTCTAGAGTAGCTGGGATTTTGATAGCATTTTGATCTTGGTTTCATTCCTCCTCCTTTCTCCATGCTAGTCTATTAGTTACTTTCGCTATTATTGACTAGATGTTTATAGTGCCATTATCTCTGCGATACAGTAGCTGGAATCCTTTGCTTATAGAGTAGCTGGGACTTTGGCAATATGGTACTGTCAATACTTTAATGTCGTATTTCGTTCCTCCTTTATCCACGCCTAGTTATTCATTGCTTTCGATGCCCTCAGTAACAGTAACTTAGGCTGCGCAACAGGTACTCACGGGGCAGATTGTTGATCTGGTGAACAATATATGGATTACTCACCAGTTGAACAGATTATTGGAAACTCTGAATAGATAATCTATAGATTATTTGTAATATCCATAATCCGTTTAATCTATAGGTTATAATCTATCATAATTTACCAGTTTACAAATAACCTATTAATCTACAAATAATCCACAAAACAGATTATCTTGAAATCCCAATAAATAACCTGCGGAGCGGGTAATAACTCTAATAGGTAATCTATGGGGTAGATTATTTACAGGTATCCATAATTTGCGATTTATTTCTGTGCAGCCTATGCAGCAGCCCATTGCATTGAAGGTCCATTTTCTCCTGCCAGTTTGCAGTCATTTCTACAGCTAAATGTTGTACCTTTACAGTCATCTATCGTGAGTTAATGAGTCACTCCGGTGTTTCAAGAACCGCCGTACCACTGTATCGCTGTGTGGTGACTGTGGTCTACAGAACATCCAATGAATAATACAGCAAACCAATTACCAAAACAGTACCTATCATGGCTTTTCACTATTATAAAAGCAGTTACTCTTCCGTTATCTCAGAAATTTTCCCACCCATCTACGCAACATTTACATAACATCTAGACAGCACCCAAACTTTTAAAACGCGTCTACATAATAACCATCAGACATCAAGACCCTCATCACACCACATACTACCATACAACAATCATCAATACACGAGATGAATTCTCAGGCGGTAACAAACAAAGGTAGTGAGCCCCAAGCTCAGCCAGCCCAGGTGGAACCGAAGGCAGAATCCAAGACGGATCTTGCATCTCAGGAAGACGCAGCCAAGCCTGATGAAAAGACCTCGACACCAGCCAAGGCGGATCCTACACCCAAGACAGAGACAGCCACACCTGAACAAAAGGCCCCAGCAAATCCCAAGAAAAAGGAGACGGATAGATGTCCTCGTTGTGGAGCCACTGGATTCCTTGGTGAATGTCAATTGTGCAGTTTAGGAATAATGTTTTGATGTGTACTCGAGTATGGCACTGCTTAGAAACAATACAATGAAGGGAGTTAGTGTTGGGATCCTTTTGCTTTGCATTACTGCTAGGTATTGGCGCGGGATCGGAAATCGGATTGTTTTTGGTTGGTAGGCTGGTATGAATGGGGTTTTATGCATTATCTCAATTATCGCTCTTCAACGGCAAGAGTATATCTTACTGTATTGTGGTTGTGGGCTTTTGATTCGCAGTGGAGGTTTGCGCAATTCGGTTGCATTCGTTCTTTTTGATACACATAACAAACATTCAAAACACGCTCGTTTCGTCATATCATTACTTTATCTTCATCTTCATCGTGATCTTGTGAATCTCTCTATTACCCGTATACATGTTCTTCATTCTCGTCTTCATCTCATCCATCAACTTCTTCTCCTTGAATTCTTCTTTTGGGGAAGCTTTTCTACCATATCATTCTTCTCCTCCTCCTCCGCTGATTATTCCGTATAGTGAATTAACCTTAGCGCAGGCTTGTTAAAAGTTAAGTTGAAAATGGGATATGTAGCCCAGGAAAAGGAAAACGTTATACCCCTATAGTGTTTGCGCTTATTCAAGTTATTTTACAACATCGCGTCTGTCTCATTTGAATCCAGCACCTGCATCCCTAAATTTTATAGTACTTTTTGCTTTGTAACTTCAAACTATATCTCCTTTCCATTTTAATATACATTCTCGCATTACTTTTGGATCGTCTAATACTCACGTTTTCAGCCTGCTAATTTCCTTTCATAAACTGATCCAAAATATCTTCTCCACTATCTGAAAATTTTACGCTTCGATTTCAACTTTCCTCGGAAAACTTAATATTCAATACTATCCTGCCTGAACTCTTGATGTTTTTAGTTATTAATCTAGCTAGTAGGTGTATTGTCCATTGTAAGGATTCTAGTCATCTCATCCCCTCGCTTAAGTCAACACCGCCCCCACATAATAATTAACAGCTACTCCACTTGGAAAATCAATTTCCGAAGACTGGCTTTACAAATTGACTCAGATACAGCTCACACTATTAAAGTTTATGCCCAAGCACTAATTATCATACTTTATCTTTATGAGAGTTGTGAGTCATAATTTCAATAGATTGTGTATGCCAAACATGTACAAATGCAATGCGACCAGACCCTGGAAGATGAGGACGATGTTCTTTCCATCACATTTCTCCACGAACCCGATGATGTTAATAACTGCTCCTAAACCACTGTATCCAAGTTTCGTATACTAGATGCTCGATATGAGTCATTACAAAACAAATCTGCTCAAAAGATGCACAGTTCTTACTATGGAAAGAGCGTCAACGTCTTCAATTATACATAAAATTCCAACAGCAGGGAACCGTGCTAATCAGAACTAAAGATTGAGTAAGGATTCTACACGAAGTATAGAGCACGTCTTAACTCCAAATACGAAAGCATCTTCAATCAAATGCAACTCGATTCAGGGATCAGGATCAGGACAACCTAAAGCTTTTATCCTGCGCAACTATGCCGAATCCTGTAGTTCAATTGTCATGTATCGACTCTCGAGGATATCGAGGAAGCTCTTACTATACACAGCTCCAGCGGGAGGTTCTTTCTTATTCGATTTCAAAGTCATCGCTGACATATAGAACTGGGAAGATGATACATAAAATGCTATATTGAGGGTATGCATAGATCTTTGCGAATGGTCAATTCGGCAAGTGAAACCAAGCTGGAGGGGATATGTTACTTGCCATCGGATAGTGATATACTCCGGGTACACAAAGGGCAGGTGCGACTTCACTTTGTGATCACCTCACTGTCTCAAACAAGCAATATGACGAAATCAAATCGTCATTGGCTTATCTTGATGAGTATTAATACCAACACATTACTTCACAAATACCAAACCGTTTCCCCCAACTTAGAAACTTGCCATCAACAAAAAACGCCAAGTTCACCAAACACCAACCTCTATCGACACCATGGGATTCAAGCTCATAGTCGTTGGCTCAACCGGCTTCCTAGCCACAGAAATAATCAAACAAGCGCTTTCCGATCCTCGCATCACATCTGTCATAGCCATAGCACGACGCGAAACAGTTTTACCACCAGATTCTGGTGTCGATACTGCTAAATTGAAGTCTGTTGTTTGTCATGACTTTTTTGACTGGCAGAGATTGACGACATCGATTTATGGTTGTAAGGCTTGTATCTGGTATGTAGAGAGTAGACACTTTTTCTCAAGGTATCATATGGTCTGGACTGCAGTCAGATTGGAAGTTTTCAATATTTGGGATGCTGTTGATATTTGAAGAGGGTTGGATTCTGTTGTTTGAGCTTTTGTTCTTAAGGGTTCTGATATTGTCGAGTTGGCAAATGAACTCAACTTTGGGAGAGATGCAAGGCTCCAAGCCTTTCAGTTATAAAACTGCAGTCCAGGCTATCAGACACCCTATTCTTCCCACACATACAGTACCAAGCATATCCACATCCACCACGTGCATACATCACACGCTCACTACCCTTCCAATTCCTTCCAACCCCATACAAAGTCCCAACAACACCAACTAACACCCCGCCCCACCCCACAGGACCATCGGACTCAAGCCCTCCCAATCACTAACCACCGATCCCCAAGAAGCACGCAGAATATGTCTCGACTACACGCTATCAGGCATGGACACACTAAAGCAACTCTGGGGCATCCACGAAGCATCTCCATGGGCATCGCAACATTCTTTTCGCTTCATCTATGTGAGCGCCGCTAATGCTGAGCGTGATCAGGGGAAGAAACCTTGGATTTTGGGGGATTTGTGTTTATTGCGGGTTTGTTTGATTTCCTTTTGCTTTTCTTTTTTTCATGTCTTGTTGTTTGGTTCTTGGATTTGGGTTGATTGGATATATATATATATATACACAGTAATACCAACCCAAAAACAAATACAAAACTAACACCCCCTCCCCCCAGGGCGAAACCGAAACCAGCATCCTCGCCCTCGCACACGAATCCAACAACCGCATCTCAGCCTGTATCGCCAAGCCTGGACACATAGTCCCCAATTCCAATCCCATACTCGATACCAATATCAAGAACACACTCTCAACACTCGGCGCTCGTATAGCCGGCGTACCAACCATATGTGTGACAGAAATGGCGGCTGCGCTTTTGCATCAGGCGGTTGTGGGAACTGAGGGGGAGACGCTGTTGAATGGGGATTTGGTGAGGATTGGGAGGAAGGTTTTGGGGGATTTGGGGGAGAGTGCGGATGGGGATAGGGCTGGAGAGGTGGAGGTGGATGGGAAGGGAAAGGGGGAATCTGTGGGGGGTGGTATTTAATAGGTTGAAAGGGCTGAGAGGCTGAGAGTTTGGAAGAATTGGGGCTGGATTGGGGCTGTATGAGTAAGGAGGTAAGCGAGGGAAGGGTATACTGTGTGTGATATGATATGATATGATGTCATATCATCCGCAGCTTTAACACAATTATTAACATACTCGAGTACTCGAGTACTCATAGAATATGCGGCTAAAAATTATATCAAAAGTACAGTACTTCCTCCCTAAACTTTTATTACTCGTAGATTAGATTAGAAAATGCAAATATTACTTCAGAATTATATACGAGTATATAGGTATTGATATTCTTTCATTTTCAGAGAACTACTGTACGTACTCAATAAAGAACAGAATCAAATATACTCTCAAGTACTTTGACTACTAGTTATGAATATAAATATATAAATACAAACTTATTACGAAGTACTACTGTATACTGTAGTTAGATTATTAAACGAGATTCCCCTGAATCTCTACTAGTAGTACCTGTACCGGTATCTCTATTCCTTTTTCAACACCTACTCTACTGTACCTACCCATCACCCCCCATAGAAACAAAAACAAGAATAGAAACAGAATCTTTACCCCCCAAGAATCTTTTAATCTTGAATCTCGTTAATACACCAATTTATCATGCATAAGTCTTTATTTCATCGCTCTCGCTCCCAGGCAACATTGCACTCGAGTACTGTACCAGTAATGCAAAAACTTTGGGTATCATATTTACTATGAGTATCTATATCCTTCCTTCCTATAGACACATCACATCACATCACATCGCATCGTATCCCATCCCATTTCTTCTTCCAATTGGTCTATGCATTTATTGCAAGCTTCAACCTCAACCTCAATGATTTCCCTTTCCCTTTCCTCTTCAGGTCAAGGCCAAGAAATATACGTTGAGCCATTCATCCTGATAACCTAGGGTTGACCTACCTACCGGCCATTGATTCACAACTACCTTAGTACTTTTGGCGAATGATTTCTAGGAGGAAGTCCTCGAAAGAGAGCGTTATGTAACCTAATCGAAAGTGAAATGATTAGAGGGAGGTTTGTGATCGAGGAATGGAGGGGAAAGACTTACCATCGCGGTCATCATCGTAACGTTTAAAGCTATTTCGTACCCTTATGTTAGCAAATTGAATTTATAGACAATCGAATGAACGAGGAAGATGTGGGATATAAACCTAAAGCCACAACCATGACAGAGATCCAAGAAGACGAAAAGAAAACCCCAAAACTTACACATCCGTCATCCTCTTCAAACTAATACAACTCTGCACAAACAAATCAAAACTAATCGCACCCTCTCCCCTCTTATCATACGCTTTGAACAGTGTCGCCACGAAGCTCTCACTCAGCCTATATCCAAAAGCCACCAAGGCTTCTGAATATTCATCCAGACTAATATTCCCACTGCGATCTTTATCGAAACGATCGAATAGTGAACGCCAAGCTGCGAGGAATCCCCAAAGCCCGCAGAATTCTTCAAAGTTAATTGTGTTGCTGCGATCCGTATCGAACATGCGAATCATCATTTTAACCGTGTACGTGTCGAAGGACGTCCAGTCGCCGTTTACGAGGGCAGCGCGGAGTTCTTTTTCGGTGAGGGAGCCGGTTCCTAAAAGAAGGGGAGTTAGTTTTTGGGGGGGTTTGTTTTAGGAATTGAAGAAGAGTTAATAGGGTCAAGACATACGATCTTTATCAACAGCTTGAAATAGCGGCCATAACTGCGGATCCGCACCAGGAGGAGCTGGTGAAGGAGGAGGTCTTGAATTTTGTACGGGGCGAGTCTGAGGAGCAACTCTACCTGCTTGGAATTGGGCGGGTGGTGGTGATGCATATCCGCGGCCTGGAGGGGATGCGCCATAATTTCCCGGGGGATGCATTTGTGGGGAGAGTCTTCGTCCATCTGGTCTTCGGTCGTTTGGACGTATGTTTTGGGGTGGGAGGGCTGGGGGAGGTCTGTTTTCATATTGCGCGCCGTGCATTGCTTGTTGCGCTTGATTGTGGGTGGGGGTTTGGATGGCGGGGGATTGCGCATGTTTCTATTGTGCGGATTAGTCGTGATTGTGCGATGCGATTTGAGGGGGGAAATATACTCGTTCTGGCTCTGCAAATCTGTGGTCGAGGGTTCAGCTGTATTCTATGGTTGAAAGAGGGAGGGGGGATTGACTTACGCAGGTAGCGAATCTGGGTTGAAAGCTTTGTGGTAAGCCATCTTGAATATTTGAGTATATAGATTTCAGGATATGCTTCGCGACAATCTGTTCTTGAGTTGAGTTGTCAAATATGTACTCGAGTATGAAGTTTGTAAAGTTTTATTGTCAGATCTTAAAGCCTCGAGCGGGTAGAGGGGCCGTGTAACTTAAATTGTCACTGCGATGCGAGTACACGGTGATACGGTGATACGGTGATACGGTGATACGGTGGTACAGTGGTACTCTACCCGGGATAAATGATGGTGGATCTACCTATCAATTCAACTCAACTATGAATTATTATTTGATATCAAAAGAATTGAAATGTAAAATAGAGAAGTGTTAATGAACCAAGTCAAGTCCCAAATATATATGAGAAGAAAGGAGAAGTTCTCTTTTAAGCCCTCTTAAAGATCTCCATATTCACGGGGCTGAGGTTGTTCGAGGGATTCTTGGTGATTCACTCACCCACCCACCTGTTCCTAATGTCAATGCCAATGTGCCAATTTTCGTGCCCAGGTGAGCCATCACTTAGCAAAAGTTGGGTACAAACTTTTGTAATCGGATGAATTCCTCAGTGCTACATTGAAAATTTATGATCATCTTGTTTATGTATTATACTTTTACCATTTTTCGATATATTTTCGTATTTCATCTGGAAGAAAAAAGTTAGAAATATAGAAATGCAAGCAAGCCTTACAAAACGCTACTGTGAAATAATGTAGCCTAAGCATCAGTCCAATATAACCTAAGCACAACAACCCATCATCGGCATTAATCTTCCGCTCTGCTCTACCAGTACCAGTACAGTAAGTACATCATCGTCATCAAATACAACCCAACAACACAATGGGCGACAAGGACAATAACAACAACAACAGCAATGCTCCCAATGATTACAGCAACTCCGAGAACGAGTTTTGGATATTCGGATATGGGTATATGATAACTTTTTCTTCTCTTTTGATACATCGATTTATTTGCCTATATACCTATACACCTACTCGAGTACCAGTACTTGATATAATAACTCTACAAATAATTAACTAATCTCAAATCACAGAAGTCTAATATGGAAACCCCCACCACATTTTGGTACTTCTTCTTCTCCTCCTCCTCCTCCTCTGTCTCCTCCCCCTTCACTGGCATCTACATAACTCCCCACGTATACCCCCCTTCAAACTATACCACCTTCCACCCTCCACCAACCCCCCCTTCAAACCCCAAACCCCAAACCTCACAACTCAATCCCAATCCCCAACACCCAACCAACCATCACTCATAACCCCCAAACAGATCGACGAATTCCCGGATACGTAACAGGATATGTGCGAAGATTTTGGCAGGTATGTGATTTCTCTCTCTCTTCTCTTCTCTCCTCTCTCTCTCTCTCTTTTCAACATGGATTTGTGCTAGCTAGAGTTTAAGGAAATTCTTACGTCTACATTTCATTGCGAATACCTTTCATGTATGAGTGCAGGTAAATAAACTACTAAAATAGGTAGCTAACAACTTATCTTAATATTAGGCTAGGTAAATAAACCCGCATCACCCCCCCCTCTTCTCCCCTCTTCCCCCCTCTTCTCCCCTCTTCCCCCCTCTCCTCGCCCATCCATCCATCCATCCATCCATCCATCCATCCATCCACCCATCTACATACCTACCTCCCTAACACCCCCCTCCCCTCCCCCAGCGAAGACCACCGCGGCACGCCCTCCTCCCCCGGCCGCGTCGTAACACTCATTTCGCACACACACTGGCTTACGCTCGACGATCCACATCCGCACCCCATCCCCTATAAAACCTCCTCCTCACCCACCACCTCACCTACCCCCTCCCCAAAAGTCTACGGAACCGCCTACCGAATCCTCGCTTCCAAAGTAACCGAAGTACGCGACGCGCTCGACATCCGCGAGATAAACGGCTATACCATCCACTATACTCCTTTTTATCCATCCTCCTCCTCTCCCCTCTCCTCTTCCTCTCCTCCCTCATCCACCCTCCCCTTCTCCTCCCCCTCTTACCTTTCCTCCCCATCCTCCCCATCCTCCCCATCCAACAAAGCAAACCCAACCACCAGTATCAGAACACTAGTATACATCGGAACACCCGACAACGCACAATTTACCGGACCGCAAGATCCTCAAAAATTGGCCGAGCATATATGGAGGAGTGAAGGCCCCAGTGGTTTGAATCGGGATTATCTTTGGGGTTTGGATATTGCTTGTACGTGGTGACTTTTTTTCCCCATTATACTCTTTGAATGTGGTCGTTAGATGTTATTGTCTGCTACACACAAGAAGGATTGTCATGCTGATATATTTAGTGGATGAGCTAAGTCCTGAGAGTGGTGATGAGCATGTCAAGGACCTGGCAGATCGGGTTCGGAAGATAGCCGAGAGGCAAATAGGTGTCGAAGCAGAAGCAAGTCACACAAAGGTTATAGATCATGAACTCAAGAAGGCTCCGAAGCAAGGATGAGCAAGAAAAGACTGGAAAAGTGATGCGTGAAAAGAGCCATTCATTCATTCCCTTTTTGGGGTATTATTGCCGTAGACCATAGGAAGACCTGCAAAGATGCAGACTTCGTAAAGAGACCTTGATCAAAATGATCGACGAGTCGAAAATACAGGCAGACTTGAGAAACTTGCGTGAGATGTTTTAAAGAAAAGGTGACCGAGCAAGGTAAAATACCCCCTCCAAACTCCATGCAAGCATACAGCTCGCAGGCCACAACCGCTGCCAGAAACCACGAAGTTGACCTTAAGTTGTTATCAAAAAAGACAACCTAAAGCCCACCACACAATAGACCTTCGCTGAGAACCCCAGACTGACTTTGCTTGCCCTCAAGATTGAGAGGTCTGGGAGAAGAAAACACCATCCACTGAACAAGCAATTTATTGGTTGTTACCCCATTGGCCTGCGTTTCCACCACTTTGGCCACGGTCGTATCCTCCTCCACCAGAGTATCCACCGCCACCACCGGAGTAACCTATGGTCAATTAGTATACTGGTATTCAGATGAGGAATATCCTTGATGTGACTTACCGCCACCGCCGCCTCCATTGTAGCCGCCTTTGTCATCTCAATTGTTAGTAAATGCTATTCAATAATTCACGACAGACTTGTCGAGCGAGCTCGCTTACCTCCGCCACCAGAGTATCCACCACCTATATTATCAATCGTCAGTATGGTTCATACGGTCATTGAATGGAGGACAATGTAGGGAATTCTTACCTCCGCTGTATCCACCACCTCCAGAGTAACCACCACCGCCGGAGTTGTTGTTGTCGTATCCACGACCACCACCTCCGTATCCACCACCACCTCCAGAGTAGCCACCGCCACCGCCACCACGGCCACCGTATCCACCACCGCCACCGCGGCCACCACCGAATCCACCACCACCACCGGCGCGGTCATTTCCTGAACGCTCGGAGGCTTTGTCGACACGGATGGTGCGACCATCGAATCTATATGCACATTAGCTTGTGTTCAAGGATTATGCATTGAGACAATCATACTCGACGCTGTTCATCTCTTGGATTGCCTTCTCGGCATCGGCCTCTGGGGAAGACTCGGGACCCTGTCCGTAACGAACAAAGCCAAAGCCACGGCTGCGACCAGTGTCACGGTCCTTCACGACAACCTGTATTAATTGCATCAGTTTCTTATCTTCAAGTCGAGCTTATCGATAAAGAGAGCGTGGAACATACTGCTTCTTCAACAGTTCCGAATTCAGAGAACTTCTCACGGAGAGCGTTCTCATCTGTGTGCCAAGCAAGGCCACTAATCACGAATGTTAGTCAATCTATCAAGTGATGGTTTGGAATAGAATGTAGATATTTGGACTTACCCAATGAATAATTTAGACATGATAGAATACTTTTCGAAAACCTGGCTGAAAGTCTCAATGTCCGCACGCATTCACACATAAAGAATCGCGCCATTTCAGGCGGAAGTTGTGTATACGAGAGAACGGATCACATAAGGAAAGATACATCGATGCAAAACAGGACTCCGCAAAGCGGATAGATGGAATGGAAAGGTGATGTGAATGATAAGAGTTTGGAATCAAATCGCAAAGACAGTTAAGTCAGTGAGCACAAGCAGGAGAATCGGACGAACTTCTTGAAAAGGATTAGGTGTCGATTTGACGGTGAAATATCGAAATTTCTTTGTTTGGTCTGTAGATCGTTTGGAGAGATGTTATCAATCGGACGACTGAAATGACAGTGCGATCTGATTAAATATGAATTTGCGAGAATAGAATCGCAAAGGAAGGTATTTGTGATTGAAGTTGTAAGAAGGATGGAAATAAGTTGTAGGAGAGAAGGATTTAGGTTGGAGTAAGAGGTAGGGGAAGTTTTCTTAAGCGCAAAAAGCGGGGGAATTGAAAGAGACTGCATTATGATTTATTACTTATTGCCCCTCCCATGAAGTATCACTAGCGTTAGAGCAAAGGAGTTTCCCTTGACCGAGCTCGACTTTTGATTGATCCATCAATATTTAATTCACCCACCTTGACGGCTCATGGTCCACATTAAATCTACCTAGTTCGATCTAGTTCTATCAATTTCTCAACAACAAAACAATCTCTCAAATCTTATCCCACATAATAAATATTTATTAAAAAACAGCTTGTGATTGATTTTGGATTACAGTATTTGATTTAATTGTTTTGATTTGTTTATCAATTTTTGACCAATTGAGAGATGGATTCTTTCTTAAATATTTCTACTTAGGGCAGATTTAGTTGATTTGATTATATATGAAATGTATTCAAAAGGGAAGGAGAGGAGGAGCTAGGTAGATTCTTTTTAATTCAATTCACTTCAATCCACCGATCCCGTATAGATATCTACTTAGGTATATTCTCTCTTTCTCTCTCCCCCAATTTTGGTGTGACATTCATTGATAGACAAGCATAATACGGACACACCAGCTGAACTTGATGCTCTATGGACTGTTTGAAGCCATGGCTTGATGGAAAACATTACTTTGAGCCTTTTGAGTCTTTAATGTTTCTTTTTGTTGGTGGAATAAGCAATCATTGTTTATAACATTTCTTTTTGCTGTAATCTACTAGGGGGGTTTCAATATCCCTGAGCCTCTGAGTATCTGAACCTGTCTGGGCAGGATAACGAAATATGAATTATGATAGGTATACCTAGTATCTTCAATACTGGGCACCAAATATTCACTTGTTGTCATAAGATCGATGGAATTGATGGCTATTGATGATGATTTCCCAACGATACCAGTTAGTCATTTAGTCAGTCCATCAGTCAGTAAGTAAGTTAGATATGAAAGACTGAAAGATGAGAATGACTATTTCAAAAGCAGAGTTATTGGAGTTCTTTTTCGATATCATTTCAATCACTTCTGATTCTTCCTTCCTCAGACTCACAGCTCACAGACAGACCGAGGGGGGATCTTGGGTGGATAAGGTGGGGTAGCTAGGTGAGTTAATTAATAGCTTTTGTGGGGCTAACTGGGTCTAAGTGCCGTGCAAACGAGATGCCTACACTGTACAGCTTTGAGGGCAGAGTGGGACAAGATATAGAAGAAGACACAATAAAGATTAATAATAACCAAAGGAGCATCATTATCAGGGGATATATACTGTATACACAAATTGCGAATGTAAGTCCCACTGCCTTATCAGAGAATGGTTGACATGCAAAAATCAATATTGTCAATGGGTGCCGGTGATACATCATTTCTCATCACATCCTCCGCATCTTCATCTTCATCTTCATCTTCATATTCAATGGGAGATATATGGGTTGGAAGCTTCCTCATTTCAATTCTTATAACAATCTTTGCATCCTCATCTTCAATGCGCAACTCATATATATATATATATATAGGGTTTTAAAGCTTCCCAATTCATTTCTCATCACATCCTTCGAATCCTCCTCATCCTCACCCCCTCGCCCTCAATTCGCAGCACCAGCCATTTATCCCACAATCACACTACAAAGCCTCCACCATCATCTTCGATCTTCTGCATATCTAAGACAAACCTTGGAACAACATACATACATCAAGTTCAACCCACGTGCACACAAAACAACTTTTATACCACATCAGAAATCTATTCGGCCAGGTGCATACCTACCAAGGATTAATTTAGTAACACTTCTTCCGGCGGATATCTGATTCTATGCTACTAGGTTTTGACAAACAGTAACCCAACCATCTAGAACTCAATGCGACTCTACTGTACAAATGAAGTATGATGGATGAAGCCAATGTTACTTCAATCAAAACCTCAAAACCTCAAAACCTCGTCTATATATCTTGATGCGGGAAGGGCAGTCTGGAGTCGTGGCAGTAGTTGTACAAAGCTGCCAGATAATCAGATTTTCATACCGTCGATGAAAGTATACGGCGCGTATCTCATTTCAATGTACTGGCACATAGCTGCAGGATCTCCCGGTTCTGTGTAATGAAAGGTATGTTGATTATCGTGATAGCTCACATATCACAGCATCAACTCGCTATTCTGCTCAATCAGGTGATGCATAGGTACAGTACAGTAGGTGATATTGAGATCAATATTGTTTTGTGGTTTTTACAGCTCATCAGAAGTGGAATTGGAAAGCGCCATCACGGTTTGGCATTTGATGCGCATACCTAGGTACATACCTACCTACCAATACCTAGGTACGTGGATGATAAGGCTGCAATTACCCACACCGCTTTTTGCATCCCCCATGGTTGATACATCAATGATATTATGTTATTATGCGGCTCTCTTACTTGTATGGTCAGCTTACCTACAGGCCTCGGGATTAGCTTGGATCTTCTAAAGGGTTCAGAATCAGAATGATAATCAGAATCAGAAATCAGAATCAGCAAAGGTTAAAAATCTCCCATAAGTGAACATCGTTAGCAGTAGCAAAACAGTATGATGGCAAGGTGAGGAGGTTTGTGATGGAAACAAACTTCCTTCACGAAAAAGAGAAAGAGCAATTTCTTTACTCTGATAATCTTCCCTCTTGAGTAAGAGGCATTTGAGTGCAAATCGGGCAGAGTCGTGCCTTCCATTTGTTTTTCACTCACTCACTCCACAATCGTGCCTTCCCCAAGTTGGGGAAAGCAATTACTCACCATGTAATTTGGTGATTTCTTTTATCCACAGACTTTCATAGTGCCATCAATCTTCTTTCAATTCAAAGGGGCAAACTCGTATATTGCTATTCATTCCGCTCGTGCAGGTATTCGCATTCATTCAAATGGAGAACAATCATCATTCGCGCAAGCGCAAGCACACCCATGAGCATAAAAGTAGACAAGGGGAGTCGGGAAAACATCACAAGCATGTTCATCACACTACCGCACATGAAAGACACGCTCGAGGCCATTTTCTGGAAAGGTTGGAGGAAAACAGGCAACCGCTTGCAATTAGAGATACAAATGAATTATCCGGGGATGCTAATTATGTTCGTAGCTGGCTTGCGAAAACTCAAGATGAGGATGCTGTCGAGCCACCAAAACAATCCAACCCCAGAACAGGTAAGATATCACATCATATCTTAAGGTTCTAGAAGATGCGTGCGCTGATTCTCCTCGTGACCTAGATCACCTGGAAGAGAGAGCCAGCTACTCGGAGTATATCCACGCAGCACGTAGACTTGAAGAGGACAAGGGCGATACCACAATATCGAAGGCAAAGCCCAACCAAGAGCGTGCATCCTCCGATAGTTCTTTACTCGAGGTTTCAACCGCACCAGTTGTATTAGAAAGAACCAAACCCTTTCGAAAGTCCCGCGTCTCCAGTCACCTTGGTGAAAATTCAACACAATCCCACAAGCACCGGAAGGATGCACCGTCAACTATGACTTCTAGTTCCTCACAATCCTCGGTGGTGCAACCAAAACAAGAAACATTTGAAAAAAGGGCACGCCACAAGACAAGAGAGGATCGTTATGATACGAAACAGAGAAGTAGAAAGGCAGAAGTTGTCGAGAAACCAATAAAAATGAGGCGCGAGAAGAAAGGAGACCGAAAGAGGGCGGCAAGGAAGGCCAGTGAGGACCTAATGAACAATTTTGCATCGAACAAATTAGGACAAGATCGTCTAACGCGCCCATCTAATGGACCTGGTATCTTCCAAAATGGTAGAGCTTCTTCCCCGCCCAGACGACGAGGGTGTGAGTATCATTCATACCAATTTCTTAAAAGAATTGCTAACTCATTCGTAAGTGCCTGACCTCGCTTTCTCGGAAATGGAATTTCTTCAGCGCTCTGGCAAGAAGTCTCATATCGACAATACCATTGTTGTCCCTAAGAGCCGTGCCAACGAAAAGAGAAAAGCTACTCGAGAGCAAGATGAGATAGCAACTTTCTTTAAACCATCCAAGACGCCGATACGGGACAGTAGTTTAACTCTCGAGCATCCCACTTCTCCAACTTCAATACATGAGACCTCTCTCCACGAAAGGCAACTGAGGAGAAATCGCGAGCATGATCGACATCGGTATTACGCGGAGAATTTGATATCTCGTATTAGTAAGATAGAAAGTCATTTGGCAGAGTCTCGCGGCCAGCAACTTCAACCCAATCAAGTTCAGTTCCCTCGAGAGCCCACTCCACAACTACATTCCGAGGAAGTCGGAAACCGCAACATATACTCGGAGACTGCTGACACAATTGTGACATGGTCAGAGTCCCAACATTCTCCTGTAGCCACTGGAGCCTTACGCCGAGCAAGGGAAGCATATTGCCAAAGGCAAAACAGCGCGACGCCAGACTCGGTACGAAGCTCTATCGAAAGAACCGGGATATTCAAGGATACAGGCATTAAGAGTTCAAGTCGACGAAAGTCTCATGTGCAGGAGGCGATAAGCAAGGAATTGGACGGGGCCGGAGAAAATCGCAGCGTGTATACAACTGGTGGCCCAGCGGAGACTAACAGAGAGTCATCTAGATTAAGCACAGATTCTGTTAAGAATCCCCAGCAACAAAACCATTTGCCTCAAGCTCCAATACATATACAAAAAGAAACAGAAGAACTCGTTTCTAAGAGAAGATCTCCAGATCCATTAGAAATCTACGATGACGGATGCCGCAGAGTTGTCGTTGAGTATTATGATCCAAATCGTGGGTGGTATCGAGAGGAAGATTCTAAATCGCCTTCCAAACCACCCAAACATTCTATGGAACCAGCGGTCGCACCCATATCGGCATCACTTACGCGTCAGCAAATGGCACTTAATGCTCGAATCAAACGCCCATCAACTACCCTTCCAGTAATCCGGGAAGCTAGCAACGAAAGTCGAGAAAATTCGCCCTTGTCGAATTCCGGCATTCCAGGAGAAGCAATTCAGCGAACAGAATCTGCTCCTGTTCGGTCGTCGAGTGTAAAGGGAGATATGAACGGACAGATTCCAATGTCTCATGCTAATGGTGATGAGAGGCTGGAGCAAATCATACTCGGATCACCAATTCCCGAGTCAACATCTTCACAAATAGGCCAGTACCTTCGGCATAACCAACAACATCATTGGCATCAACAAACAGAAAGCACCATTAATATCATCAGAAATGGGATCACCCAGAGTGAGATGTCAAACGAAACGGAGAAGCAGCCACTCTTGACGAGGACAGCATATCTGAATGACAGAGCTCGCACACCTTTAGCAAGAATCTCACACAATTCTCCAAACAGGGAGCATTTTCAATTCCATACTCGATCTCCATTTAGGCGAGGACTCCGAAGCTACCATGAGCAGCCAAGGCAGCATATCGCATCTACCCCACGTTCGCCCCTCATTCGACTCCCGTCGCTTTATGTTCAACAACTAGAGCACGAGCAAGAGCAAGATCAAATAGCAAACGGTCTTTCCATTGAAAACGTTGAAGAATGCGGAGCATCGGAAGTGCAAGGATCAGACTTCAACACGGAACCACATGAGGAATATTGGGACGATGCAGCAACAGAACAAAAGATGTCTCACGGAGTGGATGATGCTCTTGAGAATCGCCGTTATGTCGGCGATCTCGGTGAGCTCGGACATCGGGAGGCAAATATGTACAACATTTCACTTCCAGGGCCCGAGACGATGGGACTCCGCTACGAAAATTCGGGGCTCGATTTTCAATACGATGGCTATCCATCTCAAGATGTTCGAGATGAATATAACCATTGGGACAGTGGCAATCATTATATCCAGGAACCTTATATCGAGAACCACCAAGACTCACAGCAACAATCTGGAATGCACTACCATGGCAATCAATTAGTCCAACCTTTGTTTCCTGAATACCGGGAATTAGATGAAGGCCAGGACGGTAACGCTTCGGAAACGATCTTAATGCAAAGATTTTGGCGACCAAACCCACAATATTGAGAGGATTTGGACTGGGTGTGTTATATTTTATGGACACTAGGTGGTGCGATATTCAATATTGGAGCATCTTGAAGATATTCTATGTGCCAGAATCCTCAGATGTATAAAACATGATATATGATCAGGACATCAACAGAGTCATGAGTAGAATCGGAAGATTATGACTAATTGCGCTATATTTTATACATATGAGAAAACCTGCCATCTACTTACTTATAATCATCATTTCGTCTTTACATTCTCAAACTATCTTTTGAAAAGTTCTACCCCTATAACCTTTGATGACACAAAATCCTTTCACATCACCCACCCGTATTAATCGGAAGAAATCGCTACGAAAATACCAAAACCCCGAAGTCATCCGCGTTATCGTAATCATGTGATCAAATGATCCACAAGGCTTAGTCCGGTGAGGCGGTATCAAATCTCATTCAAATCCCTTGTTTTCGTTTTCATCCATTCACAAACCTCGAATTGAATATCGCATTGGGGTTAATCCGTTCTTTCACGGCGATGAGTTGAAGCTTGGCCCACATAGCCTCTGGTCGCCGGTGAAAATGAAAAGCGAATACGCTTTGCTGCTATTTTAAGTTTCCTCTCCTGCAGTAGTCTGACAGTGCACGAATCCTAAGGTTTTGAGTCATACAAAGAAAAAGGTTCAGCTATTCCGTTTCTTATTCGGTGCAATTTGAAAATTCTCTTGAAACCGGTACAAGCCTTCCGTATCTTCTTCGAAGTCAAGACATACGTTAGCCTGGCCAGGCGCTTATCCTATAGTAATCTTGTTGCTATACATATCTTTCAAGTGAAATAAAAACTAGCCTTCGTCCTACTTTGCGGCAACTGTTCAGTAATACTTTTTTCAACATTCAAATTTTATTTCTACTTTTTACTTTGGTAGTATCATACAAGGATCAATAGTCATTTTCAATTTACATACTGGATAATTTCAATGTATGTATCTAGGGTTTCTACGAGACCCCTTTCAAGTCAGTCAGCAGCACAGCTATCAAAAGCTGTAGCTTTCTTCGCACAATCCTATGGTTTATCTTCAACGACATGTACAGCACATTTAAAGTCGAGAAGAGCCTTCACATCTGGCTCCAAGATTCAGGTCAAAGGTAGAGATTTGTTCCCGGAACCTGAACATGGACAGATCAAGAGAACGGAACCAGCTTGGCCTCATCCACCGTACGTCCCTTCCATTATACCGGCCGCCAATCCATACAAATCCTAATAACAAATAGCTACACCACCGAACAGATGCGCAGCAAAGTCTACTTTGCACACCGCAAACCTCGAGACTTCTCCGATCGTGTCGCTCTAGGCATGGTACGTTTCCTCAGATGGTGCACAGATTTCGCTACGGGATACAAACACAATGTGGAAGTACCCAAGAAAGCATCCGATAGCAATGCAGTTACGGCTACCAAACCATACCAGATGAGCGAGCGAAAATGGTTAATTCGCTATGTGTTTTTGGAGTCGGTAGCTGGGGTGCCTGGAATGGTGGCGGGTATGTTGAGACATTTGAGGAGTTTGAGAGGTTTGAAGAGGGATAATGGTTGGATTGAAACTTTACTGGAAGAAGGTATGTTTGCCACATTATACATTACTACATGTGAGAATCCAATAACTGACGATTATTAAATCATAGCATACAACGAACGCATGCACCTCCTCACCTTTCTCAAAATGTACGAGCCCGGCCTCTTTATGCGCACCCTGATTCTCGGCGCCCAAGGCGTCTTCTTCAACTCCTTTTTCCTCTGCTACCTCTTTTCCCCTCGCACCTGCCATCGCTTCGTCGGCTACCTCGAAGAAGAAGCCGTGCTCACCTACACGTTGTCGATCCAAGACCTGGAAAATGGCCATCTACCCAAATGGGCGGATCCCAATTACCTAGCGCCGGAATTGGCGATTGAATATTGGGGTATGCCGGAGGGAAACAGGAGTATGCGCGATTTGCTTTATTATATTAGGGCGGATGAGGCGAAGCATAGAGAGGTTAATCATACGTTGGGGAATTTGAAGCAGGATGAGGATCCGAATCCGTTTGTGAGTGTTTATGGGAAGGAGGCGGGGGAGAAACCAGGGAAGGGTATTGAGGCGCTTAAGCCTAATGGGTGGGAGAGGGAGGAGGTTATTTAGGGGGAGGGGGTTGTACTTGATCCTGATCGATTGCTTTTGGGGAACTCTGGGAATGAATGGCGTATGGAGTTAAAATGCATAGGAAGGAAGGAAGGAAGGAAGAAAAGAATGATATCTACTCTACTCTATACACATATTTCTAGAAGCATTATTGGCGTTTTTTTTTAATAAAGAAGGAGAATTTAAAATTCTAGACGGAATAATCCTAGTTCTTTTGTCACGTCAGTTGCTTGCTTGCTTACTACTTCAATCGATACCGTATTTTCACTGTATATTCTATTCTATAACTTACATTCATTCGCGTTCAATGGCGGTAAATGGCGTACCTTCGCCATTTCTGCTACTTTTTGCTACTACCGTATTCGTATACTGAATTTTATTTTATGTGATGGATAATATGTGATGCATGATATGAGTACTCGAGTATACTGAGTAATATTGTGTTGGATATGTGATGGGTGATGTGATGTGATGGGTGATATGATATGAGTATAGGATGGTGGAAATGCTCGAGTAGACTCGTGGCTCGTGGTGGTTATGGATATTGTTCTTTCAAAAAAGAAAATTTGGAGATGAAATGAAATGAAATTGATGGAGTCTTGATGGAGATTTATGGGGAGGGAGGGGAAGGAGGAAGGGAGGAAGGGTATGGGGGGTTGGATGGGGAGATAGATGTATGGATGGGGAGTTATGGCTATGGTTATGGTTATGGTTATGGATATGGATAGTGAGTGAGTAAGTGATGGTATTGATAAAATCAATTTGATTGATCGACTAAGTTAGCTAGCTACTTTTATAGTATGGTATGACATGGTATTAGCAGGGCAGAGTACTAGTAGGATACATCTTATATCTTGCATCCTAACTTATACCAGAGAACAATTGCCAATCTTGGTACTCGTTAATAGCTCTCTCTATATATATCTTAAAGTTTGTATAGAACTACGAGTATTCCATTATATTATTCGAGTATACTCGAGAGCTAAGTAGTCCTTATTAAACCAGGTATAACAAGAGACTATACGAGTAGTATATACTGTATATATATTCATCTGATTGATTATTAATTGACGAGTAAGCGATGTTCTCCTTGACAACATTACTTAGAGAAACTCAGACTATAGAAAATTATTAGACTATATACATAGGTATTATACATCAGCGCGTAATTCATCTGTTAGATTCGAGTATGGTTTATATAAATAGAGTATATAAGTATGTATATATTTTATCTATACGAGTACAGGGAATTCAATTTAGAATTTTAGATATTGATAGCTATATTAATAAATAGCTCTGAGAAACAAGCTAGCTAGCTAGCAATGTTCGTGTCTGTGATTCTCTCAAATACTATTTTGCGCAATATCTGTAACATGAGATGAGCTTAAGCTTCAAATACTGTAATTTGATTTTGATTTTGATTTTGATTTCGAGTCCGGATGCGTAGAGTATATATATGGCATGCACGTAGCGTATTGTATTACAATATTACATTGATTTGAATTGCATCTCGTTATTACTGTTATGTTATTTTATTCAACTGTTTGTTTGCTAAGGAGATATACGTTCTTATATATACTCGAGTACATGTCTTTACCACTGAATGATGAATGAATCTGAAAATAGTGAGAGTATATATATACTTGTATAGCTAAATCAGAATAGGAATACTATATATCAGAGAAACACTTATTTACTCGGACAATTCCCAAATCTACTTCTTACAGAAGGATAGAATCGATTTGATTCGATTCGCTAATCGGCGCCGATGTTGGCGTTGGCGTTAGCGACATGTATATAGTATATTAGTATTGCAAATTCATATAGATGAGAAGGTGGCGATGATGAAGGAAGGGTATTGCTTGCTGCTTGCTGCTTGCAACAGCGCCGATGTAATGGACAGTGTTACTGAATCAATGTTGATATAATCGTATCAACACAGCAAAAGCATTTCATCAATCAAGTGAAATCACTAGAGTGCAGTTGAATGAGATTTAATTTGGTTTGATGCGGGAAGTAGTATTTGGGTTTATATTTCATATGTCGCAAATATGAAGTCCTGTTTCGTTTTAAGTTTTCTTCTACTCGAATATATTATTATCATTATTATTTATTCCTCCTCACTTCTTCATCTTCCACCCCCCCTCCTCCTCTACAACACATCCTTTTTACATAACCAATTATGTATAAATATATAAACCCTCCCTCCCCAATACATCAAAAACGATAACGTAAGATCTTACCAGCGTACACTGACTATAACGCCACATTACCAATATCATTACCAGTACCAGTACCAATAATCATCGGGAAACTTCCTCCCATCAAATATCATACCATACCACAGCACAGCACAGCACATCACATCACAGTACAGCACTAGTACAAAGACCCCATCACCATCACCAGTTCTCACACTAATACCTCAGACCGATCCCTCCAATAACGAATGATGGGTACAAGCGGGTTGAAGATGTAACACTTATCCTTATACTCGAGTAGTAGTCTGGCATATAAAACGTTTATATACATACGACTATCCCAACTATAAGACGGCTTGCCTTCCTAATCTTTTACATATAGGTCGCTAGCGGGTAACTTTTCCCTTATCGAATTCAACATCTCAATACGAGTACAAAGACAACATATAAAGTAAAGTAAAAGTAGAATGAATTAAATCTACTCAGTGTTCCATTCCATACCTCACATCATCCAAACGCATACTCAAATTAGACCATTTTAAAAGAGTCAAATAAAGTCGATCCACTTCGAACAACCCTCATATATATATACGACAGAACCCAAGGCAAGCCACCCGACCCAACCTATACATTCTCAAACAAGCACCGCAACAACCCTAACCGAGTCAAAAGCAAAGCAAAGGAGACAACCAAGCAGGCTGAGTGTGGGTCTTACAATCTAGTTCCCTATCAGGGACAATCGAATCATCATTCTCATAGCCTCATAGGCGAGAAGATAAAGCAACTCTCGAGTGATATGTGTGCTAGGTTGTCGAGTCGGTAGTGGAAGTACCGGATGGGCTACCGTTCAGTATGTGAAAGGCGCTCAGGTAAGTCATAGATGTAAGACTGTTGAACAGCCAGCTTCAGTATTTTAGACAATCATGAGCTGTGAACTCGATACTTTTTTGACTCTGTGAATGTCGCATGTCGACTTTCTGGTGAACGATCAGCGGCAGTAAGGTCTCAGCATGTGGCTAACCTGAAGTCATAATCGTCAGTCTGGCAGAAGAATGATATTGAGACATGTTTTCCGCTTTTCCTGTAACAGACCCCATTCACTCGGATATGCAAGTAAGCCTTTTTCACAACCAAGAGCAACACCTCACATGCAAAACATATTGTTGAAAATTCATTAGTTTGTGCAATAGCCGTTGAATTCATGAAGGTACACCTAGGCAGTTTTTATGAACCGCTCTTGTAGCCCACATCCATCCATCGCACCCCGCAAGAATATAAAACAGACCCATGAACCGTTCATGCCATTTACTTCTTAGCAGCGGCAGCCTCATCAGCGGCATCCTTGACTCTCTTCTCACGCTTGCCGACCAATCTGGCATCACTTCTGGCATCGCGCAACTTTCTGAATGCACCTCCCTCAATTGGTTTTGGCATATCAGCCTTCTTGATCTCTGAGAATCCACCCTCAACGGTGGCAATTGGCAGAACGTGCTTAACACGGTTGCTAGTCTCCTTGAGAGCTGAGACCTCCTCCTTGGTAGAATCACCGTTCTTAGGTTGTCCGAGTTTGCGTGGGAAGAGGATAAGACGGGCACGGAAGGACTTGAGGCGTTCGACGTTGGCCTTTAAGGACTCGACTGAGAGGTTTTGTCGGCGGGGGTCAACGGAGATACCGATCGTAGGTGCGAGCTTGCGGGGGATTTGGGCCTCCTATAATGGCATCAGAAAATTGTACTTATGGAATCGCAGTTATCCCATCTATCTCACCTTCAATTCGGCGAGGGTGAAACCACGACCAGCTCGTACACGTCTGTTGTACTTGACGGTTGGGCATCTAACAACTGGTCTCAACAAGTCGATTGGGCGTGGAGCGACAGCTGCGGTCTTTGTAAGACGTGCATTACGGCGTCTGAGTTTTCGGCCAGGCTATTTGGACTGTTAGATTCGATTCCAGAGCTTCTTGAATTCCATCTGCGCGTTGTTTACCTGGTCGAAATGAACTCTAACTCGGCGTTGCCAATCCTTTCGGAAATCTATCCATTATCAGCATCTTTGCAATCCTGATTGATCCGCGGAAGGGACATACGGTTGTGGGAAATCTGCTGGTTGTGCTTGATCGCCATTTTGTCGGTTTGCGATCAAGTTGTCGTTGGTCGTCGTCTTAAAATTCGAGATGTCGGAATGGTCGCAGTGATCAAACTTGCTGGGTACAAAATTTTGGCGACTCTAGGGCAAGCAATCCCACAACCGAATTTTCAGATATTAGTGGCACGTGATAGAAACTTTTTTCTTCCTACTGATCCCAGCAAAACCCTCTTTTATTGTTCTATTCATCCACTTCACTCCTCACTCAACTCACCCCTTCCTTCTCATCATCATGAAAAATGGGCTCTGTAGTACCATCAGACTTCTCAATATTGGCTGAGCAAATTGCTGTTATGGGTATGGCGGTGGTAATCATCAATCAGTTCTGGTAAACGACATATATAGAACCATTCCATGCTGAGAAATGTGCTGTTATGGCGGTGATAACCATCAATCAATTCTGGTATACGACACATACAGAACCATTCTATCAATCAACTCATCATTCACCCGCATCACAATGTACTCATCGAGCGGTTCTCAATCCATTCACCTGCATCACAATATACCTATAGCTAATTCCCAAAATGGTTCTGGATCATGTTCATATACTCGATGTACATGACTACTATAACTATGACCAGACCACTAGCATTCACGAAATACTTCAAGAGTCGGCCCAAACATTACGTCAAAAGCCATAAGGGTATAAATTTCGTTTTTATTCATGTCAACTACTTTGTAGTCTGATGAGTCGTGCCATACATATCTCATTACTACCGTAGACTTTTATGTAGAAGTGAGACTATCTTCACCTAGCAACTGAAAGCAAGGCCAAGCGTCTCAACTCTCAAGAAAATGTGTAGGCCAGAAGAAGTGACCACGAGTCCCGTCCGTCCATTTTTATGCAAAGACATATATCATTTGCCCTCGAAACCAATGAACCATTTCAACGCCAATGCACCTTTAATAATCAATTACAAAAGCCCATTTCCGAAGTCAGTCAGTAAATAGAGGTTACTTGCTTTCAGTATTTGTAAAACCGACCCAAGTCTTTCTCAAACATGGGACCTCTTCGTTGCGATAATCATCAAACGGGAGAACTGCCTCTTTCCAGCCAACTATATTCCACTGACATCCATTCTTGATTCGCTCCTCGTCCGGTACTTTGCTAGCAAGGGCTCTTTGTCTTCTCTTCTCACGCTCCTCGATGACAGGATACATGACCTTTCGTCGAACTACATGAGTTGCATGGCCATGAATGACACCACCATTTCCAGTTTCCAATACATGCTTCAAAGGACCAAATGGCAAGTTAAGTAATAGTTTTGACAACGTAGCAGTAATAGGATCCGAAGAGGGGGAGCGAAGACTCTCTTCTGTAGGATGGTCGCCGAATTTGATAGAGCTCAAACGTGGGTCTGCGGGACTTGGTCTGTCATCTGGAACTTGCGGAATTCTAGAATTGAAGAGAGGATCTGAGACTGTCGTATCCAATTCGAAATTGGGGGGAAGGAGAGGATGATCAAGTTGATTAGGTTGTAGATGAGCAAGTTAGCACATGGACTATAAATGCTTCTACCGATTACATCATTCGCATCCGGGGTTCCTGGGGTCCACGACCAATCAATGCCTCCTTCAAGTGCAAATTCGAAAGCTTTCTCAGCAGTATCCCAAGTGATGAGTTGACTCGCAATAGTGCAACCAGTCTTCCAAATTTGAGGAATCTGAAGAATAGCCCCTGATGCTACATAACCCAGCGCGAAGTCAAAACGTTCGGCTGGTGTTGATGGCATGGGAGCTGATCCAATGTATGGAGCCGGAAAGCGGGCCATTGCATCAAAGTCCAATATAGGTCCGCCATAGAGATATCGAACCGCTAAGGAAAAGGCATCAGAACGCAAGTAACGATCATCCGACTCAATCAAGATATTCTGGAAAGGTAGTGGTGAAGCACAGTTTGCGCGAGCTCCAGATGTGATGAGGCTTTTCAATACGAAACTGCGAGCGAAGATCAATTTATGACCACTGATCTGAAGAGGAGCGGCACGGTCATCAGAGTAACGTAGCTCGAGAACACAGTCGGAGAATTCTGGTTGTGCAAACTGCTCACGAAGATGAAACCAAAGGTCTCGACGATTGCCGCCTGCCCAAGGAATTTCTTCTTTGCGCGGGTAACCGAGAACTCCACGATAAGGTGGCGGACCCATTGGTGGAATTGTAGATGGATGTTGGCCGTAATGGGGACCTAGACCGTTCTCTTGATCAATCTGTGCCGATGACCGAGATCCATGGATGTTGTGCGCAATCGCCGGATCAAAACCGTTGAAACGAGGACTCTCTGCGATGCGAGGAACACCAGTTGGCGAGTAACCTTCAGAAGGGGCAAATTGTAGCATTTGTCTACGAAGGAAGTCATCGGTTGGACCAACCTGAAAGCCCTCCTGGTGGTGGTAAAATCCCGGGGGGAATGCTGGAGTTATGGGTGAAAAACCGTTCGACATGTGGTGCTGGTGGCCGCCGTTCGAGGGATGAGGACCATGACGCACACCACCTTGCTGCGCATAAGTATAAGGTGGAATATTGCCAGCGCTCGAAGGTGGAGCTGGGGATGAATTGCTGGAATCAGGATATCCACCAAACATCGGGACTGAACTGCTAGGATGCGCGTGGTGCATTGGATGTTGGCCATTGAAGGCAACATGTTGTGGAACTTGGGCAGACTCAGAGGACATGGTGGACAAATTGCTGGCGGGAACAAATGGTGGAGGCAATTGATAAGTTGATCTCGATGTGGTTGATTGAGTTTCGGATGGAGCAGAGTGCTGTTCCTCTCGGGAATCGTCTGCTAGAAGACTAGAATTAGCGACATGGACCATTGCTTGGGTTTGCAGAAATGGCAAGGCTGAAAGTGAATTTTCTCGTCTCACCCTTGATTTCAATCACAGTAACAAATTTCCCATCAACTTCGCGTTCAGTAGAACTACGTCCAGTAGAGCCCAGTGTAACTCCGCCTTCAGTAGAACTAAGTCCATCCAGTGATTCCGCAATAGATGAGATATCGGCAACTGCTGCGGCAATAGGCTTGGGAGACTCTTTGATCACTTCGGAAAGTTTCTCTTCAAGATGGGGTTCATCGGCATGTGCGGAAGGTATATTTGTAGTTGGAACTGATGTAACGGGCGCCTGAACCGCTGGAGCTGTCGAGGAGGGGGGATTAATTTCTTTCGCCTTTTCTCGAATAGGTAGTTTCTTTTGTTGAATTTTAACATAGGAAAGAGGCAGAGCAGGGACAATGCCTTTCGGCATCGCAACTGCAGGCCTTGGGCGGTTCTGTATAACTTTTGATGCGCCGTTTGCTGGGGCCATGTTCACAGTATTCATCCAGTCGCAACAAGCTTTCCTACTTGTTCTTGAATTCACGACTGACGTCCCCAAGATTCAACAATGACCTAAAACTGGTCATGTGGCATCTGGGGAGTCTTTTCTTTGACTGATGAAGCTTTTATAGTGGGCATAAGTGAAAGGACTTGCAGTTTAAAAAGAAGCTCAAGACACTGATTAGAGGTAACCAATTCTGCGGGGTGTGAAATAATTTGTTTCCACCTGGTAATTCGGGCTGGACTCTAACGTCTTTGGATATAGTGCCTCGTAGCATCCTTTCTTTTCTCCGACGGACTTAAGGGGCAAACTTTAACAAACTACTAGGTACATAGAACTTTTAGAAGAATGATACAAACACAAACAAAATTGAAGAACTTTTGATTTGATAAAGATTTTACATGCACTCCTTGTAAACATGTCTTTCATCCATCATTTAGAGTCCTGTTTAGCTATCCAATTCCAAGGCAATATACTGGAATAGTTCTTCCCAATATACTTCGAGAATATGCAGCCAAATGATTTAGAATATAGGATCACTGCCACCCACGCTGGCAAGCAAGACTCAACTTCAAGTCAGTATAGAGCAAGTGTTCTATTAGTTGGAAACAGAGAAGTGAAGAAACAAAGGAATAGTAATCCTTAACCAAGGCTGCAGGATACAATTAGAAGTATTGATCTAGAGATTTGAATGGTAACTCACCCTTTGAATGTTTAGTTCGAATTTTTCTAAGCCAGGGACTATCATCTCATGTTTCTATATTCACCTAGTGGGAATATGAATGAAAATGTGACATTCCACAATGCTGTCGTAACCTTCTGATCTGAATGGGGTGGAAAGATGAATAGAGATGAAACATTACTCAAAGCTGATGAAATGCTTCAGCTAGAACTTAGTAGTAATAAGCATGAAGGTAGAAAATCAAAGGTCAAGCTAGGAAGCATTGTTTTGAGTCCAAAACCCAATGTAAATGGGAAGTCAAATAAATGGTCTATCTAAATATTAGTATCATTTGATTTTGCACTTAGGAGAATCTGCAAATGTGTCATTCCCTGAAGCTGATACGGCGCCCAAGTTCGAAGAGCTTCAGACTATAGGTAGATGTAGAACATTACAAGGCAATTGGTTCAGTAGACCAGAAACAAGTGGGTGGATATCTTGATGGAGTTATAAATCACATCATTGAAATTAAAAGCTTCGAGAATATCGCGCAAAGTTCACCTTGTCGGACAAATGGTGAATATTGGAGAAACATGGCATATAGTCAACTTCTATTGCCAAATAATTTATATTTCCTTCTCCAACAAACATCAGTCCTCGGTCCCCTCCCCAGCACCCCAATTCCAGCCCAACCACAACAACAAGACACCTTCAAAAACTACCACCATTACAATTACCATAATGTCGGGAGTTGGAGATGAAGATCGAGCCATGTCGGGAGTCGGAGAAGGAGACTCAGACTCTGTCTCGAAGGTTAGACAAGAAAAAAGACACTTCACCAGTTTGACCGTAAGTACTATTTTCGGTCATTGAGACTCCTGATAGTATGACTAGAAGCTTGCGCTGACAACATACCCAGACAGAGCAGCTGCTGGAGAATTTGAAAAAATTGTCGGGACCAGGAGCAGAGGACGAGAGAAAGCGAAGAATCATAGTTTATACGCAGAAGGAGAAGAACAGGAGACAGGAGGCCAAAGATCAGGCTAGGAATAAGGAGAAGCAGGCCATAAAAGAGAGGAACCGAAGACAGGAGGCCAAAAACCAAGCCAGGAATGCGGAGAAGCGCGTCAGGAGAGAGATGCAGCAGAGACGGGAGTTAGAGAATCAAGCCAGGAAGAAGATGAACCAAATACAAATGGCAGAGGATCAAGCCAGATGGGCTGCCAGAGATACTCAGTATATAGTGATGGTAAGTTTGATTCATTCCATTGCTCATTGGCAAGGTTCTGGTGTGGTTGTGGGATATATTGCCTAACTATGTGATTGGGTAGGGTATATCGAATCCAGCGGAGATGAAACAGATCATAAAGAGGGAGGCGAGGGAGGAGGCTGATCTTGATATGTTGGAACCGAGGGAGGAAGTCGAGAGCGCAACATCTCAAGTACCTATCATGGAAAGATAGTCTTTCGATTTCATTAGCGAGAAAGGTAGAGCGATTGCTTGTCAGTAAAGTATTTGGGTGGTGATCATGAACAATGATAAATTTCTAGTGGATATCTTTCACCGTATTCAAGGACCATCGCTTAGAACACATCACACCTGCGAATTAAATGTGTCTACTAGGTAGTCTTCATCATTCTACAAGGGTCATTCTACGTTGGCGAGAATTTAGCTTCCGACTTTAGCGTTTCGATCTAGCAGAGCTTAGTGGCCAACGCTTGTCGGGAACCACAAAATGTATGTCCTTTACACCTTCCAAGCAAGATCTTCTACCTCTTCTTCCAGCCACTCTTTACTCCAAGATAATTGCGCTTTCATCCCACAACAATCTTATAACAAATGGACCATCATAATGAAGTGGTGTCTGACATTGCCTCGTCAGTGAAGCAATTCTTTGAACGGAGAGAGGCTTTCAGAGTCTACCATGGGTCGACCAACAGTACTCGCGGTTCGAATCGTCGTCGAGACCGTATGATTGATACGAGTAGGTTAGATCGAGTGCTCAAAGTGGACACTGAGAAAAGGACTGCTCTTGTCGAACCAAATGTCCCAATGGATAGGCTTGTTGCTGAAACTCTTCGCTATGGCCTGGTACCCCCAGTGGTTATGGAGTTTCCAGGTATCACTGCTGGAGGGGGCTTTGCTGGCACTTCTGGCGAGAGCAGCTCTTTCAAGTATGGCTTCTTTGATTGCACAGTCAATTGGATTGAAATGGTTCTTGCAAATGGCGATATTGTAATGGCTTCCAAGAATGAAGAGTCAGACCTCTTCTATGGTGCTGCATCATCTTTTGGAACACTAGGAGGTACGACCTTGATTGAGTTACAGTTAATCGAAGCTAAGACCTATGTCGAGTTGACATATATAAACATACGAAGTATGGCAGAGGGGATACAAAAGATCGAGGAAATCACCAAGGATCCAAGTGTTGACTATCTTGATGGAATCCTGTTCAGCAAAAAGGCTGGTGTCATCTGTTCCGGACGCCTGGTCAACACACTTGAACCTAATACACAGATTCAAGGCTTCGTGAAGAGTTCAGATCCTTGGTTTTATCTCCATGCGATGAAGATCCATGATAGAAGCTCGGGATCAGTTACAGAAGCTATTCCTCTTGTTGATTATCTGTTTCGGTACGACAGAGGCGGCTTTTGGGTCGCCAGATATGCATTCAGGTGACTAGCCATTCAATTTCAAGAGTGGGCTGAAGCTCACCCTTACTCTTAGGTACTTTATAACTCCATTCAACCGTATCACGCGCCGTCTACTCGACTACTTAATGCATACCCGAGTGATGTACCACGCACTACATGAAAGTGGGCTTTCCAAAAAGTACATAATTCAGGATGTGGCAATTCCGTATCCGCGAACCAGCGAGTTCGTCGATTGCCTAGATAAGGACTTTGGGCAGTGGCCCATTTGGTTATGCCCGCTGCGGTAGGCCGGGCTTTCCAGCGAATCACCGCTGGGTCTTCTCGCCGAGAGAAAGGAAAATTCGTCTACTCCTGATATGTTGCTCAATTTTGGGGCTTGGGGACCAGGACCAGATGGTCGCGATGCCTTCATATCATGGAACCGAAGATTCGAACAAAAGGTTCGAGAGCTGGGTGGTCAGAAATGGCTGTATGCTCATGCCTACTATACCGAGAAGGAATTCGATGAGATCTACAATCGCAAGGAATACGACGCTCTTCGTGTCAAGTATCATGCAACCTACCTCCCCAGTATTTACGATAAGGTCAAAGTTGATATCGAGTTAGAACACCGGGAGTTGCAAGCATCGTGGAGCTTGTGGTTACTGGCAATCTTCTGGAACATTTGGCCGTTGAGTGGGCTTTATGGGGTGTTACAGGCATTTTTAGGTGGATACTATCTTCTGCCAAAAACTCAGGTATCGAGCAAAATACGTTCACTAAAGGATAGGGTGAACTGAAGTCTGAAAACTCAGTTATGTTGTATGGAAAAGGTTGAAGCACTGAGCTTGCTTTTTACTTTTGTTATTGGTTCATAATTAACAATTGAAAACTCCACTAATAAATAATCATTGATAGCCTGATAGAAACAAAAGATTATCTTCCATGATAGAAAATTGAAATGTTGTACATTTAGTCTTCCTCGCCTCTATCATATCAACCTCACTTGGATCTTCAAAACAGTACCTCTATTTGCATCCTGCATGATTGATAAATCGGAAGTTACTTGTCCTAATGTTTTATATTACATACCAAATTCTCAGATTGATAACTTTCGTTGTTGCACTACAACCATTCAATACTCTCACAGGTGATAAGCATCCTATTTTCATTAGATTCATCGGCTGGTATTTGAAATGATGCTTGACTTTCAAAGAAAAGTAGCCTGATACTTCTAGGAGGTTCACTTACTCTAGTCTAGTGGCTGGAGCTCAGGCTATCAATGTTGAAGTTTGAGAGGCATAAAGGGGGTTCGTCTCACTTCGTTTCCTTCAGAGCTTTGTTGAATGATACGTACTACACGCTTCACATTAAAATATTCATTACTCAGGCGGGTCTAAAAGACGCATTCGCAAAATCAAGTTATCACTATAATTTCAATTCTTTATATATATAATTTGTGCATATCAATTATTAGGCCCCTTTCTGAATTTTTTGGCAAGGATGTCGAGGAATGATGATAAGAATGATCCATCACGACATCGTATTGCAGGCGAAGATAGCACTTATGCATTCCCTCTATCAACCATATCAAACTTATCAGTCCCAATCACTCATTAAGTAGGTAGACTCTCCATAGTCTACACAACTCAAGCACTTTTCATTCTACAATCTGATGAGCTTGTACTCCTAAAGTTTTTCATCAAACCCCCTCGCCCGGATCTCGAAGTTATCATCGGGCCACAAGCCAACGCCTTCATGCATCCAGTTGTATCTTCTGGTTAAAATTCTTGCGCCCATCAATGGTTACCACACTCCAAGCAAAATTTCTCCAGCATAGTTGTCAACGGCCCCTCTGCGTATCCATATACACATATACCCTCCGAAAAGGTGCGTTGCACCCTATTTCTAATCTTGAGGTGTTGATTGGAAAGCAGTAACAGGGTGGTAGTTTGGCAGGGTAGAGAGTGTGGAAAGATTGTGCGAGGTAGCTGTGATAAGTTAGATGTCTGATTTGTTGTACGTGTACGTGTACGTGTATAAGAAAAAGAATTCAGACCATCCTAATTGTGAAGCATATTAGCTTCGAATTTATCCAAATAGGAACGTGTCCAACGTTCGATAGTTGCTCTCCTCTCTGGGGGTGTAGGGATCCACTCTTGATCAGCGGCATCCATAGGAAATGTGGTGGTGAACTCTGTTAATCCTCGAATTACTCGAAATGGACTTAAGGTCTTCTCTAAAGACATGTGAACATCTTCCAAAGTTTGCGTAAGGCTTGCCCAGACTCGAGTTCTCATATCGAGATGTATTAAGAGGCGCTCCAGACAACTGCCGTCGGCTAAAAAGTTTGCCAGATGTACAATAAATTTAGGAGACTCCGAGTCCCATTTTTTATTAGAGGCTGTATGCGCAGAGGGTAGGCGAACGGGCAAGGTAATTACGGCCAAAGATTTCACCGACTTTAGGGCTGCTGGAAGTTCGCAGCATCCATCTCTCATGAAATACCCACCGTTCAAGAAGATGGACTTTGAATCGAGTCTGAAGGAAAACGTTGCGACTCCGTACCATAACCCATAGATTTCATAATGTATCTTTCGGTTTAGGCGTAGTATTGCTGGAGAGCAGGAGCCGCCATCCTGCCGCCAGGGCGACTCCCCAAGTTGATGGTGTAGATTGCTATCAGGAATAAGATACATGTATATCTTAATTCGAAGTTCGGCAGGCAGCTGTAGAAACTGAGAGGGTTCACAGGTTGTTGGGGCAGGTTGGAGGGGTAAAGCCATAATATTCGTGGTCTACTAGTATGATTAGTAGATAAAAAAATTCTGCGTGAAGCATTTATTTACAAGAGATGGCATGTTTGATATTGTGCAATAATTGATTGATTAATCGATTTTTAATGTGGTTGTGGTTGAATTCCGTTGCGTTTGAAAGTTGTTATTGCGGCACAATATCGCGACGAAGCGATACAATTGGTGGGCGTGTAGAGTAAATTTTAAGTGTGAATCTAACCACTAGAACGTATATATACTGTCCTAATTGAGTTTAAGCCTTTAGTAAGGCCCTTTGGTCAAGTTGCATATTAAGGCCAAAGCTACAATTTCTAGTTTTGGACTACTATCTTGTATTAGCAACTTCAAGCAATAAAAACTAGGCTGTATATAGTAAGGGCTCAAGCGCACTTAGGTGAGATAGGACGATATCCTCTAGTCCCGATAACTTTCTCGCTCCAAAAGTATATGTATTCCAAAACTTGTCTAGATATATAAATTCATAGAATGCTATTCAAAATCGCTACTCGTACCAGCCACAAGTACTTTCATGTATATATCGGAATTGACAGATTCGAATTTACTTGAATGTCCATTTACAGATCTAACAATAAATACTTGATAATATAACCTCCGTGGCTATAACCTTTCATAATAATTCATCAGCAATCAAGCAGCCATTCTATATATTCAATCGTTAAGGTGATATCACTCTTATGAATCCAATACAGAGAAACAGAAAAATAAAGAGTTATACTCGAGTAGTATTGAAAATCCTAAAATCAACGAAACCCATATAATCTAGAGGCTAGCAAAGTCGAAATCTCAGTCCGTACATCGGCGCTGGCTACAAACATTTGATTGCAATAATATCGGAGAGATGATGAGATTAAAGCGCAATTGGTGGAGTCGTGGCGGTATAGTACGAAAAAAAGTATTGTAAAGGCCTTGGTGTAGAGGATTTGGCATGTCTAACTTTGCTTTGTAAGATTATATTATCTATGTGCAAAATAAAAACTCTTGCCATTACACAGGTACTATTAGATGATGATATAACTTAAAGGAACAAAAATAGAACGATAGTTTTAATATAGATCTACTTGATTACTAGCTCGATGCTAACTTTACGTATCGAGCTCGATATTAGCCGAGGATATAGGAGCCAAATATATTCCCGTTTAGACATCCAAATCACAATTAGATGACAATGGAGGGATATCAAGATCATTTCCCAGTAATACATACCATACAGATAATATACACCTAAGTCGAGCTCAAATAGTGGGATTATATCGGCATTGAGGGGCACGTCGGATTCTAAGCAGATCTGAACCCTTATTGGAACCATCTTGTGGATATCATCCACCTATAGTACTAAATCTAATGTACGAGTAACTTCTCAGTGCTCACCATCCTGGACGTGATATTGACATTGGCCTACTCCGAGCCGCAAACTATAGCGTATGGGCACGTAATCGGGACAACCCCCTCAAGCCGACCCGAATTCAATTCCGCTATCCTATTAAAGCAGCGCATCTACATGTTCATGAGCAAGCTATGAGAGTGATTGACTCCCCGCCTAGATGTACATAGCCCCGCATAGAGGGGGAATCTAATTCTTCAGTGAATTCTCCAAATGCTAGGTCTACTGCATAAAGCACTGAAGCGTTACCCGCTAAGACCCTCTCGCTTAATGAACTATTCCCCCGAGATCTATGAGGAAAACTAGCCTTGATTACAGCCCCATTTTTATTGCAAATCTAACTCTAATACCAAGTGAAGGTAACACAACCCATTCATAAGCCGTCAAACTCAAAGCGAAGCGTCTCCATAACATCACTCACGAATTAGCCACCAAAAATTCAATGCAGAAAAGCGCTCGGCCAAGCAATTCTAGTCTTACCACAAGGCTAGCTTGGGAAGCTCTTTGAAATTCATCTCTTTCATTCTATACTATATATATCAACGCATTTTCTAACATAGACCAATTCTTAAGACCTTAAGAAACCTACGGAGGGTGAAGGGAAAACTGATTGATACTAACAGCCAGAAAGGAATATAGTTTGAGTGCTTCAAGTTGAGAATTAGAAGGAATTATACTTACAACAGAATAGCCGACTTTGGCTTCTTTGATTTGTTTACTTCTTGCGCTTGTATATCTGTTCCAATTGTTCGAGTAGTCGGCACTGGCATGATCAGGCACTTTCGTGCCATTAATTGCATTTACCAGCACCTCCGCATAATGAACCAGCCTTCTTCCCATCAAACATTAATCAAAATCCCAAGATGCAATCCAAAAATCCAAAAATCCAATTAATAGTTATACAAATAGAGAACTTGACTAACTATTAACTAAAATCAACATCAAATTTCTTCTCAAGCTGCTTCTATCTCGAAATAGACTTATACTACTTAGTAATACCCAAATAAAATCCTTTTCCTTCTCCTTCTCCTCCTTTTCAATTCTCCATATATTTTACTAGCCTTCAAGTTATTTTCAAATATATATCATTACAGCATCACCATGAATTAGTCTTAATTCACCGAAACCTTTATAAAAGTTTGTCGCCAAATCTCGAGACAAAAATTCAATCTAGATATACCTTTTTTGTACTCGTATACTCGAGTATATACTCCAAATAAAATAAGGAGTTACTGCGATCTTTTTAGTTTTTGCCAACAGAGATTCTTGTACAGGAATCATTTCCACTGATTTACCGCGTGATATCATGTTCTGGTGAATATAGACAGACGCGTTCAAGTTGGCGCGTGCGAGGGGACGATGTATGATCTTGTTGTACGATGTTTGGAGAACTGTGATAGTAGTCTTATTAACTAGGACGAGAATAAACAGCTGGTTCATATTCACTTATTATATATAGACTTCTATAATAAGGGTGAATATAATTAGAGAGCATTTCTGTTATAGTAATAATTGACAACTAGAACTTGGGCATTTGAGTTGGCGGAAAAAGGTAATGAGATGAAAGTACGTCAAAGAAGAACTTTGACGTGAGAATCGAAGTACTATCATCTCAAACTCATAGACTAACTAATACTATACTGTCTTTCTTGGATCCAATGGAGATGTATAATTCTCTGATTACATCAAGTTCAACGGTCTTAATCAGTTATTGAAGTTTGCAAGTTTGCACAACTACCAGTGGTCGCCTGTAGTCCTAGAGATACGTTCTACAATGATCTAGTCAGTCCAACTTGAATATTGATTTTTCATAGCAACTTTACTATAATGCATGGAAAATATAGAATGCATTGGGCCCAGATAAGGTGTTTGAAATCTTGTATTGCAGATATCGCGATAAAAATCGGCGAAAATCGGCATTAAGATGGTACCCAATGCTTTGAACCACGCTATGCATTCTAAACCAGCACTTGTTAATATCCCAAACTCCATTTCCAGTCCATCTACATCATGTACACCCTCATTTCTCAAGCAGGTCTCCTCCTAGCGAACTCCTCTAAATCCGTCTTGGTCGCCACTCCCAACACAAACCTCCTCCTCTCATCCGTCACAACTGCAAAATCCTGTTTTCCACCCTCACCACTCTCTCCCCCAGCAAAGAACAACTCTAACTCTTCCAACGGGGTATCCATTGTAATAACCTTATACACCTTTCCCTTCCTCCTAAATTTCACCATTGCTTTGGATACCTCGTCTGATTCTTGCACTTTGCCTGTTTCGAGCAAGATGCGCAGATGCGGGATCGAGAGATAGCCGAGCAGGGCGCGTGTGTCGGGGGTTACGACCGTGAGGTGTGTGTAATCGCGTTCGAAGGCGCTCATGAGTGCATATGAGATGGGATCGGTGGGGTTACAGGAGAGTGCGGATGGAGGATCGAGATCTTCGACTGTGGCCTGGAAGAGTGGTTTGGTTAGTATAATTGTTCGGGTTGATAGATTTGACGGGGGGATGCCATGCAGACAGCGGACTTACGCCTCTATAACGATTTGCCAATTTCGAGAGAACGGGTTTGGGTGACGGGGACATCTCTGCGGAATTTGAGGTTGTGGTGGTTGTTTGATTGGGTATAATATTCGGCATTTTGGTAGGTGTTGGTGATGGATGTATATCCAAATTAACAAAGTATAGTATTTTATGGTGGGGAGGAATTGGTGGGGTAGGTCGTGATTATTAGGGTGGGTCTAGATTTTACGCGGTAGGAAAGCAGTCCTAAGATTGTGTTCCTGAGTCTTTTGAGGAGACATTCTAGAAGCTTTTTCCTATACAGAAAGGAAGGAAGTCTGAGAATCACAGAATTGAGAGAGGAGAGAACAATTCACCAAGCCTTTGGTTATAATTACTCATCAGCGGGGAAGCTCCTCGGATGCCATACAGTATTTCAACTCCGTACAAAGCACTTTAAGAGTCTCTTTATACTGGAAAATCTTTCATATACTGTATTCAAACGGCTTTTACTAATAATTTTCTCGTATTTAAGCAAAGCACCCGATCCCAACCGATGAAATGATACCTATGTCAACCTTGCGCGGTAATAAGATACTATCTGGACCTTGAGGTTATATACTCTCACCTATCATTGGTCGTTGAAGGGTGGTGTTGCTTCAGCGTCAAGGGTCAAATATACGTCAAATTGTCTCATCAATCCGATTTATCCATTCCTGAATTTAACTTAACAAATATCCATCGCACTTCTTCACTTCTTTCGTTCCTCATCCAGCAAATACTCCTTTCAATCCTTTCTCAATACTGGAAGTATGTCTTCCATATTCCCATCTCAAAATACACTTCACCAAGTCTTCCACTCTCCCAATCCCTACGGTCGCCGGCCCGAGCCATCAATTCGATCCCGTACCACTCCCGAACCCAAGCGCACCCCACTTCAAGCTCGCTCGGAGCTCTACACAGCTTGGTCTGTTATTGACGATGCGAAAAATAAAGCTAATTCATTGAGTGCCGAAGCTACAAAAGAGTTTGAGAAAGCTAGTGCGAGTGCACTGGCTAAGACTGGTACAATCGAATTGTATTCGCCAAAGTATTATGCTGCTTGCAGTTTTGGAGGTTTGCTTGCCTGCGTAAGTGACATTTCATCCATTCTATATGATATCAAGGATTTCGGATTGCAAGAGATTATCTATTAGTTTCGATTTGCTATTATGACGTCTATTTCGAGGTATACACTGTGCGTCCCAAAAACTGAAGCTCCAATTGATCGAAATCTACTTTACTTGCCCCCGCGGAACAACCCCATCACTCCAACGCGCAGATGGCAAGAAACTTTCAACTGCCGGTCTTCGAACCTCTTTTAGAACCTTTGCGCCAGTATTTGGTTTACCACTCACTGCCAACTATTTCGATTGCCCGGTCTATTTGAAAGTCGAGTAAACAGACTCTATCTCATGCCTTACCACCACTCTAGCGTCACCACTCCAAGACTCAGCAAATACTCGCGCAAAGCAAAAGGCTTAGTGTCGACAGGACTTCTTATTGAATATTTAACTGTCTACTTTCATTGAAAGCTCGATAGATAGATCTTGCAAAAGACCACTCGTCTCTCATTACTTATCTCTTTAACAAGGCAATACACGCGAAACTCTTCAGCTAACATCCTATAGGGTCTCACCCACACATCCGTCACCCCTCTCGACCTAGTAAAATGCCGTCGCCAAGTCGACTCCAAGATGTACACAGGCAACTTTCAAGCCTGGAGTAAAATCTTCCGCGCCGAAGGTTTCCGCGGTATCATGACTGGTTGGGGCCCAACCTTCTTCGGTTACTCTGCACAAGGAGCTTTTAAATATGGCGGATATGAATACTTTAAGAAATTCTACGCTGATCTCGCCGGTCCCGAAAATGCATACAAGTACAAAACATGGCTTTACCTATCCGCCAGCGCATCCGCGGAGTTCATCGCCGATATTGCGCTTTGTCCATTTGAAGCCGTGAAGGTTAGGATGCAAACTAGTGTTCCGCCATTTGCAACGGGTACTGCAGCTGGTCTTTCGAAGATTATATCGAAGGAAGGTTATGCCGGATTGTACAAGGGCTTGTATCCTCTCTGGGGACGTCAAATTCCATATACCATGATGAAATTTGCATCTTTCGAAACCATTGTGGAGATGATCTATGATCGACTTCCGGGCCACAAATCAGATTACGGTAAAGCTACTCAGACAGGTGTTTCATTCACCGCTGGTTATTTAGCTGGTATTCTTTGCGCGATCGTATCGCATCCTGCCGATGTTATGGTAAGTCATCTTTGCAACCACAATCCTAACCCAAATGTTAACTAGATCGTTTGCACAGGTTTCCAAATTAAACGCAAGCCGCCTTCCGGGTGAAGCATTTGGTGCTGCTACCGGACGAATCTATAAAGATATTGGATTCCGTGGTCTTTGGAATGGACTTCCTGTTCGTATTGTCATGATTGGTACATTGACTGGTTTGCAATGGATGATTTATGTACGCTTGCTCGCTCATCATTTTTAGTGGGTTTTGTTAACGGTGTTGCTATAGGATTACTTCAAGATCTACATGGGCTTTCCAACTACAGGCGGAGCTGTACCTGTAGTACAGAAAGAATAAGATAGGTAAGGTGATAGGGATATTTCTGGAGGGTTTTGAAGGTTGAAGGTTGGAGCGTTGGAACAAAAATGCGTCTCCACTCACTCATGTATATCCTGTAATGCAATGGGCAAATGTTTTTTCTAATAATTAAAAGCTTGTTTGAGTTTGTTATCTCACTCTGTAATGGTAATATGTACACTTGCCGATTGGTTGTTAATATAATGTATTGGCTCATCTATAAGTTAATTATAATCAAAAGATAAATAGATAAGCATACCGGTATCCCACTTACAGTTCACCCTCACTATCTACGAGTACTCACTCGCCTATTCCAGGAGGGGAAAACTATGACTATTCTGGAATGGGTAATGGAATAGACATGGAATGAATAAGATAGAAAGAAAAGAGATGGATCAGTAGAATAGAGAAGATTTGTTGCATGTCGTGTGGAGGTTGTTATGTTATGGTATGTGATGGTATTGTGAAGGAGGGAGGGAGGGGGGCTTATCATTGTGTTGTATTGATGGAGGGGGGATAATAATAGTTGGAACTCTGTTTAGCTTTACTCTGTCTATTGGAGCTTAGCTTAGCTGAGGAGGTTGCTGCATATACTGGAGTACTGTGAAAAGTTGATGCTTGTAGGGATATATATGTACCCTATGAATCAGATGGGTAAACTACAAGGGAATAGCCTAGTTTCTTTAGTTCCCGAGTTGCGGACTTTCTGGCGACAATGAGTACCTATGATCTAGATTCTAGAGGAATAAACTGAATAAACTGAATGGAGAAATGGTTCCTGCACAGTGGTGTAGATAGATAGGATTACATCATGGAATTTAGGTTTGAGTTGGATGGGCTGCTTGCTTGCTATGAAGTTGACACGATCCATATGGTACCGGGAGTATTTATAGAGATGTCTCTGCCTGTGCCTGTGGGTTTCGATGATGAAAGGAAAGATAAACAATGAATAATGATGGCCAAGGAAGGAAGTGGTAAACGTGAGTGTGAATGTGAATGTGAATGTGAATTTAATCAAAGCCAACTCGTAGATACTAGGTAGGCTTATTGATTGATTCGAATGTTATTGAAGATTCTCTCTCTTACATTACAGTACATTATTTCCTCTAACCACCTCTTCAAACATTTGCTGGCGCGAATATTACTTTGCTTGCTGCTGTTATTGCTAGATCTTCATAGTAAGTACCTTTCATTCACATCCAGAGTTGAGTTCTGTTCGTCTTGTGTGAGGAAAGGTATCTATGGTATTTGGATGGGTATGACCGATTGCGGGGTATTTTGAAGTGGGCTGAGGACGAACGACCAAGGATTGATTCCTTTGCGCAATACGAGTATATTTAAAATTAAATTCGCGCCATTCCCATTTCTTTGATCATATAGTTCAGTACTTACTTACATATTGGACGTAGACACTCATATCCCAAGAAAAATAATTGCAAAAGAATCCGAAATCTATTATAATGGCTGAGCATGAAGTTAGTCACGGTCGCGGAGGTATGTTTTGTTTACTGCGCACACCCATTTGAAGCATCTTAGTGAGGGGAATCCTAACATCATAGCAGGCGCTGGAAATATCGGAGCTGATCCCACTCAGTACGCACACCCCTCCCTCCCTCTATGATCTATCGCATACAGATACTCTCCACAATCAAACCCGGAACCCGGCGAGATGTTCCGACAAATGAATGAACTAACTAATGGGCGCAATAGATATGTCGATGGGGAAATCGTGCGTCAAGGACCCGCTGGCGATCACGGTGATGGAGCATTTAGCGTCGGTCGTGGTGGTGCCGCCAATATCGGCTCACCTGGTCTACCGGCTACCAAACGAAACGACGCGGATGTTGTTCCAGAGGTTGCGTTGAGACCTAGTAGCGAGGGCGATAATGTGCATTTTGGACGAGGGGGCGAGGGAAATGTGGTTAATGTGACGAAGCCGGGTTTGGAACATCCGGTGGGTTTGGCGGATAAGTTGAAGAATAAATTGTTTAAGAAGAAGGCGCATGCGGCTGAGAAGTGAGTAGTTGAGAGAGAGGATGGTTTTGGAGATTGGTAGAAGGGGGGTTTAAGTCATTCTTAGCTGGGGGTTCTCGAGAACCTTCCTTTGACTGGATTTGAGGGTTTGATTGTTAATTTTCGATATTGAGGAAGGGAGTTTTGATATCCTTTGGGGAGGATACAATGATACCCGAGTTATGAGTTTGTGGGCTTGGATTGAGGCTTTATTGAGGTTTGGAGGCTTGCTATACTGGAGTATCTGAGAGAAAGAAAGTATTGCAATAATATTCCTCCAACAATTATAGTTTTGGCTTTTATCTTCTGGAGTGAAGGAGATTATTCAACCCATTTACCAATCGATGAGTAGGTTCAATTGTTGACAATGCCAAAGTATCTACCTACTTTATATCATTAGTCCTCAAGGGTTCCAAAACATTTCTACTTTTGGTTGTGAGGCTATGTATGTCTAGCCATCCTTTGCTTTTTGGTTTGATATGAAAGATATACTCTGTACTTGTATACTAAATAGCTATTTGGGTCCAGTTCATTTTGACTCGAAAACTGATCAACCAATGAAAAAATAGAATTCACAAAAATTGACTTCTTGGTGGTCTGAGCTCTTTTTTACTGTTGTTGTTGTACCTGAGATTATCATTATCAATATTATATCAATTGTTTTATTGAAACTCTTCATCAACCAACCATTTATTGTCCCAACAATTCACACTTTAACTGTATTTTACCGAAGGGGTTCGGTTCGTATGAACTATATACATCTATTCTATACCATCTCTTGAAGTCTTTGATCTCCTCTGTAACTATATCTAAATTCTAAAAAGTTGTCTCCTCAGTTTAACCCAACTTTTACATTTACATTACTTTACAATATCTCATGAACTTTTACTAACTTAACTCCAACCTAGACTTAAAGCTCATCAGCCTACGAATCTTCTCGCGCAGTCACTCTGTCTGCCAGTCGCCCTGCAATTTAACCTTCCATCTACTCGCGCCTCTTAGCAATAACTCGATACTCTTGCATCGGTCCCTCGCAGCTCTACCCCGCTGTTCATCATGGCCCCGAAAAATGACTTGAGAAGTTCAAGTACACCTTCGACCAAACGCGTAAAGGCAGAGTCTTCGGGATCGAATTCAATGAACCCTCCTGCAGCTGTTCAAGATACAATGTTCTTCGAGATCAAATACCCGATTATGAACCCGAGTAACAAAGCAAAGGTACCAAGACAAAACGCGGAATGGAAGGAGCAGGCAGAAGAGCATATATCACCTTTCAAAGGCTTCAATGCTGCAGAGAAGGAACTGAATCAACACTATACTGTTTTACCCAATGCAGAATGGGCGGCCATGAGGAAATATAACAACTTTATAAGTATGTCTTGTCTCTGGCTATTGGCTCCTAAAATCCCCTCTAATCCAAAGTCTAGTCCAAGGCGAGACTTTCAAAAGCAACCAAGTTGTTTTTGTAAAGGGCAAGACTGAAGCAGGCACACAACCCAAGGACTTCTGGGTAGCAAGAATATTACAGGTTCGAGCTATAGACCCACAACATGTCTACGCCCTGGTAAAACTATTTTCTCCGGATAAAGGGTTTCAACTAATTGGTTCTAGATTGCCTGGATGTATTGGCCAGATGAGTTACCAGCAACGGCCAAAGCCGTCGATGAAGCATCTGGAACTTCAGGACAGAGGAAATATCACGGAAATCTTGAACTCATTGCGAGTAACTATCTGGACGTTGTAGATGTATTGTCCTTCGCAGGAAAGGTAGATATCGAATACCTATCTGAGGGCATTGTCGACGGCGCATTACCTGAACCTAAAAACTTTTACTGGCGTCAGACATTCTGTCGAGCAACTCAAAGACTTTCGGTGAGTTTGTATCTCTGTGCATCAACTAAACCTAAACTAATTCTTAACTTCCAGGACTTGCCCGCCTACTGTATTTGCAAAAGTCACTATAACCCCGATATACATGAGTATGAGCTCATTTGCGATAACGGAACCTGTCAAAACATGTATCATTCGGAGTGTTTGGTAGACGACGCTCTCATCAAAAAGTATCACGAGGAATTCCCGGAAAATGATACGAGTAACGGAACTCAGACCAAAGATAAGAAGAAGAAGAAGAATGGAAAGTCGAAACAGAAGATCTATTCTAAAGCATTCAAGGGGCAATTCATACTCGAACACGATGAGAAGACTCCACCAATGATCAAAATTACGGACATCAGATCAAACCCTCACACGGAGACACTGCAACGGGCTGAATGTCCAAAGTGTTGGACTCTTTTCGAATGAGCATTGGTTTCTCGAGTTCATGGGTTATTTATGGCTCGCATCTCAACCTTTCTTCGACACGCTAGGACTCTTACGATTGACTGCCATACATACCATTCGATTAAAATAATCTACCAAGATCAATATTGTGGAATCGATTGCGACTCGGACCTTAAATACCCCAGCATAATCCAACCTGCGTTCTTACTGTACTTGTACATATAATCACCAACAATCCATCACAAATTCCATTTCTGGCCAAACTGTTGCGAACTCATTGCATAAGGAGCGCGCGATTTACGATTTGTTCTCTGAACATATCATATTTTGTATCAAAAGGAATCCACGAGCTGAAGTTTTAGTGGACATAATAGCGGCGCCTTTGGAGATGGCGGAGTGGTTGGGCGTGTGCTTTTGATTTCTAATACCCTGGTTTTCTTGTTTTCTTTTGGATCAGATCATTGGGGTGACTAATGGTTTGTTTCTTTTCTTTCGTTTTTGTATTGCTTTTGCTCGTTGGTTATTCCCGAGCTTTTTTGGTTTACTGATGGTGGGGGGTGGAGAGGGGGGAAGGGGGAAGGGAAAGGGAGCGGGCAGGGGGTGGGGGGATGTACAAAATATCCATCAGACGGGGAAAATGAGTGGGGTCGTTCATGAGAGGTGAGATGGTGGGGTGATTGGGGATGGGGAAGGGGGAGGGCATAAGGGAATGTAAGTAAGTAAGTGGTGGTGTGATGCACAGGAGTAGAGGATGGGATGTGAGAATGGGGATGGGAGAAAAGTACATAGATTCGCTAATGTGGATGTGGATGTGGATGGTGTCACGGGCTCACTACACGTGACTACCTATACCTACCTATACCTACCTGCACCTATCTGCATTTGTCATATATATATTATCTGTTCTTAGTTAGATCGAATAGATGCCTTAGGTATCTATTTACTATATAATCGGTGTCGCTCTATATGCCTTCTTCTCTTCTTATCGAATATTATATATCTTATCTAATCCCTATTAGAACCTATATCAGTCCTGTGATAATATATTCGACTTTTCAAAATATTCCACTATTAATCAATCCAATCTTGATTTCTTTACTTTGTAAACTTACAAAGTTATTGTTTATTATATAATATAATTGATTATTTAACAAAAAGTAAACTTGAACAACTTAATTTTACAAAAATATTAATATTACAAATATCTTGATATTACAAAGTGTAATTTAAACTTTGAACTCTGTTTTCATTTTATAATAGTATATAATAGAAAGATCTATTACTATAAAAAATTATGGATTTCCTTAGACAATAAGCTAAAAGTCCAGATTATGTATTGTATATATTTTTCAGGTCCTGGAGGATATCCAGATCGAATAAAAACAATTGACTTGATTTCCCAAAGTTATTAATAATCTCAAATATATTATAAGATTATTTTTTATATCCAAGTATACAAATTCTATATTCAAACTAAGTTATCCAAATCTGTGTCTTCAGGGTTTTTTGAAGTTATTATTAGTATTATTTTGTGTTTGGTCTGATATATCTATTAACTATATTATATTATTTCCAGACTGTAAATATTATAACTCAATATTCAAATACATTTTAGTAATGATTGACAGATTGACCAAAATGTATTATTTCATTGAAATAAGATCCTTGAATATAAATAAACTAATCAATGTTTTTATTGTTTATATCTATATTCTGTATAGTTTCCTGAATAATATAATCTTGGATCGGGGGATATAATTTGTATCAGATTTTTGGATTCAATTTTTCGGAATATTTAAAGATAATCTTCAAATACTTTTTTATCTTTTATTCACTAAAC